CAGGTGTAGCCACCGCACCCAGCCTTACATTGCCTTTCTGTTACCTGTGCTGTCTCTGAGTCTAAATTTCCCCTTGTGTAAGGACACCAGTCATATCAGACTGAGGGACCACCCTAACCCAGTGTGGTCTCATCTTAACTAATTACATCTCCAACAACCGTATTACCAAACAAGATCACATTCTGAGGTACTGCACATTAGGACTCCAGCATATATTTTGCAGGAGGTTCAACCTGTAACTCAGGAAGAAGAGACTGGTGAGGGTGGGGGAGAGGGGATGGTGAGAGAAGGTCTGGCTCCCTTTTTATGCAGTGGTTGCCAAGCTGTGGATACCCAGCCAGGGGAGCTTTTGGGGGTATCCAGAAATATATCTGGCAGTAACTAGAAATAATAAAATGCCACTTCTGAGATGACTGCGAGTTTCCATTCTGTATAACTGCTTTGTAGTCTACAGTTGTATAGACTTTCTTAGGCTTTTTAACTTTGGTTTGGTATGGCTAACAGTTTTCTTAAAATCTCAGACTTACTTTTTTTTTTTTTTTGAAGTGGAATCTCTGTCACCCAGGCTGGAGTGCAGTGGCGCAATCTCAGCTCACCACAACCTCCACCTGCAAAGTTCAATGCATTCCCCTGCCCAAGCCTCCCAAGTAGTTGGGAGTACAGGTGCGTACCAGCACGCCTGGCTAGTTTTTTTGTTTAGTAGAGATGAGATTCACCCTGTTAGCCAAAATGGTCTCAATCTCCTGACCTCGTGATCCAGCTGCCTTACCCTCCTAAAGAGCTAGCATTACAGGTTGAGCCACCATGCCTGGCCTTTTTTTTTTTTTTTTTAAAGAGACAGGGTCTTGCTATGCTGCCCAGGCTGGAGTACAGTGGTTATTTACAGGCATGATCATAGCGTACTCTTGCTTTGAACTCCCAGGACAAGTGATTCTCCAGCCTCAGCCTACTGAGTACATGGAGCTTTAGGTATGTGCCACCATGCCTGGCTAGATTTACTTATTTTACTAGAATAAAACCTTCAAGATTCGTTTCAGATAAATTCATGAATGGCAAACTGAATCCTTTCTTGCTTGTTTGAAAATATTTTGCCCTTAAACTTGAAAAATACCTGGAGCATGAAATTCTAGGCTCACCATCCACTTTTTTTTTTTTTTTTACGGAGTCTTGAGGATCTCAGGTGCCACCCACTAGTCTGGTCTCTGAATGTCTTGCTATCGTACCTATAGAGTCTTACTGCTATTTGCTTTAATGTTAAAGTCCATGGGCTCTACCACACCCTTCCGTGTTAAAGGTGTCTTATTAAGAACGCCCTCCCTGTTCTAAAGATAAAAACATATTTTAGGCTGGGTGCAGCGGCTCACACGTGTAATCCCAGCACTTTGGGAGGCTGAGGTGGGCAGATCACTTGAGCTCAGGAGTCTGAGACTAGTCTGGGCAACATGGAAAAACCCTATCTCTACAAAAGATAAATCACCCGAGTCCAAGAAGGTCCGGGCTGTCGTGAGCCGTGATTGCACCACTGCACTTCAGTCTGGGCTAACAGAGTAACACCCTGTCTCAAAAACAAACATATTTAATATTTCCTTCTAATATCCTTACTTAAATTTATTTATTCTATCTGGAATTTATTTTTACAAATGCTATGAGGCAGGGATTGAAATTTCTTGTTCCCAAAATGGGTAACTCATTGCCATTCTTTCTCCCACTATTTGAAATGTAGTATTTAGGGCAGGGTGCGGTGGCTCAAGCCTGTAATACCAGCACTTTGGGAGGTCGAGGAATGTGGATCACGAGGTCAAGAGATCGAGACCATCCTGGCCAACATGGTGAAACCCCATCTCTGCTAAAAATACAAAAATTACCTGGGCGTGGTGGCGTGCGCCTGTAGTCCCAGCTACTTAGGAGGCTGAGGCAGGAGAATCACTTGAACCTGGGAGGCGGAGTTTGCAGTGAGCCGAGATTGTGCCACTGCACTCCAGCCTAGCACCTGGCGACAGAGTGAGACTCTGTCTCAAAAAAAAAAAAAAAAAAAAGAAATGTAGTATTTATTAAATTCCCATGCAGTCATAATTAATGTTACATTGATTTACATAAATGGAAATTCCCCCAAGACTTAGTAAATTAGAAAAAAAAAAAAAAAAAAAAAAAGCAAATTACATAACCATACATAAGGTATGGTGCCATGTATAGCTAATAAAGCAAAACAAACTCCACAACATTTATATACAAACACATACACGGTTTTATTTATATGGTCTTTTCTGTTGACTGATGACCTTTGTTCTTCAACCCTCATTTGGTCACCCAGCACATATTTACATACTATATAATATTTACCTATTTAACTACATTAAAAAAAAGACGGTCTATTTTGATTCCAAATTCCTATGGAAAGTTCTCTGACATGTCCAGCTTGGGTCAGGTGACCATTCCTGGCCAATCAACCTGGAATCAGGCAGATAACATGGCACAAAATGACTACAGGGATTATCTCTTTTTTACCTCTCCTAAAGATGAGATTCATAGTCAAGCTCACAAAACTTTTAAGGGAAAAGCTTGAGATTTTGGAATGTAGGTCATCACCAAATCAAACTTGGATCCACTCATCCAATGTGCAGCGAAGGCCAGACACTGTCGCCAGGATTTGTAGTGAGAGAAACTGAGGTATTATTGGGTATGCAACAAGAACTGGGCAGCTTAAGACCCAAGCGTCCTAGACCAGGCTTGGTGGCTCACGCCTGCAATCCCAGCACTTTGGGAGGCCGATTACCTGAGCTTAGGAGTTTGAGACCAGTCTGGCCAACATGGTCAAACCATATCTCTACCAAAAGTGCAAAAATTAGCTGGGCATGGTGGCAGGCACCTGTAATCCAGTTACCCAGGAGGCTGAGGCAGGAAAACTGCTTGAACCCAAGTGGCAGAGGTTGCAGTGAGGCGTGATCACACCACTGCACTCCAGCCTGGGTGACAAGAGCAAGGCTCTGTCTAAAAAGGAAAAAAAAGGACCCAAGCTTCCTGATGGCTTACAAGCAAGGGTTTTTAATGGCAGGGGTACACTTTAGGAAAGCGGAAGTTACAGGCAAAATCATAAATCAATACATGGAGGTTATCATTGGTTTCAGCCAAAAAGGTAAGTATCTTGAAGCAGGGGCTTACAGGTTATAGGAAGATTCAGAGCTTTGCAATGGTTTAAAGTAGGGCTTCGTCTAAAAACTTAGGATCAACAGAAAGGAATGTTACGGTTTTGCTTGTGGGTATGATTCTTTCTAGGCCCCTTAAGAAGAAATCTAGCACAAAGAATGGTGGTTAGGGTTCAGTCCTGTTTCCCCTTATCTTAGGTCCACATGACAGTGGGTGGGATTTTTCATCCGGCATGAATCTGCGTTCCTAAAAAACTCAACATGTGATCTTTCATTTTTATAGGGAACTAAACATTGTGTCCTTATTCCAGGCTGCTCATTTACTTCTTTGAGGCTAAGGTACCTGGAATTTCCCTTGAAGAGACTCAAGATTTTTTATTAGCATGCATGGGAAGATCCAAGCAGGCCTGTGAGAGGGGTCCCTGATACATTTCTATTGGATGCTGATGCACAGTATCACATCCTGGGACATGTTTAGTTTGGAACAAAGCTAGGGGAGAGATGTAATAGCTGTTCTTAAGCATCAGAAAAGCAGTTAGACCTCTGGTTGAATGTTAGAACTAGGACCGTTTAGAGACAGATTTTCCCTCAGTTAAAGGGAAAAAAAACCTAAAACTAAAAACTTGTCCAAACACAGTTTGTATCTTGAGTTCTCTTTCAGAGAGATATTTCAAGCTATGCTATACAGACAAATGAATTATATGGTATGGATATTAAAAAGCTGAGAGTGTATCAAAGCTTGATTTCATTCAAAGTATTAAAAAAAACCAAAGAGCATAGTTACTGTTTTTGTTAAAGTGAAAAAAATTAGGTAAAGTTTATATAAGTAGACTGATGATTTTTGAAAAGATAATATACCATTAAGCAAAGTGACAAAAACATGAAGTCAAATCTTACAGTGTATTTCAAAAGCAAAGCTAAAATTCATTCACTCTAGTTAAACTGCATTTCAAGTATTTGTTGAAATAAACTTCATGAAATCATTATACAGTTATTTTTATTGTAGACATATCAGGTACACAGAATAACAACTTTACTCTCTAGAACATGGGAAGTCAATAGAAAAAAGATACAGAAATGGAATGAACATAAAAATGACTAAGCATGTGATCTTCAACCACATTCATATAGTTTTTAAACTAATCTTTTACAATGAAAAAGTCACTTATTTGAAACCATAGAATTTATAGATGATGTGTGCCATGTAAGTATTAGTTTAGAAACTTACAAAACAATTTTAGTGGTGGTATTTATGTGTGGAGAGAAAAATGTGTAACTATCAAGTATTTTAGAAATACTTTCTAAACTTGAATGACATTTATTCAGTAATGATATATTCTTTCCCTACTCCATTCTAATTTTTTTAAAACTACCAAGTGAAGTTACAGAAGTTAAAACAATAAATCTGGCATCTTTTCTTTCTTACACAAAGTATCTTCTCTTACAAATAGGGTTATTTAATTAAGCATCCTTCTTGGTGACCCCAGTTATAATCAAAAGAGGCCATGAGACCACAGACTACCACTGATGAAAAGAGACAGTGCAGACACTTTCATCAATCAATAGGCAGTCCAAAGGACAAGAGAACACACATCTGGGTAACATGAATTTGGTAAGAAAGCAAGCTAAACCTCCTGTGTCTTAATATTCAAAGTGAGTCATTCTACACAATTTTTAACTTTCATACTAACCCAAGAAAGCGCCCCCCCACCCCCCGCCAAATTGTTCTGTTTAAAGGTAGGGAGGATCATAACTTTTAAAAACATGTCAATGCAAACATACACATTTTAACTAGAATAACTCATTTTCTAATGATGCATCATTACTGTACTTATAGTTAGTAAAGTGAACAGCCTAGTATTATAACCTATTTATATTTAAGGAACATAGTAAACTAGCTGACAAAATTTACCTATCTTAAAAGAAAAAACTCAGTCAGTTGAGATTCAAACAGTAGGATTAGCTTTCTAATGCAGAGGACAACTCTGGCCATAACATCAATGTTAGTAAAGAAGCTCACTGCCATGAATACTTAAGATACGTAGGTACTTGGTCAACTTCAGTCCTAAGGGCAATATAAAGCTACTCCAAACAAGATACCCCACAAATCATAAAAACCCAATTCCCTATCAGAGCTTTAGTTCTCCTCTGTCATTTAATCCTCAGAGTACATCCGGCACAGTGCTGCATTAGGGCGGCATACAAAAGCTTCAGTTTGTCTTCCCAACTCCGTTAGCTGTTCTAATGAAGACACGCAAGGATAATGATCTTTTAACATATCTGGCAATTTAGACGTTTTCTCTTGAAGACGTTGAGAACGTCTCACTGGTGTTAAAAACTTCAGCTCCGTAAATGCGCAATTTGTTTCATCAAACTGCACCTTCTTTTTTATACTGAAAATTAAAACAATATTCTCAGAGTTCAAAAACATGTTAATGTTTTTAATCTGTACTTTCATGATATGTACCATACCATATAGCTTGTATGTTATAAGCATGTAATTGTCTTTTAGAGAGGTACTATAAGCTCATTGAAGTGAGAAACAGCCTTTTCTTAATTTGTCATTACAGCTTGTACACAGTAGATACTTGAGTATCTAGAATTGGCTAACTCCTGAATGCCAAAACCTACTGTTATTAATAACCACAGATTAAAGTAAAATGATATAAAAGTTTTCTTTTTCAAAATGGCAATATTTAGGGAAAGTAAACATAGTATTTAAAAGGTGAAAGGTTCTAATGACATTCTATTTGTTTGAAAACTGTTTTCTTTTTTGTTTTGAGACAGGGTCTCGCTCTCTGTCATCCAGACTGGAGTACAGTGGCATGATCTTGGCTCACTGCTACCTCTGCCTCCCAGACTCAAGTGATCCTCCCACCTTAGCCTCCCAGGTGGCAGGGACTACAGGCGCATGCCACCTAGGAGAGCCAATTCTTTTGTAAAGATAGGGTTTTGCCATATTGTCCAGGATAGTCGTGAACTCCTGGGCTCAAATGATCTGCCTGCCTTGGCCTCCCAAAGTGCTGAAATTACAGGCATCAGCCACCATGCCCTACCTGAAAACTTTTCTATGTTAACAAATGGTAGCTGTAATCTGAAGCTATCTCAAAGATTTTTTTTTTTTTTTTTGAGATGGAGGTTCACTCTTGTTACTCAAGCTGGAGTGCAATGGCACAATCTCGGCTCACCACAACCTTCGCCTCCTGGGTTCAGGCAATTCTCCTGCATCAACCTCCTGAGTAGCTGGGATTACAGGCACACGCCACCATGCCCAGCTAACGTTTTGTATTTTTAGTAGAGATGGGGTTTCACCATGTTGACCAGGATGGTCTCGATTTCTTGACCTCATGATCCACCCACCTTCGCCTCCCAAAGTGCTGGGATTACAGGCTTGAGCCACCGTGCCTGGCTTATCTCAAAGATTTTTAAATGCCATATTTATTATCCCCAAGCATCAAAAAAAATCATAGTACATTACATTTTAAATGTTTACCTTTGCAAGTATGGCGTAGTAGACACATTATACTTAATTAATGAACTTGTCCTCATTTCTGTATTGGGGGTTTTAACATCATGGGTTGAATCTTTCATTTTGCTGTCTTGCTCTTTTTCACCGTCTTGCAAAGGCACATTTATATGATGTTTACTCTCCATTTCCAGTTTTTCTGGATCTACATCAACACTTGTATCTTCAATACTGACTTCTGTGACTAATTCCTTGGTTGCACAAGCCTTCTCCGTATTTTCTTCTATAGAAAATACATTTATTAGATTAAGCTTTTGGCAGAATTTTAAGAACAAAATCAGAAGACATTAAAATTATTCCTAGTTGGCCAAATTTTCAAAATAAAAGAACACAACTGCCAGCACCGAACCATTCCTTTTCCTCAGCCAACTATATAACAAACCGTTGCCAACTATGTAACATTTACTATTATAAAATGAGATAAATGCTACATATTTAATAAGAACAAAGGATTAGTAAAACCCACAAAAGGGAACAACTAACTTTGCTTGTGGTACAGGGAGATGGTTAGGGAATGCTTCACAGGTGACAATTAGACTGGGTACTGAAAAGTGAGTAATTGACCAAGACAAAAGAAGACAACCTTCCTATGGCACATAGAAGAAAACGATCTATTAAAATAACATTAAAGAGCCAGTGTGTTTAGAATACAGGGTAAGGAGCAAGGGAGGAGTAGGAGCAGGCGGTATTGAGCTCAGATAGGTAAGCAAGAGCTGGATTGTAATGAGCTTTATATGAAAGAAATTTGGTTAAAAAAAAAAAAATTGACCAGAGAGACAGATATAATTAAATTTGGTCAATGTAAAGGATTGTCTAGAACAAGCGTCCCCAAACTACGGCCCACAGGCCGCATGCGGCCCCTGAGGCCATTTATCCGGCCACCCCACCGCACTTCAGGATGGGGCACCTCTTTCATTGGTGGTCAGTGAGAGAAGCACAGTATGTGGTGGCCCTCCAACGGTCTGAGGGACAGTGAAGTGGCACCCTGTGTAAAAAGTTTGGGGACACCTGGTCTAGAATGACAGAGAATGAAAAGTAACAATCTGGGAGGGCAAGAAGATGAAGTTGTAATAGGCTAAGTAAGTTAGTAAGAGGTTGGATCGGAAGCAAGGGTCCAATTTGAGAAGTATTTGAGTAAGGACTTTTTTTTTTTTGAGACGGAGTTTCGCTCTTGTTACCCAGGCTGGAGTGCAATGGCACGATCTCGGCTCACCGTAAAATCCGCCTCCTAGGTTCAGGCAATTCTCCTGCCTCAGCCTCCTGAGTAGCTGGGATTACAGGCACACGCCACCATGCCCAGCTGATTTTTTGTATTTTTAGTAGAGATGGGGTTTCACCATGTTGACCAGGATGGTCTCGAACTCTCGACCTCGTGATCCACCCGCCTCGGCCTCCCAAAGTGCAGGGATTACAGGCTTAAGCCACCGCGCCCGGCTTTTTTTTTTTTCTTTTTAAGAGACAGGGTGTCTGTCATTCTGTTGTCACCCAGGATGGAGTACAGTGGAACAATCATAGCTCACTGTAGCCTCAACTTCCCAGGTTCAAGTGATCCTCCTGCCAAAGCCTCCCAAGTAGCTGAAACTACAGGTGTGTACCACCATGCCCAGGTAATATTTAAGTTTTATGTAGAGATAGGGTCTCACTATGTTGCCAAGGCTGATCTAGAATTCTCGACCTCAACCGATTCTTCCACATTGGCCTTCTGGTGTTGGGATTATAGGCATGAGCCACCATATCCACCCGAGTCAGAACTTATTAACAAATGAAGGCATGACTGTGTGGGAATGAGTGTGCATATATATCAAGAGCATCTTTTCTAAAATTTCTTGCTTAAGAGTCATAAATGCCAAAGGAAGGTTTTTTTTCTTTTCTTTTTTGGGACAATGGGATCTTGGGTATGGGAAAGCAGTGAGGGCAGTCAACGATTTAAAAATGAAACATGCTAGGCTAGAAATACTTGCGAGACATCCTGATAAATACACTGAGCAGAAAAAAACTTAGATTTAATTATGAGGAAAATTATTAAAAATTTTTACTAAGAGAAATTTTAGTTGCATGATAGTGACCGAGTTTTTAATAAGTGGAAGCTGAAAAAGAAAGAAAAGAATATAGATTAATTCAACAAATATTTAAGTGCCAAATACATGCCAGACATTCCATCAGCACAGGAGACTCAGTGGTCAGGAACATTAGACACTGTCCTTGTATACTGAGTTTACATAATGCAAAAGACAGGACAAACAACTAAATAGTAAGCAATCAAATGCATCAAATATTGCATAGGGAAAAAAACAGCACAAAACAAGTGCACTAAACCTAGGTTGAGAGGAGAGGGAATGGTACATCAGGGAAACCATCAGGGAAGGCTACTCCAAGGAAGTGACATTCGAATTGACATCTAAAGGATAAGTAGAACTTAAGAAAAAGCAGAAGACTGTCTTGGAGAGACGTGGAGGAAAAAGAAAGTATAACCTCTTTCAGGAAATGAAAAAAAAGAAATAAATTCCGGGACGTAGGGGAGAGGGAAACAGAAGAGGCTAGACTCAGCAATTTATGCAGATGCATGACAGAGTATTTTGGTTGCGGTGTTGAGAACAGATTGGAATGAGGCAAGAGCAAAGAGGAGGGAAAGAGAGTATAACCCCTTTAAGGAAATGGAAAAAAAAAAAAAAGAGAGAAATTCAAGGATGTAGGGGAGGGAAAGAAAAGAGACTAGACTCAGGAATTTATGCAGATACGTGACAGAGCATTTTGGTTCCAGTGTTGAGAATGGATTGGAATGAGGCTAGAGCAGAGAGGCAGGTTTTTAAAACTGTAGGTCGTCTTGAATATAGATAGGAAGGAGAGTAAGGATGAAATGATGCAGATGGATCTTAAGAGACACTTAGGAAGTTAAACTGAATTTGATTAGCTGGGGAAAAAGGATGGGAACTGGAAAAGAAAGAGGAAGTAGGCCAGGCGCGGTGGCTCAAGCCTGTAATCCCGGCACTTTGGGAGGCCGAGGCGGGTGGATCACGAGGTCCAGAGATCAAGACCATCCTGGTCAACAAGGTGAAACCCCGTCTCTACTAAAAATACAAAAAGTTAGCTGGGCATGGTGGTGCATGCCTGTAATCCCAGCTACTCAGGAGGCTGAGACAGGAGAATTGCCTGAATCCAGGAGGTGGAGGTTGCGGTGAGCCGAGATCGTGCCATTGCACTCCAGCCTGGGTAACAAGAGTGAAACCCCGTCTCAAAAAAAAAAGAAAAAAACGGCCGGGCGCGGTGGCTCAAGCCTGTAATCCCAGCACTTTGGGAGGCCGAGGCGGGTGGATTACGAGGTCGAGAGATCGAGACCATCCTGGTCAACATGGTGAAACCCCGTCTCTACTAAAAATACAAAAAAATTAGCTGGGCATGGTGGCGCGTGCCTGTAATCCCAGCTACTCAGGAGGCTGAGGCAGGAGAATTGCCTGAACCCAGGAGGCGGAGGTTGTGGTGAGCCGAGATCGCGCCATTGCACTCCAGCCTGGGTAAGGAGCGAAACTCCGTCTCAAAAAAAAAAAAAAAGAAAAGAAAGAGGAAGTAAACAATCACACCAAGATTCTGACTTGGAATTCATTAAGACAGAGAATTCATTCATTCATTAAGACAGAGAACTAAAAGAAGAATCAAGTTTAGGGGGAAATTATGTATTCAAGTTTGGCTATTTGTGTTTGAGGTAGCTGTGAGACATCCAAATGGTGCGTGTCTCTTTTTATTTGTCTTTCTTTTGAGAAAGAGTCTCGATCTTGTTGCCCAGGCTGAAGTGCAATGGCGCGATCTCAGATCACTGCAATGCACACCTCCTGGGTTCAAGCAATTCTCCTGCTTCAGCCTCCTGAGTAGCTGAAATTACTACAGGCATGCACCACCACACCCAGCTAATTTTTTTGTATTTTTAGTAGAGATGGAGTTTCTTCATGTTGATCAGCCTGGTTTGAATTCCTAACCTCAGGTGACCCACCTACCTCGGCCTTCCAAAGTACTGAGGTTACAGGTGTGAGCTAGAGTGACCAGCCTTTTTAATTTTTTTTTTAAACCCTCTCCTAAACTACTTTAACCACTTACGTTCTTTTGCTGTTTACAAATAACTGACTTGTGAAATTGGTTTTACATCCAGAACTTACAATTATACATTTCAGAAAGCCAAGAGTTTATGGATAGCTCCTTCTTCCTTCTAAAGACTAATAAAATAGTATACCTGCTAGAAAACACAAACTAGTATTATTCTGTAAGACAGGAACAGTAATTTAATCAGATTAAATAATGCTTTTATCTTTCCACAAATCTCCAGAGATAGAATTATGAGAGAAGCTCTTTTTATGAAATTTGAATTTCTACTTCACTGTGTTTGTGAATTAAGAGACAGGACTGGATTATTCTTAAACTTTTCACCCCCCTCCCTTTTTTTTTGTGATAACTAGTCTTTCATGGGTGTTCCCTTCTCTCCCTGCTTCTCAAGCTCCTTCATTAAATACTATTAGTAAAATCAGATCATATAGATCTTTCATAGGTTCCCCTGGTGCATATTAACAGTCACCATTAATTGAAATAAATCCTGATAACTAAGCATGCTGTGAACAGAAGCATGAACTCCAACACAGCCCTTAGCATAGTAATCAGCACAGCCATTAGCATATCAACCCCAGTGAACAGGTTTTTTTTCCTTTTTGCCAATACATGTAATAAAAAACTTATATAACATACTTAATTTAGAATTTGAGTATGCTCTTCTTTTTTTAAGGTTTCGCCCTTCAACCTAGATCTCTACATCTTAAATTCATTTTCCATACTACAAGTAGGGGTACTAATACTGTTCTGGAAAGCAATCTGGCAGCATGTATCAGAAGACTTTAAATGTTCAAACTGTTGGCACGGTGGCTCATGCCTGTTTTCCCTACATTTTGGGAGGACAAGGTAGGCAAATCACCTAAACTCAGGAGTTTAAGACCAGCCTGACCAACATGGTGAAACCGCATTTCTACTAAAAATACAAAATTAGCCTGGCGTGGTGGCACATGCCTGTAGGCTGAGGCTTGAACCTGGGAGGTGGAGGCTGCAGTGAGCCGAGACCACACCACTGCACTCCAGCCTGAGTGACACAGGAAGTCTCCATCTCAAAACAAAAACAAAAACTGCAAACTGTTCGATTCTTGTTAAAAGTAATCAAAATAAAATAACTAGATATATAGGCAATGGCATACAATATGCACTCAAATATTTGCTGACTATGTCATATACAGGTATATTAAATAATTGGAAAACATTTTTTTCTTTTTTTTTTCTTTTTTTGAGACAGAGTCTCACTCTGTTGCCAAGGCTGGAGTGTAGTGGCATGATCTCGGTTCACTGCAGCCTCTGCCTCCTGGGTTCAAGCATATCTACCTCAGCCTCCTGAGTAGCTGCAACTGCAGCTGTGTGCCACTATGCCCAGCTAATTTGTGTGTGTATGTGTGTGTATATTGAGTAGAGATGGGGTTTCACCATGTGGGCCAGGATGGTTTTGATCTCCTGACCTTGTGATCCGCTAACCTCAGCCTCCCAAAGTGCTGGGATTACAGGCGTGAGCCACCTCGACCAGCTGGAAACTGTTTTTCTAACGTTAATTAACATTAATCGCTACAGTTTAATAAATTTACTATGTGACATATACTATGATACTTTATAAACATTATTTCATTCAATGGTCCCCAAAATCCATATTTTATAGATGAAAGGGTATTTTTGGCCTAAAGTGATATCAACTGGCATAAACTTTATCTAAATTTAAAAATGTTTACACATTTTATGACTGAGAACTAATAAATCTCCTATCTCCATCTACTGTCCCCAACAAAGAGAATTCTTGAATGAGCTTTTCTAGACAACACAAAGATCACAGAATTTAACAAGTGAAAACTCTACAGATCTAGTCAAACTACCTCATTTTTTTTTTTTTTTCTTTTTTTTTGAGACGGAGTTTCGCCCTTGTTACCCAGGCTGGAGTGCAATGGCGCGATCTCGGCTCACCGCAACCTCCGCCTCCTGGGCTCAGGCAATTCTCCTGCCTCAGCCTCCTGAGTAGCTGGGATAACAGGCACGCACCACCATGCCCAACTAATTTTTTGCACTTTTTTAGTAGAGACGGGGTTTCACCATGTTGACCAGGATGGTCTTGATCTCTCGACCTCGTGATCCACCCGCCTCGGCCTCCCAAAGTGCTGGGATTACAGGCTTGAGCCACCGCGCCCGGCACAAACTACCTCATTTTTTTTTTTTTTTTTCTTTTTTTTTGAGACGGAGTTTCGCTCTTGTTAACCCAGGCTGGAGTGCAATGGCACGATCTTGGCTCACCGCAACCTCCGCCTCCTGGGTTCAGGCAATTCTCCTGCCTCAGCCTCCTGAGTACCTGGGATTACAGGCACACGCCACCATGCCCAGCTAATTTTTTGTATTTTTAGTAGAGATGGGGTTTCACCATGTTGACCAGGCTGGTCTCGATCTCTTGACCTCGTGATCCACCCGCCTCGGCCTCCCAAAGTGCTGGGATTACAGGCTTGAGCCACCGCGCCCGGCCCAAACTACCTCATTTTTAAGGCAAAAAATTAAAGCCTAGAGACAACGCAACTTTTTTTTTTTTTTTTTTTTTTTTTTTTGGGACGGAGTTTCGCTCTTGTTACCCAGGCTGGAGTGCAATGGCGCGATCTCGGTTCACCGCAACCTCCGCCTCCTGGGTTCAGGCAATTCTCCTGCCTCAGCCTCCTGAGTAGCTGGGATTACAGGAAAGAGCCACCACGCCCTGCTAATTTTTTTTGTATTTTCAGTAGAGACGGGGTTTCACCATGCTGACCAGGATGGTCTCGATCTCTCGAACTTGTGATCCACCCGCCTCGGCTTCCCAAAGTGCTGGGATTACAGGCTTGAGCCACCACGCCCGGCCAGAGACAATGCACTTTTTTTTCTTTTTCTTTTTTTTTTTTTTGAGACAGAGTTTTGCTCTTGTTACCCAGGCTGGAGTGCAATGGCACGACCTCGGCTCACCGCAACCTCTGCCTCCTTGGTTCAGGCAATTCTCCTGCCTCAGCCTCCTGAGTAGCTGGGATTACAGGCACATGCCACCATGCCCAGCTAATTTGACAATGCAACTTTTATACACATTCAGTGACAAATACAAATATTAAGCCAGATCTCCTAATTAAAAATTCTGTATACTACATAAAGCCATTTTATCTCTGAGGTAGGTCAATACAAGAATGAGGAAAGAAACAAACTGCATATTTTAAAAGTTAAAAAAGATAAAAGAGGCCAGTCGCGGTGGCTCACGCCTGTAATCCCAGCACTTTGGGAGGCCGAGGCGGGTGGATCACGAGGTCAGGAGATCAAGACCATCCTGGTCAACATGGTGAAACCCCATTTCTACTAATAAAAAAAAAAAAAATACAAAAAATTAGCTGGGCATGGTGGCTCGTGCCTGTAATCCCAGCTACTCAGGAGGCTGAGGCAGGAGAATTGCCTGAACCCAGGAGGCGGAGGTTGCGGTGAGCCGATATTGTGCCATTGCACTCTAGCCTGGGTAACAAGAGCGAAACGCCGTCTCAAAAAAAAAAAACAAAAAACAAAAAACAAGAAAAACTAATTTAACAAAGAAATAGTAAACCTACAATGAGATACCGTTTCACACTAGTCAGAATGGCTATCCTTAAAGAGTCAAAAAATGGCTGGGCATTGTGGCTCACGCCTGTAATCCCAGCACTTTGGGAGGTTGAGGTGGGCAGAACATGAGGTCAGTTCAAATCCAGCCTGGCCAACATGGTGAAACCCCATCTCTACTAAAAATTACAAAATTAGCTCGGTATAGTGGCACGTTCCTGTAATCCCAACTACTCAGGAGGTTGAGCCAGGATAATTGCATGAACCAGGACTGGGAGACAGAGGTTGCAGTGAGCTGAGATTGCACCACTGCACTCCAGCCTGGGCTACAGAACAAGGCTCTGTCTCAAAAAAGAAAAAAGAAAAGAAAAGAAAACAGAAAAAAAAACAGATGCTGACAGGGTTGTGGAAAAAAAGGAATGCGGAATGCGTTTTACACTGTCAGCGGGAAATTAGTTCAACCACTGTGGAAGACAGTGTGGTGATCCCTCAAAGACATAGAGACAGAAAAATCTTGAACCCAGGAATCCCATTACTAGGTATATACCCAAAGCAATATACATCATTGTATTATGAAGATACATGCACATGTATGTTTACTGCAGCACTATTCACAGTAGCAAAGACATAAAATTAATCCAAATGCCCATCAGTGATAGACTGGATAAAAAAATACGGTACATATACAGCATGAAATACTAAGTGACATAAAAAGGAATGAGATCATGTCCTTTGCAGGAACATGGCTGGAGGCCCATTATCCTTAGCAAACTAACAGAGGAAAAGAAAACTAAATACTGCACGTGAGAGTTAAGTGATGAGAACACATGGACACCTAGAGAACAACACACACTGGGGCCCAAGGGAGGGTGGCGGGTGGGAGGAGGGAGAGAGTCAGAAAAAATAACTAATGGATACTAGGCTTAATACCTGGGCGATGAAATAATCTGTACACAAACCCCCATGACACGTTTACCTATGTAACAAACCTCCACATCCTGTACATGTACTCCTGATCTTAAAAGGTTAAAAACAAACAAACCAACCCTACAATTCACTTGAAGGAAATAAAAGAACTAAAACTTACCCAAATTAACTTTTTCTTGACTCTTCATTGTTAGAATATCTACAATTGTGTGTCGCATCTCTTCAATAGGCTTAATTTTTTTTTAATGAAGAAAGCAGACCCATGTAAGTTTTATTTTCTCTGACATGAACTAGGTATCCAAGTTGAAAATATTAAAAGTCAGTGATTAAAATTTCATACTGTATTTTAAAGTAAGGCAGTAGATCTTAAACCATGCTTCTCGGACCACTAATTAAGACTGAAAAAATGGCTGTCTTTTCCAATGTATAGACTAAAAATGAACCTGAAAGATAGAATTTCATGTTTGAAAATTTCCCTGTAATTTTACTTAATTAAGCCTTGCTCCTTTTCTCTTACATTTAAGTCTATGTTTATACTTTTGTTTCATATGCTATGAAATGTATCTCTGAACAGCTTAAGGTTGATTACCTCAACGTATTTCATTCATTCAAAAACTTACTAAGTGCCCATGATTTACCACGTATTACAAGCATTTACTATGTTCCATCCAACACATTCAAGATTAGAAAAGGTATGGTTCACAGCCTCAGTTCCAGAAGTTAGTCCTGAATTACTCAGCTATCCTGCTTTCAGCTTTTTGGCTTATTTTTATTTTTTGAGACAGGGTGTTGGTCAGCTAACCCAGGATGGAGTGCAGTGGCACGATCATGGCTCACTGGTCTTGAACACCAGAGCTCAAGCAATTCTCCCACCTTAGCTTCCAGTATAGCTGTGACCACAGGTTATCTACCACCATGCTTGGCTAACTTAAAACTTTTTTTTTGCAGAGATGAAGTCTCACCATCTTGCCCAGGCTGGTCTCGAACTCTTGGACTCCTGCCTTGGCCTCCCTATGTGCTGGGATTACAGGCATGAACTATCATGCCTGGCCACTAATTTTATTTTAAGAGATGGAGTCTATGTTGCCCAGGCTGGACTCAAATTCCTGGGCTTAGAAAATCCTTCCACCTTGGCCTCCCAAGTAGTTGGGACTATAGGCACGCACTACTGTGCCCAGCCATCTTGGCTAATTTTGATTCTTGTTTTCCAGCAGCTTCTCCTCTGGTGTTACATCTTTCTGTTTACGTTATGCTTTCTATGTGAGCCTTGGTTCCAGTTTTGCATCCTTGCTACAATGTCCTAAGTTGCCTTAAGTAATGTCCCTGCTGATGCAAAGTGGTAGGGGCCTAACACTCCCTACCAGATAGCATTCTGTCAAATATAATTACCCTTCTGGAAAGAGTTTCACACATGATAGCCGCTGGGAGACTATCTGATTTTTTGGTTAAGTGAAAAGTCAAATAGCATTTGTTGATTTTGTTGAGACTAAAGTGAACAGACCTTTCTTAAAAATGAGTTTTAAAAAATTATCTATATAGACAATCTCCAAGAATGTGTTTCTGAGAAACCTGGTCAAAAGGAAATACATTTTAGCAACATTTATCCATAAAAACAAAAAAACGCAACCAAAGAAAAAGCTCAAGAAATGATTTATTGTATACCCAGAGCTTTGTGTATCAATAGGCTAGAGGAGACAGGAGTACGGTATCAAGCCACTATGGAGGTAATGTTAGAGAAACGGGTTTATTGCCATTTTCTATATGCCGACAGAACCAATATATATAGTGTATATATTATACACTCTAATAGTAAACCTGACTCACTCACACACTCTCTCTCTCTCTCTCTCTCTCTCTCTCTATATATATATATATATATATATTTTTTTTTTTTTTTTTTTGAGACGGAGTTTCGCTCTTCTTACCCAGGCCGGAGTGCAATGGCACGATCTCGGCTCACCGCAACCTCTGCCTCCTAGGTTCAGGCAATTCTCCAGCCTCAGCCTCCTGAGTAGCTGGGATTACAGGCACGTGCCAACATGCCCAGCTAATGTTTTGTATTTTCAGTAGAGACGGGGTTTCACCATGTTGACCAGGATGGTCTCGATCTTTTGACTTCGTGATCCACCCGCCTCGGCCTCCCAAAGTGCTGGGATTACAGGCATGAGCCACCGCGTCCAGCCCTCTCTCTATGTATTTTAAACCCGACTCTATGTATATAGTCAGGTTTACTCTTAAAGTGAGAGTTCTCTCAGAAAAACATGAGAGCTTGATAACATTTAAAAGGCTTAATTTAATTTCTTTTGCTTTATATGCAATAAAGAAATTTTAGTATTAGATTCAGTCTCCCAGTAAATTTCCAACCAGGAAATGCATACAATAATATGCTAAAATATTTCATGCAGAAAGTTTCATTAAATGTACCATTTTAGTTTAAATCCATTTTCCAAAGTCAGATTAATCCTAGTACAAGAATGAAAGACTCAGAAGGCCATAAAAGCTTTTATAATGCAATCCCTGTGACCTTTAAACATTTATTAATACTACATATATGCCCACAATTTTCTCAAGTTATGTTGTGATGTGTCTCAAATTAATTCTGAACTGTCTACTACACTATAATAGAAAAGATCAACAAATTTTTATCTTACCTGAGCTCCTGCCAGAACAGCTTTCTCATAGATTGCAATAATATTTTCAACAGGACTTGTGATTGGTTCCATACGTACAAGACATATCCAATACTTAACAAGCTTTTTGGCATCTGGAATATTTTTAATCAGGTCATTAACTGTGACCAGTATATCTTCTTTTGGACATCCCTAAAAGAGCAAGAGATAATGTGTGTGATATTTTTTAGCCTACAAACTATGAACAATAATTGAACCTATGATAGTCAAGATCAATGATAAAGATAGCCATAAGCGTAAAGCAAAAAATGATATATTAGTTGAGACATTTATTAGTACAAAATGAACACTTACTTGGTGTTGACTTTATCCTTATATTGTGGGATTCCATTTGTTGTTAATACTTTCAACCATATGCTTATCAGTGGGAACAACCCTGTGGAATTTTTTTCTCTTAATTGTCTTTGCTGGGTTTTGATATTAAGATTAAAATGAATCCCTAATGGTTTATGTCAGTTACATATAGTTAAATAGTAGGGCAGAAAAAGTTTACAGTATCGAAAGAAAAAACTTGAACTGAGCAGAAATAAACTCTGATTCTTTCCTATTAGAGAATCAGAGTTTTCCTGATGGTAACTTTCACTGGTGCTCAGAACCACAAAAAGTTAAAAGAGGCCCATGAAGAGTAGAGTCAGGTTCAGGTTTGAAATCATACTTTGAATTCACTTTTGGTATGGACCTTACACACCAGTAGGTGCCCAAAACAAGATTAAAGACCAGTCAGTAAACAAAGACAATATTTTGGAGCTATTATACTCCACAAGATTTTGATTCAAATAGCAAAATTCTGCAATAAATTCAAAACCATGACGATGTTGCCTTAGATGAATGGAACTTCCTTTTGCTTTTTTTTTTTTTTTTTTGAGATGAAGTTTTGCTCTTGTTGCCCAGGCTACAGTACAATGGCACGATCTCGGTTCACTGCAACCTCCACCTCCCAGATTCAAGCAATTCTACTGCTTCAGCCTCCCAAGTAACTGAGATTACAGGAACCCACCACCACGCCTGGCTAATTTTTGTATTTTTAGTGGACACAGAATTTCACCATGTTGGCCAGGCTGGTCTCAAACTCCTGAACTCGGGTGATCTACCCACCTCAGCCTCCCAAAGTGCTGGGATTACAGACTTGAGCCACTGCGCCTGGCCAGATAAATGGGATTTTGTTTGAGAGTATTTTAGGTAACCTGAATTTAATCTGTGATAATAATGACTCACACAATATTTGTTAATATTTCTGACTTTGGTAAAATGTGTAATGAATGTAAAAAATAATGTGTAAATATAACAAACAGATGTAAGAAACAAAATATTAGAAGCAATAAGTAAATATCACCTCAGTATATTACATAATTATCTCATAGAACTCAAATATTTGTAATTCAGTAAAAAAATCTAATTATCCCTTTGATACAGGTTAAGTATCCCTAATCTGAAAATCCAAACCTAAAATCCAAAACTTTGAGTATCAACAGCATAATGAAGATGACCATCGTTAACACTGCAGAAAACGAACCTATAGGTGAAAATATGTGATAGGCTTATTAAAGGACTAGAGCAGCATTTATTCAGAACAGAACAAGACATCATGTCCCTTTATAAAATCAAGGAGAAACTTCTAAGACAAAAACCACTGCTAATGAGGCAGATGACTTGAAGAAACATCTTAAAAAGCCATCCAGCAGAATGCCTCCTTATCCCTAAGGATCCACTGCCTGTTCCCTCAATTGCTTCTGCTGTTTCTTCTCACCTAAAAATGTAAAACACAGTGTAAAATACCTCTTAAACACAGCATCATAGATGGAGATTGATAACGTGCTGCTGTTTGTTGTTGCTGTTGTCTAACAGCTGATACAGGTATTCTGATTCTCCTGTGCTGCTCAGTTACTCTGAACATAGTTTTTACTGTATTAATGTTGTGGGTTTTTTTAAATAAATTGTTAAGTACTTATGTGTGAATAAGAAGATAATTGCTTATTAGTAGCATAGAAATTCAGAGTCAGGAATGACGGTGATGCCAAACAACCAGGCTATCCCATGCCTGGCTGACACAGTGACACTTTTGCTTTCTGACGGTTCAATGTAAACAAATTTTGCTTCATGTACAAAATTATAAAAAATATTGTATCTTTAGGCTGCATGTATAAGCTGTATATAAAACATAAATGAGGCCGAGCACAGTGGCTCACGACTGTAATCCCAGCACTTTGGGAGGCTGAGGTGGGTGGATCACATGAGTCCAGGTGTTTGAGATCAGCCTAGCCAACATGGTGAAACCCAGTCTCTACTAAAAATGCAAAACATTTGCCAGGCATGTAGCACATGCCTATAATCCCAGCTTCTTGGGAGGGCGAGGCAGGAGAATGGCTTCAACCCGCGAGGTGGCGGTTACAGTGAGCTGAGATAGCCCCCTGCACCCCAGCTTGGGTGACAGAGTAAGACTGTCTCAAAAGCAAACAAATACACAAACAAAACATAAATGAATTTCGTGTTTAGACTTGGGTTCCATCCCCAAGATATCTCATTACATATATGCAAATATTCCAAAATCCAACAAAAAAGTTTTCAATTACTTCTGGTCCCAAGCATTTTGGATAAGAGATATTCAACCTGTATATTTATAGGAACTCAAGGCAAAAATATAGTCAATTAAAGGCTAATCTCACAATTCATCAATGAAGCAGTATATCTCACAATTAAATAACTGTTAAAATAATTTCATAGTTCATGTCAAGGCAACATAGTATCACCAACAACAGCTAGTCAAAAAGACTGATGATATAATTTAATTAAATAATGTTTATGAAGTTAATTTGCAAACTATAAAATGCTAAGCAAATATAAAGACTCTACCTCATTAATCAAGTTCAGGCATTCAGAAAATGTGTTGTTTACTTTTTCAGTAAATAATCTTTGTTCATCTTCTTCTGCCATGGTAGTCCAAAAAGACCCAACTGGCTTTTCTTTTTGTCCTTCAGGCTCATGCTCAATAACTACTGAGTTCGGAGGCCTTTTTAGCACTCTTCCTTTGCCAGCTTTCCACTCACTCAGACGAGCTCTATAGTTAGAAGCAGATATAAACATTACTTTGAAATCACCGAGAGAACTCTGTTAGAGGAAAAGTTAAAAAATAAAAAAAGTCATTATTATTTTAAAGTAATCTTACTCTAGCAACATGCACATAGTTCACAAGCTTGAAGAAATAGTAAACATATCAAGGTCAGGTATGCTCAGAGACTCCATGAATTTATTTTGTGGAGAGATTATAAAATATTTCCCGATTATTATTAAGCATTTACTTAGATTTTAAAAAAGCAATCTAATAAAACATATTCAAACACAAAAACTTAAAGGTCATATTGTTCAACATAAATCCACCTGCAGATGACAGAAGAGAAACCATGAAAGAAAATTCTAGGCCAGGTATGGTGGCTCATGCCTGTAATCTCAGCACTTTGGGAGGCTGAGGCGGGCGGATCATGAGGTCACGAGTTTGAGACCAGCCTGGCCAATATGGTGAAACCCCATCTCCACTAAAAATACAAAAATTAGCTGGGCGTGGTGGTACGCACCGGTGGTCCCAGCTACTCGGCAAGCTGAGACAGGAGAATCACTTGAACCTGGAAAATGGAGGCTGCAGTGAGCCAAGATTGTGCCCTGTACTCTATCCTGGGCAACAGAGCAACACTCTGTCTCAAAAAAAACAAAAACAAAAACAAAAAAGGAAAATTCTAATGCAGTCAAGGGAATTATAAGCCAAACCTACAAACAGCATTTTATTGAAAACTAAGGTAATACAAAAAAGAAAATTCCATCTACTTACTTTCTCTCTTCTGCGGTTTCTTTGGGATGAGCTGATCTACCAACAGTTGCTTTTCCCATAGTATGTCTTCGCTGGTCAATTGGCTTCGACTTTTCTATCAGTTTGTCACTAGACAATGAAGCAGGCCTGGCAACAACTTCAGATGCTATGCTTCTTGACAGTGTCTTAGTTCTAATTATATCTGGACAAGAACTGGTTTTGACACTAGGTAAAGCTGTTTTTGATTCTAACAGTTCTTTTTGACGAGGTACTTTCCGGATTGTTACATGGGCAGAGGTTCTACTGATGCCTTGTTTCACAGTGTCTTGGGTATTATTGTGATGACTTCTAATTGGACGTCGCACAAGTTGTGTGTTTTGAGATGTAGTGCTTATAGATTTCGTGGTGGCTGTCATACTTGAGGATCTATTACTTTTCACTGTTACACTGCTGGTGTTTACAGGCTGAGGCTTTGTGGCTTTAGGGACAGTGGCTGAAAGTTTCTTTGTTGCTTCAGAACTCTCATCTTTGACTTGTAGAGGTTTTCTAAATGAATTAACCTTAGACTGAACAATATGGCCACGGTAAGATCCAAGTACAGGTTTCTTGGGCATGTTAGCATCTTGCTTTGGTTTTTCTGCAGTTATCTGTTTCTTTTCACTATTGTTTTTAAGGTGAAATGCCTGGCTTAATGTCATATGTTTACTTTGTGGATTATCTTTAGTTAGTAACGACTGCAGAGATTGATTACTATCCTTAGGTTTATGTGCGTCAATTACTACAGTTGAATTGGTGAGTTCATTTGAAGGTTTTAAAGGAACACAATTTCTCCCCACTATTGTACTATTTTTGCTCCCTGCAGGTCTCTTCACATTTTCTTTATCAGCCTAAAAGAATTATTTAAGAAAAGTGTTTATGAAAGGCAAAGCTGAAAAGGGACAGTTTAAGTAGGCTATGTCCACATCTTACCATTTTTGTTTTAAGTTTCAGCACTTTAGTCCCTTCTTGAGCTTGGTCCTCAGACGTCACAGCTCTTTGACCTATACTACTTAAAAACAAAAAAACAAAAGGATTAATCAATCAATCAATCCTGTACCAAGGAGGCTTCCTTTTGGGGAGGGAGAAGAGGGCAATGTTAACAATTAACTGACTGATTAATTCTAAATTTAAGAAAGACCTGTGACATTTTTCCTAAGCAAAATTTTTATTTATTTATTTATTTATTTGAGATGGAGTGTTGCTCTGGAACCTAGGCTGGAGTGCAATGGCATGATCTCAGCTCACTGCAATCTCTGCCTCCCAGGTTTCAAGAGATTCTCCTGCCTCAGTCTCCTGAGTAGCTGGGATTACAGGTGCACACCACCTTACCCAGCTAATTTTTGTATTTTCAATAGAGACAGGGTTTCACCATGTTGGCTAGGCTCTCTTGACCTCCTGACCTGAGGTGATCTGCCCACCCTGGCCTCCCAAAGTACTGATTACAGGTGTAAGCCATGACACCCAGCCCTAAGCAAAACTTTCAATAACTTTTAATAGTATAAACAAATGGCTGAGGAATTTAAAGATATTTTCTAAAAGTCTTTAACACTCTCTGCCCATAGAATTTGTAAATACTTAGTATTCTTATTTCAAATCATCCTCAAGTCATTCAAACACGTCTTCAAAAAACCTTTAGTAAGCAATACCCTCTTGGTTTACTTTTAAGTACTTAGTAACAGATGTACTATGCTGAAACAACTTTTATGTAAGAGTAACCCAAAAGTAATCCCAAATTTACCATATGGCATTGACAGCTTAATTTATATTAGGATACATTAAGAATATGGACTGATGGGTACAGTGACTCATGCCTGTAATAGCAGCACTTTGGGAGGCTGAGGCGGGTGGATCACGAGGTCAAGAGATCTAGACCATCCTGGTCAACATGGTGAAAACCTCATCTCTACTAAAAATACAAAAAAATTAGCTGGGCATGGTGGCGCGTGCCTGTAATCCCAGCTTCTTGGGAGGCTGAGGCAGGAGAATTGCCTGAACTCAGGAGGCGGAGGTTGTGGTGAGCCGAGATCGCGCCATTGCACTCCAGCCTGGGTAACAAGAGCGAAACTCCGTCTCCAAAAAAAAAAAAAAAGAGAATATGGACTGACGGGTGCAGTGGCTCATGCCTGTAATAGCAGCACTTTGGGAGGCTGAGGTGGGAGTATTCCTTGAGTTCAGGAGTTCCAGAGCAGCCTGGGCAACATGGTGAAACCTCGTCTCTACAAAAAATAAAAAATTAGTTGGGTGTCTTGGAGGGTGCTTATAGTTCCAGCTACTTGGGAGGCTGAGGTGGGAGGATTGCTTAAGCCTGAGAGTTGAGGCAGTGAGCCAAGATCCCGTCGCCGCACTCAAGGCTGGGTGACAGGCTGAGACCATGTTTCAAAACAAAAACAAAAAAAAAAAGAACGTCAGTTTCTAGGTAGTATTGCAAAGCAAATCCTTCCTCAAGAAAGTGACCTAAACTTATTTTTATAGTTGTAAACTGGCTAAGGCAGACTGTGAGCAACTCTTAGCAGGTGATTGTAACAATTTTGCATACAATAAAGACAGGAAAAAATCATGTAAATTAAACATGCCATTGATTTTAAGACAGATCCTAAGTTCAGAGATCACGTTAAAATGTGAAAAAACTGAGGCCAGGTGCAGTTGGTCATGTATGTAATCCTAGCACCTTGGGTGGCCAAGGCAGGTTGATTACCTGAGGTCAGGAGTTTGAGACCAGCCTGGCCAAAATGGCAAAATCCCGTCTCTAATAAAACTATAGGCTTGGCACCGTGGCTCACGCCTGTAATCCTAGCAATTTGGGAGGCCGAGGTGGGTGGATCACCTGAGGTCAGCAGTTCAAGACCAGCCTGGCCATCATGGTGAAACCCCATCTTAAAAAAGAAAAATAGCCGGGCGCGGTGGCTCAAGCCTGTAATCCCAGCACTTTGGGAGGCCGAGGCGGGTGGATCACGAGGTCGAGAGATCGAGACCATCCTGGTCAACATGGTAAAAACCCCGTCTCTACTAAAAATACAAAAAATTAGCTGGGCATGGCGGCTCGTGCCTGTAATCCCAGCTACTCAGGAGGCTGAGGCAGGAGAATTGCCTGAACCCAGGAGTCGGAGGTTGTGGTGAGCCGAGATCGCGCCATTGCACTCCAGCCTGGGTAACAAGAGCGAAACTCCGCCTCAAAAAAAAAAAAAAAAAAAGAAAAATAATAAAATAAATAAAAAATAAGCCAGGTATGGTGGCACATGCTTATAATCCCAGGTACCCTGAACCTAGGAGGCAGAGGCTTCAGTAAGCTGAGATTGCACCACTGCTCTCCAGCCTAGGCAATGAGCCAGACTCCATCTCAAAAATAAATATTTATTTTACATGTGACATAATTCGGTAGTTAATAATTTTGGTTACATTGCCTTTCATATCTATTTGCTCTGTCAGCTTGGAGAAGGGACAGAACTTTGACACAGCCTGTACTATGCATTTTGAACAACGGTGAAGGGAGCTCAAAATGTGCCACTTAACAGGGCTTCTTAGTAGTTAACTGCTAGCTAAAAAAACAAAACTCAGGATGACAAGAAGAACCCACCTTACTCCCCTGTCCAATGTGAAGACTTAATCCTATTCTGTCTTATTATCATGAAACTGTCCTAAGAAAGGTTATCTGAAATGAGTCTTAGGATACCTACATTTTAGAGATTATAAAATATAAATGTTTAATTCTGAAAAGCTGCAGCACAGATGGGTTATCTTATTTAATAATTCACTGCTGAGATAATACACATGTAAATTGACATCTGCTTTCTGAAAGGAATAAATGTACTTATGCCAGAAGAAGCGTTTTAGAATTTTCTCTTCTTCCTATTATGTTGAAGAGTATTATAAACCCCTGACCCTCTTGGGTTCCTTATTTAAATAAGCAGTAGAGAGTCACTGTCTGAATCCATATTATCTCTACTTATTCCCTAGTAATTTCATTCCCTCCTAAGGTTTTCAAATAAATATCATCTGTATACTGACCAATTCCCGAGTGTATGCTTCCAGTCCCAACCCCTCCTCTGAACTTCAGACACAAAACTATCTGGCATATCTGCTTGGATGCCTGGTTGGTACCTCAAACATAGTCAAAACACAACTCCTAATTCCTGAGCTCCCCGTTCAGTCTTCCTATTTCAGTATACGGTTATTTACCACCCATTTACTTATCCAAACCAAAAACCGAGGATCACCTTTTTGTCTTAAAGAAATAAAAGATTTGTGAAGGATAAAATGTTTATTCCAAACTAAAGCAACTTATTAACGTAAAGTTAGAAATTACTTTTAAAACTTTGGAATAGCAAAACTTAAACAAAATTGCAAAAGTATCAACAGGTCAACGAGTATCTATACACTCCTTACTCAGGATCCACCTACTGTTAAAATTTTTATCCCATTTGCGCTATCATTTCCATCTCTAAATATGTGTGTAAGCGATATACATTTTTTTTTTTTTTTTTTTAAGACGGGGTTTCACCATGATGGCCAGGCTGGTCTTGAACTCCTGACCTCAGGTGATCCACCCACCTCGGCCTCCCAGAGTGCTAGGATTACAGGCATGAGTCACTGCGCCCGGCCAGTATACATAATTTTTTATCTGAGACATTTGAAGACAAATTGTATATATCATGGCCTTTATTCTTAAATATTTCCTTAAAATAGGAATATTCTCTTACATAACCACAGTAATCAAATATATTTACCTTGATACACTACTTTAACCTACATTTACCTTGATCAACTACTTTAACCTACTGTTCACACTTTAGTTTTCAACTGACCAAATAATGTCTTTCATGCTGTTTCTTTCTTCCAGTATAGGACATGGTATAAGGTCAGGCGTTGCATTTAGTCGTGTATCTCTTTAGCCTCTCTTACTCGGGAATATTCAGGACTTTTAACTCCATTCTTTCTTTTATATCCCATACCTAACCATCACCAGGTCTAGTCAGCTCTATCTTCTAAGAAGTGGCAAAATCTGACCACTTTCTCCCATCAGAAAGAATATCAAGCCTTTTTAACGGCAGAATATATCAATAAATTACAGAATACAAAGAAGCACAGATGAAAGTGATGCTTTTTTTTTTTTTTTTTTTTTGAGACAGAGTTTTGCTCTTGCTGCCCAGGCTAGAGTGCAGTGGCACAATCTCGGCTCACTGCAACCTCTGCCTCCTGGGTTCAAGCGATTCTCCTGCCTCAGCCTCTCAAGTAGCTGAGACTAAAGGTGTGTGCCACCACATCTGGCTAATTTTTTGTATTTTGAGTAGACATGGGGTTTGACCATGTTAGCCAGGATGGTCTCCATATCCTGATCTGCCAGCCTCAGCCCACCAAAATGTTGGTATTATAGGCATGAGCCACAGCGCCTGGACAAAACGGAGACTTTTTTTTTAACCCATGAGGATGGCAATGATTTTGGAAGAAAATTAATGAAACCAGGAGAATAAAGTATTCCAAAAACCAGTTCATGGAATGTAATGCCAGAGAGAGAGCATTAAATAATATTACCACTTGCTGGGTTCTCACTGTTCAACAGGCATAACATGATGCATTCACCATCCAATTTAATTCTCAAGAAAAAATTATTACTACCCCATTTTAATATATGTAAACAGACTCAAAGAGGTCAAGTATCTTTCCTGAGGTTGCACAGCTGTAGTAGCAGACTTAACGACTGTAATTAGTGGTTACTAATTACATCCTCACAGGTTCTTTGCATCGAAGAGTGATAAGGGCCTGCGTTACAGTTATCTCTGGGGAGTAAGGGGACCTTTTGCCTTTCTGCTTTATCTACTTTCATGGATTTTTGTTTTTGCTACAACTATGTCCTATCTAAAATATTTTAGCAAAATAATAAAAATATTTGTACAGAAGGTTGAGACTACAATTAATGATCTGTAAGCATTTGGGAGGGCCACCCAACCCTTCCCTGAAGAACTCCCCAATACACTGAGTAAAAGCTTTGCTAAATAATAGAAAGACTGACCTTTGTGTGGTGTAAACCATAAGTGATAATCTGGACTATGCACGTACTTTGCTTTGTAACTGTGTTTTGCTTAGATTGTGAATTAATTTATGCAGAAAACGAGGATCTAATGTTGCACCATCCAGTAAAGTAGCCACTAGCCAAATGTGGCTATTGAGTGCTTGAAATGTGGATGGCCCAAATTGAAATGCGCCGAAAGTGTAAAACAGACACCAGATTTTGAAGACGTTGTACCGAAAAAAGATGTACAGAGGTGAAAAGAAATAAACTTGACCTCACCTGGATAACATCTCGTTTTCCTGCTTGTATGCAAAAAGTGTTTTTCTTCTCAACAGGTGTTCCTGGAGTTTTTGTTTTCTTTGCTCTAGGTAACAAAAGGTAAGAGCTACAAGTCAGTATTAGTTATAACATGAAATAATTTTTTTTTTTTTACTAAAGAGTTTACTTCCAACGCTGGTTCCACTTGAGGTCACATCTCTGTAACAGAAAATTCCCCAATTCAGAATTGCCTTTGAGAAATCATCTAAGAAGAGACTGTTACCACAACAGGTCCCCAAAGCGCCTCTGCGTAAGAATCATTCTCTACTGTCTGTGAAAAATCTGGAGAATATAATTTTCAACATACAGCTCTCGAAAGCGAAGCTTTAAGAAACTTAATGTTGGAAGTGAGGCGCCAGACTCAAAGTTCTAGTTTACCAGACGGGTTAGGTGAGAATTCCTTCCTTCTGCTTTCCCGTCTGTAGAAAAAAGAAATAACTTTTGATGACCCAGCCAACCCTCCGTTTCCAAAAAGTCTAAGGAGAAGCTGTGAAATTGGGAAAAACACAGGATGCGACCCCAGTCCAGCAAAAAGTTGCTACGGACCCAGCAGGCGGAGAGCCCCGCGCAGGCGCAGCTGCAGTCGGTCCGGGCGCCCGGGTAGCCCCGCGCCCCGCCCCCCTCCCCAGACCACCGGCTCGTAACACCGGTCCCAGCCTGAGCCCCGCACGTTTCCCCTCGCCTAACGGATTCCCTCACTGGAGGGTCCAACCCAGCCAGCTGCGACCGCACACTAACACCACGCAGCGGTTCCTGCTTTTATGACCCGTTCCACAAGCCCAAGAATGCGGCAGGGCGAGGCCGAGGCCGCGTTCAGGGCTCTCACACAGCCGGGAAGGAGTGGAGCGCGCCAGGGCAGCCCCTAGCCCCGACTGCCCAGCCCGCGCCCAACACCGCGGCCCTCACCTTTGAAAGCAGACTGGGCCCTCTGACTCGGGGGCAGCTGCAGGTCTCGGGGCACCGCCGGGGTACTCATTGTAGCCTCGGGTGGGGAGCTGCGTCTCCGCTTTGGGTCTACATAGAATTTTCTCAAGCCAACGCCGCCGCACGCCGGAAACCCCGCCGCCGCCGCCGCCTCCTCCCATTGGTTCCTGCGTGAATTGAATGAGCCAATGGGCATAGAGAGGCGGAGCCTGGGTTGCGGTTGCGCTGGTCGGTCTGGTGTCTACCGAGTTCGGTTGGGACTGAGTCTGCAGGTTTCAAACCTAAACTGCGCTCTTTATCTTGGAAGTGCGACGGGGGAGGAGTCAGCCTGCTCAGTCCCCACGACGTAGCAGGACTAGGTTGCAGGCAGCAGCTTGGGACCCTTACAGTCCTTGGAGGAAGACAGACGAGAAAAATACAAGAAAAGTGTTGAGTGGCTATCCTTCTTGTTAAACCTCGACGTAAACGCCGACCTGGCGTACCACAAGGATGTGTATTTTCCTTTCACTAAGATTGCTTCACCTTGAGCATCATAACTCTGAGGGGGACGTTATCACCTCTTTTTCCACTGAGAGGTGACAGGCTCAGAGGTTGTCCACGTTTGCACAGCGTGTGAACGGGGGCTGAAATCTGGATCTACTTTCCATACCTTTATTCAAAGCAATTATCAGATGCAAAAAAGGGAGGAGAGGAGGAGAAACTGGAAAAATGAGGATAAGCCCCATGCCCTCCCCAAGGTGATACATGATTCTCCCGTGAAGCTATAATAGCATTTGTTGTAGACGTTTTGTGTTTGTGTGGTTAAGTGTGCTACCATAACCTTTCCGTTTTCCTCATCTAAAAATACCACCTTCATAAAACCCACACAAACACCCAATCCACATGACAGAACGAAACAAGTCAGGGCTAGAAGATTTTCAGGGTGGCAGTGGGGAAGTTAGGGCGAGTCTGGACTGCACCTGCCTGGTTTCAAGCACTGGGTTTTACATTTCTTGCCTGATCACTGCAGTAAGGCTGGACTGGACTATGCTTCAGCCATGTTTTATGGGTTCAGACGGGAGGATGTGATTTCCCCATTTACCCTTCCCGGGTCTGACGGCCTCCACAGCTGGCCCTCGGCAGTGGTCAGTTTTTCCCACTTCTGCCTGCTTTTTTCTTCAGATGTCTTATGGTAGCATCTTGCTAAAGAGGAATTTGGGTTTGAGATTTTGTGTCACTTTTTGCTTGATGAAATGTCCCAGTTTTAATGTAACGTGTTCATCACCATCCTTAAGAATATCACGGCTGTTTAAATACTTCTGTCAATATTGTCGATTATTTATTGAAGTTTGATCAGACAGTTTGGGTAACCAGGAATTTCTATTAAGCGAGAGAACAAAATAGAGCAGTTAATAAGTAATTCAAAAACCTCCAAAACATTATGCTAGGTAAAAGAAGTAATATATGAAAGGTTACATATGGTATGATTCCATTTATATGGAATATCTAGAATAGATACATCCATAGTAAAATAACTCTGAATAGCAGTTGCCAGAGGCTGAGGGTAGGGGAGAGTGGGGAGAGACCGCTTAATGGATAAGGGATCCATTACTTTGAAGTAAATGAAATGTTTTGGAATCAGAGGTCGTGGTTGTGCAATATTGTAAATGTATTAATGCCACAGAGTTGTTCACTTTAAAATGGTTAATTTTAGGCCGGGCGCAGTGGCTCATACCTGTAATCTCAGCAGTTTGGGAGTGGGTGGATCACGAGATTAGGAGTTCGAGAGCAGCCTGGCCAATATGGTGAAACGCAGTCTCTACTAAAAATACAAAAATAAAAAATTAGCTGGGCATAGTCGCACACGCCTGTAGTCCCAGCTACTCGGGAGGTTGAGGCAGGAGAATCGCTTGAACCCAGGAGACAAAGGTTGCAGTGAGCAGAGATCCCACCACTGCCTGGGCAACAGAGTGAGACTGCATCTCCAAAAAAATAAAATAGGCCAGGCGCAGTGACGCATACCCCTAATCCCAGCACTTTGGGAGGTGGGCGGATCGCCTGAGGTCAGGAGTCCGAGACCAGCTTGGCCAGGATGGTGAAACTCTTGTCTCTACTAAAAATACAAAAATTAGCTAGATATGGTGGCATATGCCTGTGAGCCCAGCCAGTTGGGAAGCGGAGGCAGGAGAATAGCTTGTACCAAGGAGATGGAGGTTGCAATGAGCCGAGATTGTGCCATTGCACTCCAGACTGGGCAACAGGGCAAGACTCAGTCTCAAAAAATAAAATAAAATGGTTAATTTTATGTTATGTGAATCTCATCTCAATAATTTATATTTAAGTTGGCATGGCGATTAAAGAAAATGACTCAAAATATACCACGGAGATCTCAATAAGCAAAGATGGTGAACAGGAAAACCTGCAAAACTACTAGATTTTTCATCATGGCAATTCTCCTCTAATCTCCAGACTTATCCACTCCAATGACGGTCTATTTTTTTGAGACAGTTTTTAATACTACTGCCCACAATTATTGGAGAGAAAGCAGATCCTTCTCTAAAAGATCCAAAAAAAAAAAAAAAAAAAAGACTTCCTTCCAGAACCGGTCTTTGCCAACACAGCTGACCATTAAACTGCAGGCACCTGGAGTATTGATGATTAATTAGCATTAGTTGTTCCTCCTGTGCCTTGTGAAGAAGGTAAAGTGCCTGTGAGAGAACAGGGAAGGACAATCTGAAAGGTAGGAACACAATGGGGACACAGTCGGGGGCACAAAGTCTGGGGAAGAGAGAGGCTGAAGAAAGAGGTAATGGACCACAGTGTTGGGCACTGCAGAGGACTAGTAGGACTGGGACTGAAAGGGACCATCGGATTCAGAAGGTGGGAGATTCTGGTAAAAACATCCTGGGGAAAAGTACAAAATATTGCTGACAGCAATTTTTAAAACCCTAAATAAATGGAGAGAGATTACATGCTCATGGATCAGAAGACTTTATCTTGTTAAGAAGTCTATTCTCTCCAAGCTGACAGGTTCAATCCCATCCCTATCAAAATTCTAGAAGGTTTTCCATAGAAATTGACAATAGGATTCTAAAACTTAATGTGTATGTAATGGATCTAGACTAGGCAACACAATTGAAATAGAACAAAGTTGGAGGACTACCTACCTGATTTCAAGACTTACAAAGCTACAGTAATGAAGACAGTACGCTATGCTACAGGTGTAAAGAAAGACAAAGGAATAAATGGAATACAAAAGAGATTCCATCAGACGAGTGCTGCGTCCCGTGCTGCACAAGGGTTCAAAGACCTAAAAGGGAACGGTGGGGGATAAAGAAAGACACAAACACAAACAAAGAGAAAGCTGGGCCAGGCGGTCGGGGAGAGTGAGGATGTCAGTCTCTCAAGCCCCGACCTGCCGCAGAGTACTTTATTTGTTCACAAAGCACAGAGCAGAGGAAGGGTGCAGTTACCTAGAACAGCCTGTGGTTATTATTCTCATACTTCAGTTAACGACTATCTTGCAGCAAGGGCAGTGAAAGCTGGTTATCTCTCTAGGCCTGTCTCTGTTCTACCCCAAGACATACACATCCTCCTATTATAGTTTCACTTCTCTGAAGTTCAACCAAAGTTTCCAGCAGCCCTGCTGCTGATCTCCCGGAGGGAGGGGCGTGACTCTGGCTCCCTGCAATTCCAGAAATATAATGAAGCCTATCTGGCCAACTGATTTTTCCAATTTCCAAGGCAACTCAGTGAAGGAGGATAATCTTTCCAACAAATGGTATGGGACAACTGGATATCTACATACAAAATATCAATTTTGACCCTTTTCTCAACCCGTGTACAAGAATGAAAAACAAAAACAAAACCTGACAACTTTAAAATGGAGCATAGGGCCAGGCCTGGTGGCTAACACCTGTAATCCCAAAACTTTTGGTGGCCAAGGTGAGTGGATCACCTGAGGTCAGGAGTTTGAGCTTTGCCAGCTTTGCCAACTTGGTGAAACCCTGTGTCTACTAAATATACAAAAATTAGCCTGGTGTGGTGGTAGGCACCGGTAATGCCAGCTACTCAGGAGGCTGAGGCAGGAGAATTGCTTGAACCTGGGAGCAGAGGTTGCAGTGAGCTGAGATCCCGCCACTGTACTCCAGCCTGGGCAGCAGAGAAGAGTCTTCTCAAAAAAAATAAAAATAAAAAAAGGAGCATAGACCTAAATGTAAGAGCCAAAACTAGGAAGCTTCCAGAAGAAATCATAGGAGAAAATCTCAGTGACTTTGTGTTAGGCAATGATTTCTTAATCAATATCAATCTCTGTGGAAAAAAGATTTCTTAAGTGAGGAGGCAAATTCTACGAGGTATGAAAGAAAAAAATACACTGGACTTCATAAAAATTAAAACCTTCTGTCTATTCATTTATTGTCATATATGAGACACATGACATTTCTCCTTGCTCCAGCCTGGATATGGGAAACCCTTGTACAGTTGTCTATCCCAGCAGCTGTCATATGCCAGGCTTCTATTTGTGTACTACAGACTGTACATCCCTTCAGGGTAGAAAACCTACCTTGCAAATGTCCTCACTGCCTAACATTTTGATCATTGCAAAGCCCAGGTAAGACTCCACAGTTCCCCATCTGATTAGGATGCTTATGTCCCATGTTCCTTTCAATTAAAAAAGAATAAAAAGTTATAAACAACTAAATCATCAAAAATCAGGCAATGATGGTAAATTGTGATATACGAGATAGCATACTACAGCAATTCAAATGTTTTTAAAGAACTTTTAGTTATTGGGCATATGCTGATGATGGAAATTGAAAAATGTGAAATACAGAAGACACTGTTTAGAAACAGACCAAAATACACACAGGATTTTAGAACATGGTAAAAGTGGCAATTCAGTTTGGGGGAGAGATGGCTTATATTCATTGGAAAGAGACTTGCCTTTCTTGTAAAGCCCAGACACAGACCACTGACTCCAAGACTGGGGGAGATGTGGAACCCTGGGAAGAGAGCCAGCCTGCCCTCTGTCCCTCTGCCCCTCTGCCCACATGGGCACGCGGCCTTAGGCCCCCAAAGTGAAGCATGGACCTAAATGTAAGAACCGAAAGAAGAATCGCTTACCCTAATAAGTAGTAGGCTCTGTAAAATGTGTTCACAACCTTTAAAGCAGTTATTTTATTTTGGGAAGACACTGTAAGAAAACAATTCTAAAGAGAAAAATATGTATCAGTTGTAGGAAGATATCTATAGGTGCTCCATATAAGCAAAATATAAAAATGAAATGGCTAGGGTCTGTAGCCGCCTGGTGGGTGAGAGCAGCAGCCATGGATGGCTTTGCGCAGACCAACCTACAGGTGACTTATAGGAGATCTACATATTGAAATGTAAATTCACACATGAGGTCTGCATTAATGTTGGAAATGCCTAAATAAAAATAATCTTTTTTTTTTGTTTCTGAGCCTGGGGGTGGGGATCGTGGAGTCGAGTGGGGGAGTTGGGTGGAGGGGGAAAGGGTCTTTCTATGTCGCCCACTGGTGCCAAACTCCGGGGCTCAAGCAATCCTCCCACCTCAGCCTGGGAAGCAGCTGGGAATACAGGCAGGTGCCACCAAGCCCGGTTAAATGTTTCCTCCCAATTAAAAAAACTTAATTTGTGTGGGCACATAGGTGTATATATTTATGGGGCATATGGGATATATTGATACAGGCATACAGTGTGTAATAATCACATCAGGATAAACGAGGTATCCTTTTTTTTTTTTTTTTTTTGAGAGGGTGTTTTGCTCTTGTTGCCCAGGCTGGAGTGCAATGGCGCGATCTCGGCTCACCGCAACCTCTGCCTCCTGGGTTCTGGCAATTCTCCTGCCTCAGCCTCCCTAGTAGCTGGGATTACAAGCATGCGCCAACATGCCCAGCTAATTTTTTGCATTTTTTAGTAGAGACGGGGTTTCACCATGTTGACCAGGATGGTCTCAATCTCTTGACCTCGTGATCCACCCGCCTCGGCCTCCGAAAGTGCTGGGATCTTTTTTTTTTTTTTTTTTTTTTTTCAAGAGACGTCTGGCTCTGTAGCCCAGGCTGGAGTGCAGTGGTGCAATCTCGGCTCATTGTAACCTCCGCCTCCGAGTTTCAAGCGAATTCTCCTGCCTCAGCCTTCTGAGTAGCTGGGACTACAGGCGTGTGCTGCTACGCCCGGCTGATTTTTGTATTTTTAGTAGAGACGGGGTTTCACCATGTTGGCCAGGCTGCTCTCCAACTCCTGATCTCGTGATCAGCTCGCCTCGGCCTCCCAGAGTGCGGAGATCACAGGCGTGAGCCACCGCGCCCGGCCAAGGTACTCGTAAAGGGGAAAAAAAAAAGCAGCATAGGTAATACTGACTTCAGCTGTCAAGAGACAATGCCATAAATATTCATTTGAAAAAGAGGGGTTACATGATTGTTTACAATCATTAATGAACATGGCAACATTCTGGATACTGACAAGAAAACTGCTACAAACATGCAGGCATAATGCACAATAAGGAAGTCCAAGCTGTGGTCGGGGCTCCCTCGCCTCCCTCTAAGCTCTGAATTTAGAAGGATGTGGACCGCCTGCCGATCAAGGGTTCTAAAAGGCCGGCTGCGAATGGACCGCCAGGGGCGCTCCACTCACTTCTCCACGTCCCTGGGCGCACCTCCGAGCCGCGCCCGCTCCGGCCCAGGCCGCTCCCTCCCTTCCTCACCTGCCCCGTCTGACGCTAGGGGGCGCCGCAGGCTGCCCGGCGCGCAGCTCGCTGCCCCGGAGCGCCGGGGCGGGGAGGCGGCGGCCATGGACCGCTTCGTTTGGACCAGCGGCCTCCTGGAGATCAACGAAACCCTAGTGATCCAGCAGCGCGGGGTGCGAATATACGACGGCGAGGAGAAGGTAGGGCGTAGGCCGGCCTTCCCGAAGGGCTGGCGGAAGGTCCCCTGGTGAGCGCGCGGCCCTGCTTGGCGCGGCCCGGTTCCCGGTCTCGCTCCCCGCCCTCTGCGGCCCGGCCGGCCTCTGTGCGGTACCAGGCGCTCCTGCCCTCCCTACCGGCCGGTCGCGCGCGGCCTGGGGCGGTCGGGCGCCCTCCCAGCGCGGTTCCCGACTTTGGCATGGTTCCCAGCAGGCGCGGATCGCGGCCGCGTCCCTCGGCCCGGAATGCTTCCGGGCGCGCACCGCCGCCGTGCCCGGCAGAAGGCGCGCTGTGGGTCTGCGGGCGCCGGGCGGCGATCGGGCAGCCGACTTCCTCGGCGTGGTTCCAGACCCCCTGACGACACCCACCGCGGCGTCGGCACTGGACGGCCCGGTTCCGCCTTTCTGTGAGGAGGGCGCGGTGGCTGTGCCGTCCGTGCCCCCGCGGAAGCTTTAGCTCGGACCTCGTGCAGGCGGAGGGATTAGCACATCTGCCCTGGGCAGAGCGGCGAGGGGTGGCGCCGACAGGATTTCCTAAAGAGGTGTCGGTGTCTCACTGGAATGCCCTTGCCAGAGGCTCTTGGGTTTTTGTTTTCTAATGGCTTTAGAAAGGCGTTGTGAGCGTCTGTTTTGTAAAGTGTTGTATTAATAGTAGACGATGCCTTGTAATGCAAGCATAAATATTCGAAGGTGCGTTTGCAAATCGAGAGGAGAAATAGGAAGTGTAAGTAAATATTTTGTAGGTAGTTTTGTGAAACTACGAAATAGTTTCTGTTCTGGATTGAAATGTATAAACTGCAGTTAGAAAAAAATTTAAACTCATTTACCCACAAGCATTTTTGGTTTCCACAAGTTTTAATTTGCTGCCTCTCTTCTCTTGCCGTTTTGTTAAGGACACTGCCCGCTGTACTTGAATGTAAATTCCTCAACTCATGGCTTTTCCTGGTCAGTGCTTACAGCTATCTAGAGGCACAGATGACATGGGGCCCAGGTCCGCTGACTCCCTTAGGGCATTTTCCATGGGCTGTATTGCCTGTATTATTGAGTAAAGGTCTTTTCCTTAAAATAATTTGCATGGACCTAACTTCGTTTACTGCCTTAGCACTACTTAATTAAATTAATTAATTAATTTTGAGACGGAATCTCGCCCTGTCGCCCAGGCTGGAGTGCAGTGGCATGATCTCGGCTCACTGCAACCTCCGCCTCTCGGGTTCAAGCAGTTCTCCTGCCTCAGAGCCTCCCGAGTAGCTAGGATTACAGGCGCCTGCCACCACACCAGCTGATTTCCGTATTTTTAGTAGAAACGGGGTTTCACCATATTGGCCAGGCTGGTTTCAAACTCCTGACCCCAAATGATCCACCCGCCTGGGCCTCCCAAACAGCTGGGATAACAGGCGTGAACCACCGTGCCCAGCCTGCCTTGGCACTTCAGCTAGCTTGATCTCAACTTGAGTCTTCCATTCCCGGATTGGAGTGGCAAGCTACTTTTTTTCCTTTTCTTACCAGTTTACATCTTTGTCACTATTTTAAATGGGAAGGCTAATCCACCTCCCCTTCCTCCGCGTTTTGATTTTGCCCTCTCTTTGAGAGGAACTGAATGTTGACAGTGACCTGAAAAACTGTGGTTTGTATTCCTGCTTATCACAGAATTACTAGGAAATCCTAGAAATAATCTCTTCATATAACCAGATCATATGCGTTGTCTTTGAAACAATTTTTTTTCCAAGAATGATGAGGTCTTTGAGTGTATATAGAAACATGTGAGAGAAACAAGTCCTTTACCACTATTCTAACACCTGGCATTACACGATTTCACATGGAAGCCAGGTTTCATGTTATTCTTCATTTCTTTGGGGCTTTATTCTGTGCAATGGAGAGTAACTGAAAAATAAGAGCAACCAGACTTCTTGGCTGAAAACCACATTTGATGTTTTCTGTTCACATCTGCCTGTTACTCAATATTATACCCATATGACCATGACAAGACCTGAATACACTCTGAACGTGGCAGAAGTATATCGGCCCCTTCGCATGCCTGCAACAATAATTTAAAAACCTAATAAAGTGATTTACAAACACCCAGAACTGGGATCACCGGTGAGACATGGGCTAAGTTCAGAAAGTGCCCTGAAACCACCTTTGCGGATTTATAAATAATGGGAGAAATCTAGCATGACTGACTCCATCTTGCTTCTAACCTCACAGGCTAAGTTACTGTGTTGTTTTCTTATTCTAACACAGAGGCTAGGATACCTACGAGAGGGATTTCGTGTAAACTTGGAGGCAAAGGAAACTGACCCCACCCCCTTCCTGGGAACCCGCGAAACCTCTCCGAGTTGCAGAGGCTCCTGCGATCTCGTTCACAGCCGGTCAATTGTTTCAGTTCCCTGCCGCCAAAGTACCCTTTAAAAACCCTGGCCCCGGAATCCGCGGGAAGACGGTCTGAGGCCCTGTTCTGGCTCGGCCAGCCCCGCGCTAAGTTCTCTTTTGCTGCAGCTGCGGTTCCCACTGGTTCTTTCCGGGCAGCGAGAAGAACCCGTAGGGCCGGCGCCCGCTTGGCAACCGCACCCAGGGGGAGCCCAGTGGCCCCGCTCACCCGTGAGGCCCCTCTGTCCCGGAAGAGCCGCTCCGCCTTGCTGGCTCCCCGGCCCTCGGAGGCATCCGGCCGCCACTGCGCCCCGCGCCGAGACCCCAAGGCGTCGAGGGACTCCCGGGTTCGCGGCGAGCGGCCCAGACCGCGGGGCGGAGCTGAGGGGCCCAGCCGAGCGCCCGGAGCGCGTCTCCGTCTCGCTCCCGCTCGGCGCCACCCCGTTCCCCAGGCCGCGCGCCGCGACTACGCGCCGCGCTCCTCGCTCCAGAGGCGGCCCGCCCGGGTGGGGACCACTCACCCGCTTCCCCCGAGACTCTCGTCCGCTCCTTGGCCAGGCAACCGGCGGCTTCCGCGGGGCGGGCCCAGCGGGTCGTCTCTCGGGTTGTGGGTGGAGGAAGCCGCCTGGGTCTGGCGGGAGGCGCTGTTCCCGGACTCGTCGGAGCTGCTGTTCCACGTTGCAGTGGAACAATGCTAATAACATTGAGGGAAAGTGCCCCCCACTAAGTAGCCGAGTTCTGTCTGCAGTTTAAGTGAAAGCCTATGTACATAAGCTTCACGGGCACAGCACTCAGTGCTAGTTAGCACTTAACTAGCTGCGTGACCTTGGGCAAGTGTGGAAGGCAGAATAATGCCCCCCACTTCCAGCCCTCAGGATGTCCACATCCTACTCCTTGGAACCTGTGCCTTTGTTCTCTTGCTTGGCACAGGGGAGTAAGATTGCAGATGGAATTAAGGTTGCTAATCAGCTGACTTTAAAATAGGGAGATGCTCTTGGAGTATTCGGGTGGGCCCGATGTAATTACAAGGCGTCTCTAAAGTGGAAAATGGCGCTAAAAAGTGAGAATCGGAAAGCTATTTGAAGGTAGAGGAAGGGGCAACAGCCAAGGAATGCAGCTGGCCTCAAGTAGCTGGAGGAGCAGGCACAGTGTCTCATGCTTGCAATCCCAGTGCTTTCGGAGGCAGAGGTGGGAGAGGAGCCCTCGAGCCCAGGAATTGGAGATCAGCCTGAGCAACATCGTGGGACTCTCGTCTCTAAGAAAAATTAGCTAGACATGGCAGCGGGCGCTGTGGTCCCAGCTGCTCTGGGGACTGGGGCAAGCTGATCACTAGAGCTGGGAGGGCTCATAATCCCACCACTGCAGTCCAGCCTTGGTGAAAGAGAGAGGGAGACCCTGTCTCAAAAAAACAAGAAAGATAAAGGAGGAGGAGCGGGAAAAGGAAAGAAAAGGAGGAGGAGAAGCTAGAAAAGGAAAAGAAAAAAAATGGTCTCCTAGACTTTCCAGAAGTAACAGTCCAACTGACACACCTTGATTATTTTTTATTTTTTTTAAACACAGTCTTGCTATGTTGCCAGGACTGGTTTTGAGCTCCTGGGCTCAAGCCATCCTCCCACCTCAGCCTCCTGAGTGGCTGGGATTACAGGGAAGCACCACCATGGGTGCTGATTCCTTGATTTTAACCCAGTGAACTGTGTTTCTGACTTTCAGAACTGTGAGATAACAAATTTGTGTCGTTTTAGCCATTTAGTTTGTCATAGTTTGTTATGGCAGCCTTAAGAAACTAATACAGCAGAGTAACTAAACCCCTCTGCATAAAAGTATAGAACCTACCTCATAGGATTGTTGTGAACAATATGTGGCTATAATTTACTATAAGCACTGAACATGTTCATTATAACATGTGTCAACCAGAGTCACAGAGACTGAAATCCAATGAAAGAAGTTTACTGGCAGCCTTAGAATTGCAACACAGATTCCGGAAGCATTTGGATTGTGTCCTGACCAGCTATTTTTGGGTAGCGTTTTTAAAGGAAATAAAAAGTTAGTTCTCATTTATCCATAACCCACTATTTTCTTTAAAGATGAAGCGTTATCATGACAGTGCATTAGTTTCTAGGCAAAAGTCCTTGATGCAGGGGTTTGGGAAAAGTTCAGTCCTCAGCATAAAGTCCTTTCCATAAGTGGCAGCAATTTTGTCTGCAACATTAGCAATTACATCCTGCAGTCAGGCAGTTGTAAAATGGCATACAGGAACAAAACGGCTTTGCTCTGGCCAGCTCCAATGGCCTTCCTTCCACAATGTTAGAGTTAATATGCAAGTATTCCGCAGTGTGGTGATAAGAGAAGGGAAATGTTACAAATCGACATTTGCAACATCTATACTCCTTTCTTTGTACTCTATAAAAAGGCTAGTTTCAATTAAAAACAAACAAGGCCAGGCACGGTGGCTCACACCTGTAATCCCAGCACTCTGGGAAGCCGAGGTGGGTGGATCACCTGAGGTCAGGAGTTTGTGACCAGCCTGGCCTACATGGTGAAACCCCATCTCTACTAAAAATACAAAAATTAGCTGGGCATGGTGGCAGGAGCCTGTAATCCCAGCTAGACAGGAGGCTGAGGCAGGAGAATCGTTAGAACCTGAGACGCAGAGGTTGCAGTGGACTGAGATCATGCCACTGCACGCCAGCCTGGGCGACAGAGCGAGATTCTGTCACACACAAAAAAAAACCTGACTGGGCACGTTGGCTCACGCCTGTAATCCTAGCATTTTGGGAGGCCGAGGAGGGTAGATCACAAGGTCAGTAGATCAAGACCATCCTGGCTAACATGGTGAAACCCCGGCTCTACTAAAAATACAAAAAAAATTAGTCGGGCCTGGTGGCACATGCCTATAGTCCCAGCTACTCCAGAGGCTGAGGCAGGAGAATCGCTTGAACCTGGGAGGCGGAGATTGAGGTAAGCCAAGAGGGTGCCACTGCACTCTAGCCTGGGTGACAGAGCGAGACTCCGTCTCAAAACAAAACAAAACAAAAGAACAAAAACCAAAACACTACTACCTATGCCTGTACCCGGAATGCTGCTCTTGGGAATTGAGCAACAGACACAAATTTCTGAGATTAAATTCAGCAGAGCATCAGGGGAGAAGGAGAAGATGACAAAGGTGCCTAATGCTTTTCTTTCCCACCCAATGTTGGCAGTCGTGAAAGGGACTCTTTCCCTTGTTCCATCAGCGTATTAGTTTGCCAGGGCTGCTGTAACAAAGTCCCACAAGCTGAATCCATAGTTTAAACAACTGTATTATCTCCTATTTCTGGGGGCTAGAGGTCCAAAATGAAGGCGTTGACAGTGTTGGTTTATCTGAGGGCTGGAAGGAAAAGATCTGTTCCAGGCTTCTGTACTTGATGGCCTCCTTCTCCCTGTATCTCTTCACATTGCCTATCTTTCTTTTTTACTTTTTTGAGACAGAGTCTCGCTCTGTCACCCAGGCTGGAGTGCTGTGATGTGAGTTCAGCTTACTGCAACCTCTGCCTCCCAGGTTCAAGCGATTCTCCTGCCTCAACCTCCTGAGTAGCTGGGATTACAGGCGTGCACCACCACACCCTACTACTTTTTTTTATTTTCAGTAGAGACGGGGTTTCACCACGTTGGCCAGGCTGGTCTGGAACTCCTGAACCCGTGATCCACCCGCCTCAGCCTCCCAAAGTGCTGGGATTACAGGTGTAGCCACCGCACCCAGCCTTACATTGCCTTTCTTTTACCTGTGCTGTCTCTGAGTCTAAATTTCCCCTTGCATAAGAACACCAGTCATATCAGACTGAGGGACCACCCTAACCCAGTATGGTCTCATCTTAACTAATTACATCTCCAACAACCGTATTACCAAACAAGATCACATTCTGAGGTACTGCACATTAGGACTCCAGCATATATTTTGCAGGAGGTTCAACCTGTAACTCAGGAAGAAGAGACTGGTGAGGGCGGGGGAGAGGGGATGGTGAGAGAAGGTCTGGCTCCCTTTTTATGCAGTGGTTGCCAAGCTGTGGATACCCAGCCAGGGGAGCTTTTGGGGGTATCCAGAAATATATCTGGCAGTAACTAGAAATAACAAAATGCCACTTCTGAGATGACTGCGAGTTTCCATTCTGTATAACTGCTTTGTAGTCTACAGTTGTATAGACTTTCTTAGGCTTTTTAACTTTGGTTTGGTATGGCTAACAGTTTTCTTAAAATCTCAGACTTTTTTTTTTTTTTGAAGCGGAGTCTCTGTCACCCAGGCTGGAGTGCAGTGGTGCAGTCTCAGCCCACTACAACCTCCACCTGCAAAGTTCAATGCATTCCCCTGCTTCAGCCTCCCAAGTAGTTGGGAGTACAGGTGCGTACCAGCACGCCTGGCTAGTTTTTTTGTTTAGTAGAGATGAGATTCACCCTGTTAGCCAAGATGGTCTCAATCTCCTGACCTCGTGATCCACCTGCCTCAACCTCCTAAAGTCCTAGGATTACAGGCGTAAGCCACCGTGCCTGGCTTTTTTCTTTTTCTTTTTTTTTTTTTTTAAGAGACGGGTCTTGCTATGCTGCCCAGGCTGGAGTAGTGGTTATTTACAGGCATGATCATAGCATACTCTTGCCTTGAACTCCCAGGACAAGTGATTCTCTAGCCTCAGCCTACTGAGTACATGGAACTTTAGGTATTTGCCACCATGCCTGGCTAGATTTACTTATTTTACTAGAATAAAACCTTCAGGATTCGTTTCAGATAAATTCATGAATGGTAAACTGAATCCTTTCTTGCTTGTTTGAAAATATTGTTTTGCTCTTAAACTTGAAAAACACCTGGAGCATGAAATTCTAGGCTCACCATCCAATTTTTTTTTTTTTTTTTTTTTCCTTTTTACAGAATCTTGAGGACCTCAGGTGCCACCCACTAGTCTGGTCTCTGAATGTCTTGCTATCGCACCTATAGAGCAGGCGTCCCCAAACTTTTTACACAGGGGGCCAGTTCACTGTCCCTCAGACCTTTGGAGGGCCGCCACATACTGTGCTCCTCTCACTGACCACCAATGAAAGAGGTGCCCCTTCCTGAAGTGCGGCGGGGGCAGGATAAATGGCCTCAGGGGGCCGCATGCGGCCCGTAGTTTGGGGACGCCTGCTATAGTGTCTTACTGCTATTTGCTGTTAAAGTCCATGGGCTCTACCACACCCTTCCGTGTAAAGGTGTCTTATTAAGAACGCCCTCCCTGTTCTAAAGATAGTAACATATTTTAGACTGGGTGCAGCGGCTCACACGTGTAATCCCAGCACTTTGGGAGGCTGAGGTGAGCAGATCACTTGAGCTCAGGAGTCTGAGACTAGTCTGGGCAATATAGAAAAACCCTATCTCTACAAAAGTTAGAAAAATTAGCCAGGCATGATGGCACAGGCCTGTAGTTCCAGCTACCAGCTATTCAAGAGGCTGAGATGGGAGAATCACCCGAGTCCAAGAAGGTCCAGGCTGTCGTGAGCCGTGATTGCACCACTGCACTTCAGTCTGGGCTAACAGAGTAAGACCCTGTCTCAAAAACAAACATATTTTATATGTCCTCCTAATATCCTTACTTAAATTTAACTATTTATTCTACCTGGAATTTATTCTTACAAATGGTATGAGGCAGGGATTGAAATTTCTTGTTCCCAAAATGGGTAACTGACTCATTGCCATTCTTTCTCCCACTATTTGAAATGTAGTAAATTCCCATTCAGTCATAATTAATGTTACATTGATTTACATAAATGGAAATTCCAAGACTTAGTAAATTAGGGAAAAAAAAAGCAAATTACATAACCATACATAAGGTATGGTGCCATGTATAGCTAATAAAGCAAAACAAACCTCACAACGTTTATATACAAACACATACACGGTTTTATTTATATGGTCTTTTCTGTTGACTGATGACCTTCGTTCTTCAACCCTCATTTGGTCACCCAGCACATATTTACATACTATATAATATTTACATATTTAACTACATTAAAAAAAAAAAGTCTATTTTGACTGCGAATTCCTATGGAAAGTTCTCTGACATGTCCGGCTTGGGTCAGGTGACCATTCCTGGCCAATCAACCTGGAATCAGGCAGATAACATGGCACAAAATGACTACAGGGATTATCTCTTTTTTACCTCTCCTAAAGATGAGATTCATAGTCAAGCTCACACAACTTTTAAGGGAGAAGCTTGAGATTTTGGAATGTAGGTCATCACCAAATCAAACTTGGATCCACTCATCCAATGTGCAGCGAAAGCCAGACACTGTCGCCAGGATTTGTAGTGAGAGAAATTGAGGTATTATTGGGTGTGCAAAAAGAACTGGGCAGCTTAAGACCCAAGCGTCCTAGACCAGGCTTGGTGGCTCACGCCTGCAATCCCAGCACTTTGGGAGGCCGATTACCTGAGCTTAGGAGTTTGAGACCAGTCTGGCCAACATGGTCAAACCCTATCTCTACCAAAAGTGCAAAAATTAGCTGGGCATGGTGGCAGGCACCTGTAATCCAGTTACCTAGGAGGCTGAGGCAGGAAAACTGCTTGAACCCAAGTGGCAGAGGTTGCAGTGAGCCGTGATCACGCCACTGCACTCCAGCCTGGGTGACAAGAGCAAGGCTCTGTCTAAAAAGGAAAAAAAAGGACCCAAGCTTCCTGATGGCTTACAAGCAAGGGTTTTTAATGGCAGGGGTACACTTTAGGAAAGCGGAAGTTACAGGCAAAATCATAAATCAATACATGGAGGTTATCATTGGTTTCAGCCAAAAAGGTTAAGTATCTTGAAGCAGGGCTTACAGGTTATAGGAAGATTCAGAGCTTTGCAATGGTTTAAAGTAGGGCTTTGTCTAAAAACTTAGGGTCAGCAGAAAGGAATGTTACAGTTTTGCTTGTGGGTATGATTCTTTCTAGGCCCCTTAAGAAGAAATCTAGAAGAATGTTGGTTAGGGTTCAGTCCTGTTTCCCCTTATCTTAGGTCCACATGACAGTGGGTGGGATTTTTCATCCGGCATGAATCTGCGTTCCTAAAAAACTCAACATGTGATCTTTCATTTTTATAGGGAAGTAAACATTGTGTCCTTATTCCAGGCTGCTCATTTACTTTTCTGAAGCTAAGGTACCTGGAATTTCCCTTGAAGAGACTCAAGATTTTTTATTAGTATGCATGGGAAGATCCAAGCAGGCCCGTGAGAGACGTCCCTGCTACATTTTTGTTGGATGCTTATGCACAGTATCACATCCTGGGACATGTTTAGCTTGGAACAAAGCTAGGGGAGAGATGTAATAGCTGTCCTTAAGCATCAGAAGAGCAGTTAGACCTCTGGTTGAATGTTAGAACTAGGACCATTTAGAGACAGATTTTCCCTCCGTTAAAGGAGAAAACAAAAACAAAAACGGAAACTAAAAACTTGTCCAAACATAAAGTTTGTATCTTGAGTTCTCTTTCAGAGAGACATTTCAAGCTACGCTATACAGACAAATGAATTATACGGTATGGATATTAAAAAGCTGAGAGTGTATCAAAGCTTGACTTCATTCAAAGTATGGAAAAAAACCAAAGAGCATACTGTTTTTGTTAAAGTGAAAAAAATTAGGTAAAGTTTATATAAGTAGACTGATAATTTTTGAAGAGAAAATACACCATTAAGCAAAGTTTCAAAAACCTCAAGTCAAATCTTAGTGTATTTCAAAAGCAAAGCTTAAATTCATTCACTGTGGTTAAACTGCATTTCATCAAGTATTTGTTGAAATAAACTTCGTGAAATCATTATAGTTTTTATTGTATACATATCAGTGACACAGAATAAAAACCTTACTCTCTAAAACGTGAGAATAGAACATAAAAATGACTAAGCATGTGATCTTCAACCACATTCATATAGTTTTTGAAATAATCTTTTACAATTAAAAAGTCACTTATTTAAAACCACAGAATTGACAGATGATGTGTGCCATGTAAGTATTAGTTTAGAAACTTACAAAACAATTTTAGTGGTGGCATTTATGTGTGGAGAGAAAAATGTGTAACTATCAAGAATTTTAGTTATTTAGTTCTCTTCTCCCATTTAATCCTAAGAGTACATCCGGCTCAGTGCTGCATTAGGGCGGCATATCAAAGTTTCAGTTTCTCTTTCCAACGCTGTTAGCTGTTCTAATGAAAATACAGAAGGATAATGATCTTTTAACATAGCTGGTAATTTACAACTTTTCTCTTGAAGACGTTGAGAACGTCTCACTGGTGTTATAAACTTGAGCTTCTTAAATGCGGAATTTGTTTCAAAGTCCACCTTCTTCATACTGAAAATTAAAACAATATTCTCAAAGTTCAAAAACATGTTAATGTTTTTAATCTGTACTTTCATGATAGGTACCATACCATATAGCTTGTATAAGCATGTAATTGTCTTTTAGAGAGGTACTATAAGCTCATTATCCTTTTCTTAATTTGTCATTACAGCTTGTACACGGAAGATACTTGAGTATCTAGAATTGGCTAACTCCTGAATGCCAAAACCTACTGTTATTAATAATCACAGATTAAAGTAAAATTATATAAAAGTTTTCTTTTTCAAAATGGCAATATTTGGGGAGAGTAAACATAGCATTTAAAAGGTGAAATGTTCCAATGACATTCTATTTGTTTGAAAACTTTTTTCTTTTTTGTTTTGAGACAGGGTCTCGCTCCATCATCCAGACTGGAGTACAGTGGCATGATCTTGGCTCACTGCCACCTCTGCCTCCCAGGCTCAAGTGGTCCTCCTACCTCAGCCAGGCTCCCAGATAGTAGGGACTACAGGTGCATGCCACCTAGCCCAGCCAATTTTTTTTTGTAAAGATAGGGTTTTGCCATGTTGCCCAGGATAGTCCTGAACTCCTGGGCTCAAGTGATCTGTCTGCCTTGGCCTCCCAAAGTGCTGAAATTACAGGCATGAGCCACCATGCCCCGCCTGAAAACTTTTCTGTGTTAACAAATGGTAGCTGTAATCTGAAGCTATCTCAAAGATTATTTAAATGCCATATTTATTATCCCCAAGCATCAAAAAAAAAATCACAGCACATTACATTTGAAATGTTTACCTTTGCAAGTATGGCGTAGTAGACACATTATACTTAATTAAGGAACCTGTCCTCATTTCTGTATTGAGGGTTTTAACATCATGGGTTGAATCTTTCGTTTTGCTGTCTTGCTCTTTTTCACAGTCTTGGAATAGCACATTTCTATGATGTTTACTCTCCATTTCCACTTTTTCTGGATCTACATCAACACCTGTATCTTCAATACTGACTTCTGTGACTAATTCCTTGGTTGCACAAGCCTTCTCTGTATTTTCTTCTATAGAAAGTACATTTATTAGATTAAGCTTTTGGCTGAATTTTAAGAACAAAATCAGAAGACATTAAACTTATTCCTAGTTGGCCAAATTTTCAAAATAAAAGAACACAACTGCCAGCACCGAACCATTCCTTTTCCTCAGCCAACTATGTAACAAACCGTTGCCAACTATGTAAACAACATTTACTATTATAAAGTGAGATAAATACTATATATGTAATAAGAACAAAGGATTATTAAAACCCACAAAAGGGAACAACTGACTTTGCTTGTGGTACAGGGAGATGGTTAGGGAATGCTTCACAGGTGACATTTAGACTGGGTCTTGAAAAGTGAGTAACTGACCAAGACCAAAGAAGACAACCTTCCTATGGCACATAAAAGAAAATGATCTATTAAAATAACATTAAAGAGCCAGTGTGTTTACAATATAGGGTAAGGGGCAAGGGAGGAGTGGGAGCGGGCGGTATTGAGCTCAGATAGGTAAGCAAGAGGTGGATTGTAATGAGCTTTATATGAAAGAAGCTTGGTTAAAAAAAAAAAAAAATTGACCAGAGAGACAGATATAATTAAATTTGGTCAAGATAAAGGATTGTCTAGAATGAGAGAGAATGAAAAGTAACAATCTGGGAGGGCAAGAAGATGAAGTTGTTGTAATAGGCTAAGTAAGTTAGTAAGAGGTTGGATCGGAAGGAAGAGTCCAATTTGAGAAATATTTGAGTGAGGACTTTTTTTTTTTAAGAGACAGGGTGCCTGTCATTCTGTTGTCACCCAGGATGGAGTACAGTGGAACAATCATAGCTCACTGTAGCCTCAACTTCCCAGGTTCAAGTGATCCTCCTGCCAAAGCCTCCCAAGTAGCTGAAACTACAGGTGTGCACCCCACGCCCAGCTAATGTTTAAGTTTTTTGTAGAGATAAGGTCTCCCTATGTTGCCAAGGCTGATCTAGAATTCTCGACCTCAACCGATTCTTCCACACTGGCCTTCTGGTGTTGGGATTATAGGCATGAGCCACCATATCCACCCGAATCAGAACTTATTAACAAATGAAGGCATGACTGTGTGGGAATGAGTGTGCATATATATCAGGAGCATCTTGTCTAAAATTTCTTGCTTAAGAGTCATAAATGCCAAAGGAAGGTTTTTTCTTTTCTTTTTTGGGACAATGGGATCTTGGGTATAGGAAAGCAGTGAGGGCAGTCAACGATTTAAAAATGAAACATGCTAGGCTAGAAATACTTGCGAGACATCCTGATAAATACATTGAGCTGAATAAAAACTTAGATTTAATTATGAGGAAAATTATTAAAAATTTTTACTAAGAGAAATTTTAGTTGCATGATAGTGATCGAGTTTTTAATAAGTGGAAGCTGAAAAAGAAAGAAAAGAATATAGATTAATTCAACAAATATTTAAGTGCCAAATACATGCCAGACATTCCATGAGCACAGGAGACTCAGTGGTCAGGAACATTAGACACTGTCCTTGTATACTGAGTTTACATAATGCAAAAGACAGGACAAACAACTAAATAGTAAGCAATCAAATGCATCAAATATTGCATAGGGAAAAAACAGGGAGCACAAAACAGGTGCACTAAACCTAGGCTGAGAGGAGAGGGAATGGTACATCAGGGAAACCATCAGGGAAGGCTACTCCAAGGAAGTGACATTTGAGTTGACATCTTCTAAAGGATAAGTAGAACTTAAGAAAAAGCAGAAGACTGTCTTGGAGAGACATGGAGGGAAAAGAGAGTATAACCTCTTTCAGGAAATGAAAAAAAAAAGAAATAAATTCCAGGACATGGGGAGAGGGAAACAGAAGAGGCTAGACTCAGCAATTTATGCAGATGCATGACAGAGTATTTAGGTTGTGGTGTTGAGAACAGATTGGAATGAGGCAAGAGCAAAGAGGAGGGAAAGAGAGTATAACCCCTTTAAGGAAATGGAAAAAAAAAAAAAAAAGAGAAATTCAAGGATATAGAAGAGGGTAAGAAAAGAGACTAGACTCAGGAATTTATGCAGATATGTAACAGGGCATTTTGGTTCCAGTGTTGAGAATGGATTGGAATGAGGCTAGAGCAGAGAGGCAGGTAAAAGTGTAGGTCATCTTGAATATAGATAGGAAGGAGAGTAAGGATGGAATGATGTAGATGGATCTTAAGAGACACTTAGGAAGTTAAAATGAATTTGATTAGCTGGGGAAAAAGGGATGGGAAATGGAAAAGAAAGAGGGAGTAAACAATCACACCAAGATTCTGACTTGGAATTCATTAAGACAGAATTCATTCATTCAGTAAGTCTTCATTCATTAAGACAGAGAACTAAAAGCATCAGGTTTAGGGGAAATTATGTATTCAAGTTTGGCTATTTGTGTTTGAGGTAGCTGTGAGACATCCAAGTGATGCTTGTCTCTTACTATTTCTTTCTTTTGAGACGGAGTCTCGATCTCGTTGCCCAGGTTGAAGTGCAATGGCGCGATCTCAGATCACTGCAATCTACGCCTCCTGGGTTCAAGCGATTCTCCTGCTTCAGCCTCCTGAGTAGCTGAGATTACTACAGGCATGCGCCACTACAACCAGCTAATTTTTTTGTACCTATTTTTAGTAGAGATGGGGTTTCTTCACGTTGATCAGCTTGGTTTGAATTCCTAACCTCAGGTGACCATCTGCCTCGGCCTCCCAAAGTACTGAGATTACAGGCGTGAGCCACAGTGACCAGCCTTTTTTTTTTTTTTTTGAACCCTCTCTTGAACTACTTCGACCACTTATGTTCTTTTGCTGTTTACAAATAAATGACTTGTGAAATTGGTTTTATATCCAGAACTTACAATTATACATTTCAGAAAGCCAAGAGTTTATGGATAGCTCCTTCCCCCATCTGAAGACTAATAAAATACTATACCTGCTAGAAAACACCAACTAGTAGTATTCTGTAAGACAGGAACAGTAATTTAATCAGATTAACTACTGCTTTTATCTTTCCACACGTCTCCAGAGATAGAATTATGAGAAAAGCTCTTTTTATGAAATTTGAATTTCTACTTCACTGTGTTTGTGAATAAGAGACAGGACTGGATTATTCTTAAACTTTTCTCCCTTTTTTTTGGGGGGGGTATACTAGTCTTTCCCGGGTGTCCCTTTCCCTGCTTCTCAAGCTCCTTCATTAAATACTATTAGTAAGATCAGATCATACAGATCTTTCATAGGTTCCCCTGGTGCATATTAACAGTCACCATAAATTGAAATAAGTCCTGATAACTAAGCATGCTGCGAACAGAAGCATGACCTCCAACACAGCCATCAGCATAGTAATCAGCACAACCATTAGCATATCAACCCCAGTGAACAGGTTTTTCTTTTTGCCAATACATGTAATAAAAAACTTATATAACATACTTAATTCAGAATTTGAGTATGATCCTTTTTTAAGGTTTCACCCTTCAACCTAGATTTCTACATCTTAAATTCATTTTCCATACTACAAGTAGGGGTACTAATACTGTTCTGGAAAGCAATCTGGCAGCATGTATCAGAAGACTAAGAGTTCAAACTGTTGGCACAGTGGCTCATGCCTGTTTTCCCTATATTTTGTGAGGACAAGGTGGGCAAATCACCTAAGGTCAGCAGTTCAAGACCAGCCTGACCAACATACCCATCTCTACTAAAAATACAAAATTAGCCAGGTGTGGTGGCACATGCCTGTAGGCTGAGGCTTGAAGTGAGCCGAGATCACACCATTGCACTCCAGGCTGGGTGACACAGGACGCCATCTCAAAAAAAATAAAACAAAACAAAACAAAACAAAAACATCTCAAACTGTTTGACTCTTGTTAAACTTAATCAAAAGGAAACAACTAGATATATAGGCAATGGCATACAATATGCACTCAAATATATGCTGACTATGTAATATACAGGTATAGTAAATAATTGGAAACTTTTTTTTTTTTTTTTTTTTGAGACGGAGTCTCACTCTGTCGCCCAGGCTGGAGTGTAGTGGTGCGATCTCGACTCACTGCAGCCTCTGCCTCTTGGGTTCAAGCAATTCTACCTCAGCCTCCTGAGTAGCTGCAACTGCAGTTGTGTGTCACCATGCCCAGCTAATTTGTGTGTGTGTATGTGCGTGTATATTTAGCAGAGATGGGGTTTCACCATGTGGGCCAGGATGGTTTTGATCTCCTGACCTTGTGATCCACTCACCTCAGCCTCCGAAAGTGCTGGGATTACAGGCGTGAGCCACCTCGACCAGCTGTAAACCGTTTTTCTAAAGTTAATTAACATTAATGGCTACAGTTTAATAAATTTACTATGTGTCATATAATATGATACTTTATTAACATTATTTCATTCAATGGTCCCCAAAAATCCCTCTTTTACAGATGAAAGGGTATTAATTTTTGGCCTAAAGTCACATCAACTGGCATAAGCTTTATCTAAATCTAAAAAATGTTTACACATTTTATGACTGAGAACGAATGAATCTTCTATCTCCATCTACTATCCCCAAAAAACAGAATTCTTGAATGAGCTTTTCTAGGCAACACAACAGATCACAGAATTTAACAGGTGAAAAGTCTAGAGATCTAGTCAAACAACCTCATTTTTAAGGCAAAAAATTAAAGCCTAGAGACAATGCAACTTTTATAGACATTCAGTGACAAATCTAAATATTGAGCCAGATCTCTTAATTAAAAATTCTGTATACTACATAAAGCCATTTTATCTCAGAGGTAGGTCAACACCAGTATGAGGAAAGAAATAACCTACATATTTTAAAAGTTAAAAAAGATAAAAGAAAAACTTATTTAGCAAAGAAATAGTAAACCTACAATGAGATACCATTTCGCACCAGTCAGAATGGCTATCCTTAAAGAGTCAAAAAATGGCTGGGCATGGTGGCTCACACCTATAATCCCAGCACTTTGGGAGGTTGAGGTGGGTGGAACATGAGGTAAGGAGTTCAAAACCAGCCTGGCCAACATGGTAAAACCCCATCTCTACTAAAAATTACAAAATTAGCTGGGTATAGTGGCACATTCCTGTAATCCCAACTACTCAGGAGGCTGAGCCAGGAGAATTGCTTGAACCAGGACCGGGAGACAGAGGTTGCATTGAGCCGAAATCGCACCAGTGCACTCCAGCCTGGGCTACAGAGCAAGACTGTGTCTCAAAAAAAAAAAAAAAAGGAAGGATGGAAAAAAAACAGATGCTGGCAGGGTTGTGGAAAAAAAGGAATGCAGAATGCATTTTACACTGTTGGTGGGAAATTCGTTCAACTACTGTGGAAGACAGTGTGACAATTCCTTAAAGACCTAGAGACAGAAAAATCTTCAACCCAGCAATCCCATTACTAGGTATATACCCAATATAAATCATTCTATTATGAAGATACATGCACATGTATGTTTACTGCAGCACTATTCACAATAGCAAAGACATAGAATTAATCCAAATGCCCATCAGTGATAGACTGGATAAAAAAATACGGTACAAAAAAAAAATACGGTACAAATACACCATGAAATACTATGTGCCATAAAAAGGAATGAGATCATGTCCTTTGCAGGAACATGGCTGGAGGCCCATTATCCTTAGCAAACTAACAGAGGAAAAGAAAACTAAATACTGCACATGAGAGTTAAGTGATGAGAACACATGGACACCTAGAGAACAACACACACTGGGGCCCAAGGGAGGGTGGCGGGTGGGAGGAGGGAGAGAGTCAGAAAAAATAACTAATAGATACGAGGCTTAATACCTGGGCGATGAAATAATCTGTACACAAACCCCCATGACACGTTTACCTATGTAACAAACCTCCACATCCTGTACAGGTACTCCTCATCTTAAAAGGTTAAAAACAAACAAACCAACCCTACAATTCACTTGAAGGAAATAAAAGAACTAAAACTTACCCAAATTAACTTTTTCTTGACTCTTCATTGTTAGAATATCTACAATTGTGTGTCGCAGCTCTTCAATTGGCTTAATTTTTTTTTAATGAAGAAAGCAGACCCATGTAAGTTTTATTTTCTGACATGAACTAGGTATCCAAGTTGAAAATATTAAAAGTAAGTGATTAAAATTTCATACTGTATTTTAAAGGCAGTAGCTCTTAAACCATGCTTCTCAGACCACTAAGATTGAAAAATGACTGTCTTTTCCAATGTATAGACTAAAAATGAACTTGAAACATAGAATTTCATGTTTGAAAATATCCCCATAATTTTACTTAATTAAGCCTTGCTCCTTTTCTCTTACATTTAAGTCTATGGTTATCCTTTTGTTTCATATGCTATCAAATGTGTATCTGAACAACTTAAGGTTGATTACCTCAACGTATTTCATTCATTCAAAAACTTACTAAGTGCCCATGATTTACCAGGTATTATAAGCATTTACTATGTTCCATCCAACACATTCAAGATTAGAAAAGGTATGGTTCACAGCCTCAGTTCCAGAAGTTACTCCTGAATTACTCAGCTATCCTGCTTTCAGTTTCTTTGGCTTATTTTTATTTATTTATTTATTTATTTATTTATTTTTGAGACGGAGTTTCGCTCTTGTTGCCCAGGCTGGAGTGCAATGGCGCCATCTCGGCTCACCACAACCTACGCCTCCTGGGTTCAGGCAATTCTCCTGCCTCAGCCTCCTGAGTAGCTGGGATTACAGGCACACGCCACCATGCCCAGCTAATTTTTTAGTATTTTTAGTAGAGACGGGGTTTCACCATGTTGACCAGGATGGTCTCGATCTCTTGACCTCGTGATCCACCTGCCTCGGCCTCCCAAAGTGCTGGGATGACAGGCTTGAGCCACCGCGCCCGGCCGGCTTATTTTTATTTTTTGAGACAGGGTGTTGGTCAGCTAACCCAGGATGGAGTGCAGTGGCACGATCATAGCTCACTGGTCTTGAACACCAGAGCTCAAGCAATTCTCCCACCTTAGCTTCCAGTATAGCTGTGACCACAGGTTATCTACCACCATGCTTGGCTAACTTAAAACTTTTTTTTTGCAGAGATGAAGTCTCACCATCTTGCCCAGGCTGGTCTCGAACTCTTGGACTCCTGCCTTGGCCTCCCTATGTCCTGGGATTACAGGCATGAACCATCATGCCTGGCCACTAATTTTATTTTAAGAGATGGAGTCTATGTTGCCCAGGCTGGACTCAAATTCCTGGGCTTAGAAAATCCTTCCACCTTGGCCTCCCAAGTAGTTGGGACTATAGGCACGCACTACTGTGCCCAGCCATCTTGGCTAATTTTGATTCTTGTTTTCCAGCAGCTTCTCCTCTGGTGTTACATCTTTCTGTTTACGTTATGCTTTCTATGTGAGCCTTGGTTCCAGTTTTGCATCCTTGCTACAATGTCCTAAGTTGCCTTAAGTAATGTCCCTGCTGATGCAATGTAGTAGGGGCCTAACACTCCCTACCAGATAGCATTCTGTCAAATATAATTACCCTTCTGGAAAGAGTTTCACACATGATAACCACTGAGAGACTATCTGATTTTTTAGTTAAGTGAAAAGTCAAATAGCATTTGTTGATTTTGTTGAGACTAAAGTGAACAGACCTTTCTTAAAAATGAGTTTTAAAAAATTATCTATATAGACAATCTCCAAGAATGTGTTTCTGAGAAACCTGGTCAAAAGGAAATATATTTTAGGAACATTTATCCATAAAAACAAAAATCCCCAACCAAACAAAAAGCTCAAGAAATGATTTATTGTATACCCAAAGCTTCATGTATCAATAGGATAGCAGAGATAGGAGTATCGTATCAAGCCACTAGGGAGGTAATGTTAGAGAAACGGGTTTATTGCCATTTTCTATATGCCGACAGAACCAATATATATAGTGTATATATTATACACTCTCTAATAGTAAACCTGACTCTCTCTATATATATCTATCTATTTTAAATCTGACTATAAATATATACGCTTAAGTCAAAGAGTTCTCTCAGAAAAACATGAGAGCTTGATAACATTTAAAAGGCTAATCTCTTTGCTTTATATTCAATAAAGAAATTTTAATATTAGATTCAGTCTCCCAATAAATTTCCAACCAGGAAATGCATACAATAATATGCTAAAATATTTCATTCAGAAAGTTTCATTAAATGTACATTTCAGTTTACATGCATTTTCTAAAGTCAGATTATTCCTAGTACAAGAATGAAAGACTCAGAAGGCCATAAAAGCTTCTATAATGCAATCCTTGTGGCCTTTAAACATATACATCCACAATTTTCTCAAGTTATGTTGTGATGTGTTTCAAATTAATTCTGAACTGTCTACTACACTGTAATAGTAAAGATCAACAAATTTTTATCTTACCTGAGCCCCTGCCAGAACGGCTTTCTCATAAATTGCAATAATATTTTCAACAGGACTTGTGATTGGTTCCATAAGTACAAGACATATCCAATACTTAACAAGCTTTCTGGCATCTCGAATATCTTTAATCAGGTCATTAACTATGACCAGTATATCTTCTTTTGGACATCCCTAAAAGAGCAAGAAATAATGTGTGATATTTTTTAGCCTACAAACTATGAACAATAATTGAACCTACTATAGTCAAGATCAATGATAAAGATAGCCATAAGCGTAAAGCAAAAAATGAAACATTAGTTGAGACATTCATTAGTAGAAAATGAACACTTACTTGGTGTTGATTTTATCCTTATATTATGGGATTCCATTTGTTGTTAATATCTTCAACCAAATGCTTATGAGTGGGAACAGCCCTGTGGCATTTTTTTCTCTTAATTGTCTTTGCTGGGTTTTGATATTATGATTAAAATCAATCCGTAATGGTTTATGTCAGTTACATATAGTTAAGTAGTAGGGCAGAAAAAGTTTATAGTATCAAAAGAAAAAAACTTCAACTGAGCAGAAATAAACTCTGATTCTTTCCTATTAGAGAATCAGAGTTTTCCTGATGGTAACTTTCACTGGTGCTCAAAACCACAAAAAGTTAAGAGGCTCATGAAGAGTAGAGTCAGGTTCAGGTTTGAAATCATACCTTGAATTCATTTTTGGTATGGACCTTACACACCAGTAGCTGACCAAAACAAGATTAAAGAGCAGTCAGTAAACAAAGACAATATTCTGGAGCTGATTATTATACTCCACAAGATTTTGATCCAAAGAGCAAACCTCTGCAATAAATTCAAAACCATGATGATGTTGCCTTATATGAATGGAATTTCCTTTTGCTTTTTTTTTTTTTTTTTTGAGATGGAGTTTTGCTCTTGTTGCTCAGGCTAGAGTACAATGGCACAATCTCGGTTCACTGCAACCTCCACCTCCCAGGTTCAAGCAATTCTCCTGCCTCAGCCTCCCAAGTAGCTGAGATTACAGGCACCCGCCACCACACCTGGCTAATTTTTGTATTTTTAGTAGACACAGAATTTCACCATGTTACCCAGGCTGGTCTCAAACTCCTGAACTCGGGTGATCTACCCACCTCAGCCTCTCGAAGTGCTGGAATTACAGGCTTGAGCCACCACACCTGGCCAGATGAATGGGATTTTGTTTGAGAGTATTTTAGGTAACTTGAATTTAATCTGTGATGATAATGACTCACACAATATTTGTGTTGCTAGTCTTTGGTAAAATGTGTAATGAATGTGAAAAATAATCTGTAAATATAACGAATAAATGTAAGAAACATTAGAAGCAATAAGTAAATATCACCTCAGTATATTATGTAATTATCTCATAGGACTCAAATATTTATAATTCAGTAAAAACACCTAATTATCCCTTTGATACAGGTTAAGTATCCCTAATCTGAAAATCCAAACCTAAAATCCAAAACTTTGAGTATCAACAGCATAATGAAGATGACCATCGTTAACACTGCAGAAAACGAACCTATAGGTGAAAATATGTGATAGGCTTATTAAAGGACTAGAGCAGCATTTATTCAGAACAGAACAAGACATCATGTCCCTTTATAAAATCAAGGAGAAACTTCTAAGACAAAAACCACTGCTAATGAGGCAGATGACTTGAAGAAACATCTTAAAAAGCCATCCAGTAGAATGCCTCCTTATCCCTAAGGATCCACTGCCTGTTCCCTCAATTGCTTCTGCTGTTTCTTCTCACCTAAAAATGTAAAACACAGTGTAAAATACCTCTTAAACACAGCATCATAGATGGAGATTGATAACGTGCTGCTGTTTGTTGTTGCTGTTGTCTAACAGCTGATACAGGTATTCTGATTCTCCTGTGCTGCTCAGTTACTCTGAACATAGTTTTTACTGTATTAATGTTGTGGGTTTTTTTAATAAATTGTTAAGTACTTATGTGTGAATAAGAAGATAATTGCTTATTAGTAGCATAGAAATTCAGAGTCAGGAATGACGGTGATGCCAAACAACCAGGCTATCCCATGCCTGGCTGACACAGTGACACTTTTGCTTTCTGATGGTTCAATGTCCACAAATTTTGCTTCATGTACAAAATTATAAAAAATATTGTATCTTTAGGCTGCATGTATAAGCTGTATATAAAACATAAATGAGGCCGAGCACAGTGGCTCACGACTGTAATCCCAGCACTTTGGGAGGCTGAGGTGGGTGGATCACATGAGTCCAGGTGTTTGAGATCAGCCTAGCCAACATGGTGAAACCCAGTCTCTACTAAAAATGCAAAACATTTGCCAGGCATGTAGCACATGCCTATAATCCCAGCTTCTTGGGAGGGCGAGGCAGGAGAATGGCTTCAACCCGCGAGGTGGCGGTTACAGTGAGCTGAGATAGCCCCCTGCACCCCAGCTTGGGTGACAGAGTAAGATTGTCTCAAAAGCAAACAAATACACAAACAAAACATAAATGAATTTCGTGTTTAGACTTGGGTTCCATCCCCAAGATATCTCATTACATATATGCAAATATTCCAAAATCCAACAAAAAAGTTTTCAATTACTTCTGGTCCCAAGCATTTTGGATAAGAGATATTCAACCTGTACATTTATAGGAACTCAAGGCAAAAATATAGTCAATTAAAGGCTAATCTCACAATTCATCAATGAAGCAGTATATCTCACAATTAAATAACTGTTAAAATAATTTCATAGTTCATGTCAAGGCAACATAGTATCACCAACAACAGCTAGTCAAAAAGACTGATGATATAATTTAATTAAATAATGTTTATGAAGGTAATTTGCAAACTATAAAATGCTAAGCAAATATAAAGACTCTACCTCATTAATCAAGTTCAGGCATTCAGAAAATGTGTTGTTTACTTTTTCAGTAAATAATCTTTGTTCATCTTCTTCTGCCATGGTAGTCCAAAAAGACCCAACTGGCTTTTCTTTTTGTCCTTCGGGCTCATGCTCAATAACTACTGAGTTCGGAGGCCTTTTTAGCACTCTTCCTTTGCCAGCTTTCCATTCACTCAGAGGAGCTCTATAGTTAGAAGCAGATATAAACATTACTTTGAAATAGCTGAGAACTCTTAAATAGAGGAAAAGTTAAAAAATAAAAAAAGTCATTATTTTAAAGTAATCTTACTCTAGCAGCATGTACATAGTTCACAAGCTTGAATAGTAAACATATCAAGGCCAAGTATGCTCAGAGACTCCATGAATGCATTTTGAGAGATTATAAAGTATTTCCCAATTATTATTAAGCATTTACCTTAGATTTTAAAAAAACAATCTAATAAAACATACTCAAACACAAAAACTTATAGATCATAATGTTCCATAACATAAATCTGCCTGCATATGACAGAGGAGAAACCATGAAAGAAAATTCTAGGCCAGGCATGGTGGCTCATGCCTGTAATCTCAGCACTTTGGGAGGCGGAGGCAGGCAGATCACGAGGTCACGAGTTCAAGATCAGCCTGGCCAATATGGTGAAACCCCATCTCTACTAAACTGGGCGTGGTGGTACACACCTGTGGTCCCAGGTACTCGGGAAGCTGAGACAGAATCACTTGAACCTGGAAAGTGGAGGCTGCAGTGAGCCACCATTGTACCACTGCACTCTATCCTGGGCAACAGAGCAAGACTCTGTCTCAAAAAAAAAAAAAAAAAGGAAAATTCTAATGCAGTCAAGGGAATTATAAGCCAAATCTACAAACAGCATGTTATTGAAAACTAAGGTAATACAATGAAGAAAATTCCATCTACTTACTTTCTCTCTTCTGCGGTTTCTTTGGGATGAGCTGATCTCCCAACAGTTGCTTTTCTTATAGCATGTCTTCGTTGGTCAATGGGCTTCGGCTTTTCTATCAGTTTGTCATTAGACAATGAAGCAGGCCTGGCCACAACTTCAGATGCTATGCTTGTTGACAGCGTCTGTCTTATTATTATTTCTGGACAAGAACTGGTTTTGACACTAGGTAAAGCTGTTTTTGATTCTAACAGTTCTTTTTCACGAGGTACTTTCTGGATTGTAACATGGGCAGAGGTTCTCCTGATGCCTTGTTTCACAGTGTCCTGGGTATTACTGTGACAACTTCTAACTGGAGGTCGGACAAGTGGTGTGTTCCGAGATGTAGTGCTTACAGATTTCGTGGTGACAGTCATACTTGAGGATCTATTACTTTTAACTGTTACACTGCTGGTGTTTACAGGCTGACGCTTTGTGGCTTTAGGGACAGTGGCTGAAAGTTTCTTTGTTGCTTCAGAACTCTCATCTTTGACTTGTAGAGGTTTTCTAAATGAATTAACCTTAGACTGAACAATCTTTCCATGGTAACGTCCAAGTACAGGTTTCTCGGGCATGTTAGTATCTTGCTTTGGTTTTTCTGCAGTGTTCTGTTTCTTTTCACTATTGTTTTTAAGGTGAAATGCCTGGCTTAATGTCATATGTGTACTTTGGGGATCATCTTCAGTTAGTAACGACTGCAGAGTTTGATTAGTATCCTTAGGTTTATGTGTGTCAATTACTAAAGTGGAATTTATTAGTTCATTTGAAGGTTTTAAAGGAATACAATTTCTCCCCACTATTGTACTATTTTTGCTCCCTGCAGGTCTCTTCCCATTTTCTTTATCAGCCTAAAAGAATTATTTAAGGAAAGTGTTAATGAAAGGCAAAACGGAAAAGGGACAGTTTAAGTAGGCTATGTCCACATCTTACCATTTTTGTTTTAAGTTTCAGCAGTTTAGTCGCTTCCTGAACTTGGTCCTCATATGTCACAGCTCTCTGACCTCTACTACTTAAAAACAAACAAAAGGATTAATCAATCAATCAATCCTGTACCAGGGGACTTCCTTTTGGGGAGGGAGAAGAGGGCAATGTTAACAATTAACTGACTTATTAATTCTAAATTTAAGAAAGACCTGTGACATTTTTCCTAAGCAAATTTTTTTTTTTTTTTTTTTTTTTTTTTTTTTTGAGATGGAGTCTTGCTCTGTAACCCAGGCTAGAGTGCAATGGCATGATCTCAGCTCACTGCAATCTCTGCCTCCCAGGTTTCAAGAGATTCTCCTGCCTCAGCCTCTTGAGTAGCTGGGATTACAGGTGCACACCACCTTACCCAGCTAATTTTTGTATTTTTAATAGAGACAGGGTTTCACCATGTTGGCTAGGCTCTCTTGACCTCCTGACCTGAGGTGATCTGCCCACCTTGGCCTCCCAAAGTACTGATTACAGGTGTGAGCCATCACACCCAGCCCAAAGCAAAACTTTCAATAGTTTTTAATAGTGTAAACAAATGACTGAGGAATTTAAAGATATTTTCTAAAAGTCTTAACACTCTGCCCATAGAATTTGTAAATACTTAATATTCTTACTTCAAATCATCCTTAAGTCATTCAAACAAGTCTTCAAAAAACCTTTAGTAAGCAATACGTTCTTGGTTTACTTTTAAGTACTTAGTAAGAGATGTACTATGCTAAAAAAACTTTCACGTGAGAGTCCACCCAAAAGTAATCAAAAATTTACCATATGGCATTCACAGCTTAATTTATATTAGGATACATTAAGAATATGGACTGGGGCCGGGCACTGTGGCTCAAGCCTGTAATCCCAGCACTTTGGGAGGCTGAGGCGGGTGGATCACGAGGTCAAGAGATCTAGACCATCCTGGTCAACATGGTGAAACCTCATCTCTACTAAAAATACAAAAAAATTAGCTGGGCATGGTGGCGCGTGCCTGTAATCCCAGCTTCTTGGGAGGCTGAGGCAGGAGAATTGCCTGAACTCAGGAGGCGGAGGTTGTGGTGAGCCGAGATCGCGCCATTGCACTCCAGCCTGGGTAACAAGAGCGAAACTCCGTCTCCAAAAAAAAAAAAAAAGAGAATATGGACTGATGGGTACAGTGACTCATGCCTGTAATAGCAGCACTTTGGGAGGCTGAGGCGGGACTATTACTTGAGTTCAGGAGTTCCAGAGCAGCCTGGGCAACATGGCAAAACCTCGTCTCTACAAAAAATAAAAAATTAGTTGGGCATTGTGGAGGATGCTTATAGTTCCAGCTACTTGGGAGGCTGAGGTGGGAGGATTGCTTGAGCCTGAGACTTGAGGCAGTGAGCCAAGATCCCGTCGTTGCACTCAAGACTGGGTGACAGGCTGAGACCGTGTCTCAAAAAAAAAAAGAACCTTAGTTTCTAGGTGGTATTGCAAAGCAAATCCTTCCTCAAGAAAGTGACCTAAACTTATTTTTATAGTTGTAAACTGGCTAAGGCAGACTGTGAGCAACTCTTAGCAGGTGATTGTAACAATTTTGCATACAATAAAGACAGGAAAAAATCATGTAAATTAAACATGCCATTGATTTTAAGACAGATCCTAAGTTCAGAGATCACGTTAAAATGTGAAAAAACTGAGGCCAGGTGCAGTTGGTCATGTATGTAATCCTAGCACCTTGGGTGGCCAAGGCAGGTTGATTACCTGAGGTCAGGAGTTTGAGACCAGCCTGGCCAAAATGGCAAAATCCCGTCTCTAATAAAACTATAGGCTTGGCACCGTGGCTCACGCCTGTAATCCTAGCAATTTGGGAGGCCGAGGTGGGTGGATCACCTGAGGTCAGCAGTTCAAGACCAGCCTGGCCATCATGGTGAAACCCCATCTTAAAAAAGAAAAATAGCCGGGCGCGGTGGCTCAAGCCTGTAATCCCAGCACTTTGGGAGGCCGAGGCGGGTGGATCACGAGGTCGAGAGATCGAGACCATCCTGGTCAACATGGTAAAACCCCGTCTCTACTAAAAATACAAAAAATTAGCTGGGCATGGCGGCTCGTGCCTGTAATCCCAGCTACTCAGGAGGCTGAGGCAGGAGAATTGCCTGAACCCAGGAGTCGGAGGTTGTGGTGAGCCGAGATCGCGCCATTGCACTCCAGCCTGGGTAACAAGAGCGAAACTCCGCCTCAAAAAAAAAAAAAAAAAAGAAAAATAATAAAATAAATAAAAATAAGCCAGGTATGGTGGCACATGCTTATAATCCCAGGTACCCTGAACCTAGGAGGCAGAGGTTGCAGTAAGCTGAGATTGCACCGCTGCTCTCCAGCCTAGGCAATAGAGCCAGACTCCATCTCCAATATAAAATAAATGTTTATTTTACATTTGACACAGTTTGGTAGTTAATAATTTTGGTTACATTGCCTTTCATATCTATTTGCTCTGTCAGCTTGGAGAAGGGACAGAACTTTGACCCAGCCTGTACTATGCATTTTGAATAACGGTGAAGGGAGATCAAAATGTGCCACTTCATAGGGTTTCTTAGTAGTTAACTGCTTGCTAAAACAAAACTCAGGATGACAAGAACCCATCTTACTCACCTGTTCAACATGAAGACTTAATCCTGTTCAGTCTTACTATCATGAACCTGTCCTAAAAAGGGTTATCTGAAATGAGTCTTAGGATACCTACACTTTAGAGATTATAAAATATAATTGGTTAATTCTGAAAAGCTGCAGCACAGATGGGTTATCTTATTTAATAATTCACTGCTGCGATAACACATTTAAATTGACATCTGTTTTCTGAAAGGAATAAATGTACTTATGCCAGAAGCAGCGTTTTGGAATTTTCTTGTCTTCCTACTTTGTTGAAGAGTATTATAAACCCCTGACCCTGCTGGGTTCCTTATTTAAATAAGCAGTAGAGAGTCAATGTCTGAATCCATATTATCTCTACTTATTCCCTAGTAATTTCATTCCCTCCTAAGGTTTTTAAATAAATATTATCTGTACACTGACCAATTCCCAAGTGTATGCTTCCAGTCCAACCCCTCCCCCTGAACTTCAGACACACAACTATTTGGCATATCTGCTTGGATGTCTGGTTGGTACCTCAAACATAGTCAAAACAGAACTGCTAATTCCCGAGCTCCTCCTTCAGTCTTCCTATTTCACTATATGGTTATCACTACCCATTTACTTATCCAAACCAAAAACTTAGGATCACCTTTTTGTCTTAAAGAAATAAAAGATTTGTGAAGGATAAAATGTTTATTCCAAACTAAAGCAACTTATTAACGTAAAGTTAGAAATTACTTTTAAAACTTTGGAATAGCAAAACTTAAACAAAATTGCAAAAGTATCAACAGGTCAACGAGTATCTATACACTCCTTACTCAGGATCCACCTACTGTTAAAATTTTTATCCCATTTGCGCTATCATTTCCATCTCTAAATATGTGTGTAAGCGATATACATTTTTTTTTTTTTTTTTTTTTAAGACGGGGTTTCACCATGATGGCCAGGCTGGTCTTGAACTCCTGACCTCAGGTGATCCACCCACCTCGGCCTCCCAAAGTGTTAGGATTACAAGCGTGAGACACCACGCCCGGCTGGTATACAAAATTTTTTACCTGAGACATTTGAAGACAAATTGTATACACCATGGAACTTTATTCTTACAAACTTCCTTAAAATAGGAATATTCTCTTACATAACCACAGTCATCAAATATATTTACCTTGATACACTACTTTAACCTACATTTACTTTGATCAACTACTTTAACCTACTGTTTGTTCACACTTTAGTTTTCAACTGACCAATAATGTCTTTTATGTTCTTCCTTCCTTCCAGTATAGGATATGGCATAAGGTCAGGCGTTGCATTTAGTCGTTATGTCTCTTTAGTCTCTCTTACTCGGGAATATTCAGGACTTTTAACTCCTTTCTTTCTTTTATATCCCATACCTAACCATCACCAGGTCTAGTCAGCTCTATCTTCTACAAACTGGCAAAATCTGACCACTCTCTCCCATCAGAAAGGGTATCAAGCGTTTTTAAGGGCAGAATATATCAATAAATTACCTAATACAAAGAATCGAAGATGAAAGTGGTGCTTTTTTTTTTTCTTTTGGAGACGGAGTTTTGCTCTTGTTGCCCAGGCTAGAGTGCAGTGGCGCAATCTCGGCTCACTGCAACCTCTGCCTCCTGGGTTCAGGCGATTCTCCTGCCTCAGCCTCTCAAGTAGCTGAGACTATAGGGGTGTGCCACCACACTTGGCTAATTTTTTGTATTTTTAGTAGAGACGGGGTTTCACCATGTTAGCCAGGATGGTCTCGATTTCCTGACCTTGTGATCTGCGTGCCTCGGCCTACCAAAATGCTGTTATTAGAGGCATGAGCCACCGCACCTGGTCAAAAGTGAGACTTTTTTGATCCATAAGCATGGCAATGATTTTGGAAGAAAATTAACGAAACCAGGAGAATAAAGTATTCCAAAAACGAGTTCACGGAATGTAATGCCACAGAGAGCATTAAATAATATTACCACTTGCTGGGTTCTCACTGTATAACAGGCATAACATGATGCATTCACTATCTAATTTAATTCTCAAGAAACAATTACCACTATCTCATTTTAATATATGTAAACAGACTCAAAGAGGTCATGTATCTTTCCTGAGGTTGCACGGCTGTAGTAGCAGACTTAACGACTGTAATTAGTGGTTACTAATTACATCCTCACAGGCTCTTTGCATCGAAGAGTGATAAGGGCCTGCGTTACAGTTATCTCTGGGGAGTAAGGGGACCTTTTGCCTTTCTGCTTTATCTACTTTCATGGATTTTTGTTTTTGCTACAACTATGTCCTATCTAAAATATTTTAGCAAAATAATAAAAATATTTGTACAGAAGGTTGAGACTACAATTAATGATCTGTAAGCATTTGGGAGGGCCACCCAACCCTTCCCTGAAGAACTCCCCAATACACTGAGTAAAAGCTTTACTAAATAATAGAAAGACTGACCTTTGTGTGGTGTAAACCATAAGTTGATAATCTGGTCTATGCACGTACTTTGCTTTGTAACTGTGTTTTGCTTAGATTGTGAATTAATTTATGCAGAAAACGAGGATCTAATGTTGCACCATGCAGTAAAGTAGCCACTAGCCAAATGTGGCTATTGAGTGCTTGAAATGTGGATGGTCCAAATTGAAATGCGCCGAAAGTGTAAAACAGACACCAGATTTTGAAGACGTTGTACCGAAAAAAGATGTACAGAGGTGAAAAGAAATAAACTTGACCTCACCTGGATAACATCTCGTTTTCCTGCTTGTATGCAAAAAGTGTTTTTCTTCTCAACAGGTGTTCCTGGAGTTTTTTTCTTTGCTCTAGGTAACAAAAGGTAAGGGCTACAAGTCAGTATTAGTTATAACATCAAATAAATTTTTTTTTACTAAATAAAGAGTTTATTTCCAACCCTGGTTCCACTTGGGGTCAAATCTCTATAACAAAATTCCCCAATTCAGAATTGCCTTTGAGAAATCATCTAAGAAGAGACTGTTACCACAACAGGTCCCCAAAGCGCCTCTACATAAGAATCATTCTCTACTGTCTGTGAAAAATCTGGAGAATATAATTTTCAATATACAGCTCTCGAAAGCGAAGATTTAAGAAACTTAGTGTTGGAAGTGAGGCGCCAGACTCCAAAGTTCTAATTTACCAGACGGGTTAGGTGAGAATTCCTTCCTTCTGCTTTCCCGTCTGTAGAAAAAAGAAATAACTTTTGATGACCCAGCCAACCCTCCGTTTCCAAAAAGTCTAAGGAGAAGCTGTGAAGTTGGAAAAAACACAGGATGCGACCCCAGTCCAGCAAAAAGTCGCTACGGATCCAGCAGGCGGAGAGCCCCGCGCAGGCGCAGCTGCAGTCGGTCCCGGCGCCCGGGTAGCCCCGCGCCCCGCCGTCCCCCCCGGGCTCCTACCACTGGTCCCAGCCTGAGCCCCGCACGTTTCCCCTCGCCTAACGGATTCCCTCACTGGAGGGTCCAACCCAGCCAGCTGCGACCACACACTAACACCACGCAGCGAGTCCTGCTTTTATGACCCGTTCCACAAGCCCAAGAATGCGGCAGGGCGAGGCCGAGGCCGCGTTCAGGGCTCTCACACAGCCGGGAAGGAGTGGAGCGCGCCAGGGCAGCCCCTAGCCCCGACTGCCCAGCCCGCGCCCGACACCGCGGCCCTCGCCTTTGAATGCAGACTGGGCCCTCTGACTCGGGGGCAGCTGCAGGTCTCGGGGCACGGCCGGGGTTCTCGTAGTCTCGGGTGGGGAGCTGCGTCTCCGCTTTGCGTCCATATAGAATTTTCTCAAGCCAACGCCGCCGCCACCTCCTCCCATTGGCTCCTGCGTGAATTGAATGAGCCAATGGGCATAGAGAGGCGGAGCCTGGGTTGCGGTTGCGCTGGTCGGTCTGGTGTCTACCGAGTTCGGTTGGGACTGAGTCTGCAGGTTTCAAACCTAAACTGCGCTCTTTATCTTGGAAGTGCGACGGGGGAGGAGTCAGCCTGCTCAGTCCCCACGACGTAGCAGGACTAGGTTGCAGGCAACAGCTTGGAACCCTTACAGTCCTTGGAGGAAGACAGACGAGAAAAATACAAGAAAAGTGTTGAATGGCTATGCTTCTTATTAAACCTCGGCTTGTTCACTGACGAGGACGTAAACACCGACCTGGCGTACCACGAGGATGTGTATTTTCCTTTCACTAAGATTGCTTCACCTTGAGCATCATAACTCTGAAGGGGACGTTATCACCTCTTTTTCCACTGAGAGGTGACAGGCTCAGAGGTTGTCCACGTTTGCACAGCGTGTGAAGGGGGGCTGAAATTGGGATCTACTTTCCATACCTTTATTCAAAGCAATTATCAGATGCAAAAAAGGGAGGAGTGGAGGAGAAACTGGAAAAATGAGGATAAGCCCCATCCCCTCCCCAAGGTGATACATGATTCTCCTGTGAAGCTATAATAGCATTTGTTGTAGACGTTTTGTGTTTGTGTGGTTAAGTGTGCTACCATAACCTTTCCGTTTTTCTCATCTAAAAATACCACCTTCATAAAACCCACACAAACACCCAATCCACATGACAGAACGAAACAAGTCAGGGCTAGGAGATTTTAAGGGTGGCAGTGGGGAAGTTAGGGCGAGTCTGGACTGCACCTGCCTGGTTTCAAGCACTGGGTTTTACATTTCTTGCCTGATCACTGCAGTAAGGCTGGACTGGACTATGCTTCAGCCATGTTTTATGGGTTCAGACGGGAGGATGTGATTTCCCCATTTACCCTTCCCGGGTCTGACGGCCTCCACAGCTGGCCCTCGGCAATGGTCAGTTTTTCCCACTTCTGCCGGCTTTTTTCTTCAGATGTCTTATGGTAGCATCTTGCTAATGGGGAATTTGGTTTGAGATTTTGTGTCATTTTTTCCTTGATGAAATGTCCCAGTTTTAATGTAACGTGTTCATCACCATCCTTAAGAATATCACGGCTGTTTAAATACTTCTGTCAATATTGTCGATTATTTATTGAAGTTTGATCAGACAGTTTGGGTAACCAGGAATTTCTATTAAGTGAGAGAACAAAATAGAGCAGTTAGTAAGTAATTCAAAAACCTCCAAAACATTATGCTAAGTAAAAGAGGTAATATATGAAAGGTTACATATGGTATGATTCCATTTATATGGAATATCTAGAATAGATACATCCATCGTAAAATAACTCAGAATAGCAGTTGCCAGAGGCTGAGGGTAGGGGAGAGTGGGGAGAGACCGCTTAATGGTTAAGGGATCCATTACTCTGAAGTAAATGTTTTGGAATCAGATAGACGTCGTGGTTGTGCAGTATTGTAAATGTATTAATGCCACAGACTTGTTCACTTTAAAATGGTTAACTTTAGGCTAGGCGCAGTGGCTCACGCCTGTAATCTCAGCACTTTGGGAGTGGGTGGATCACAAGATCAGGAGTTCGAGAGCAGCCTGGCCAATATGATGAAACCCAGTCTCTACTAAAAATACAAAAATAAAAAATTAGCTGGGCATGGTGGCACACGCCTGTAGTCCCAGCTACTCAGGAGGCTGAGGCAGGAGAATCGCTTGAACCCAGGAGACAAAGGTTGCAGTGAGCAGAGATCCCACCACTGCCTGGGCAACAGAGTGAGACTGCATCTCCAAAAAAATAAAATAGGCCAGGCGCAGTGACGCATACCCCTAATCCCAGCACTTTGGGAGGTGGGCGGATCGCCTGAGGTCAGGAGTTCAAGGCGAAACTCTGTCTCTACTAAAAATATAAAAATTAGCTGGATATGGTGGCGCACGCCTGTGAGCCCAGCCCGTTGGGAAGCGGAGGCAGGAGAATAGCTTGTACCAGGGAGGTGGAGGTTGCAATGAGCCGAGATTGTGCCATTGCACTCCAGACTGGGCAACAGGGCAAGACTCAGTCTCAAAAAATAAAATGGTTAATTTTATGTTATGTGAATCTCATCTCAATAATTTATATAAGTTGGTATGGTGATTAAAGAAAGTGACTCAAAAGATACCACGGAGATCTCAATAAGCTAAGATGATTAATAGGAACACCTGCAAAACAACTAGATTTTTCATCATGGCAATTCTCTAATCTCCAGACTCACCCGCTCCAATGACGAGATGGAGTTTCGCTCTTGTTACCCAGGCTGGAGTGCAACGGTGCGATCTCGGCTCACCGCAACCTCCGCCTCCTGGGTTCAGGCAGTTCTCCTGCCTCAGCCTTTTGAGACAGTTTTTAATATTACTGCCCACAATTGGAGAGAAAGCATATGCTTTTGTATAGATCCAAAAAAAAAAAGAAAAAAAGAAAAAGAAAAAGAAAGAAAGAAAGAAAGAAAGAAAGACTTCCTTCCAGAACCGGTCTTTGCCAACACAGCTGACCGTTAAACTGTAGGCACCTGGAGTATTGATGATTAATTAGCATTAGCTGTTCCTCCTGTGCCTTGTGAAGAAGCTAAAGTGCCTGTGAGAGAACAGGGAAGGACAATCTGAAAGGTAGGAAGACAATGGGGACACAGTCGGGGGCACAAAGTCTGGGGAAGAGAGAGGCTGAAGAAAGAGGTAATGGACCACAGTGTTGGGCACTGCAGAGGTCTAGTAGGACTGGGACTGAAAGGGACCATCGGATTCAGAAGGTGAGAGGTTCTGGCAAAAACATCCTGGGGACAAGTACAAAATACTGCTGACAGCAATTTTTAAAACCCTAAATAAATGGAGAGAGATTACATGCTCATGGATCAGAAGACTTTATCTTGTTAAGAAGTCTATTCTCTCCAAGCTGACAGGTTCAATCCCATCCCTATCAAAATTCTAGAAGGTTTTCCATAGAAATTGACAATAGGATTCTAAAACTTAATGTGTATGTAGTGGATCTAGACTAGGCAACACAATTGAAATAGAACAAAGTTGGAGGACTACCTACCTGATTTCAAGACTTATAAAGCTACAGTAATGAAGACAGTACGCTATGCTACAGGTGTAAAGAAAGACAAAGGAATAAATGGAATACAAAAGAGATTCCATCAGACGAGTGCTGCGTCCCGCGCTGCACAAGGGTTCAAAGACCTAAAAGGGAACGGTGGGGGATAAAGAAAGACACAAACACAAACAAAGAGAAAGCTGGGCCAGGCGGTCGGGGAGAGTGAGGATGCCAGTCTCTCAGCCCAGACCTGCTGCAGAGTACTTTATTTTATTTGTTCACAAAGCACAGAGCAGAGGAAGGGTACAGTCACTTAGAACACCTTGTGGTTATTATTCTCATACTTCAGTTAACATACTTCAGCTAACAACTATCTTGCAGCAAGGGCTGTGAAAGCTGGTTACCTCTCTGGGCCTGTCTCTGTTCTACCCCGAGACATACACATCCTCCTATTATGGTTTCACTTCTCTGAAGTTCAACCAAAGTTCCCCGCAGCCTTGCTGCTGATCTCCCGGAGAGAGGTGGTGACTGGTTCCCTGCAATTCCAGAAATACAATGAAGCCTATCTGGCCAACTGATTTTTCCAATTTCCAAGGCAACTCAATGAAGAAGGAAAATCTTTCCAACAAATGGTATGGGACAACTGGATATCTACATACAAAATATCAACTTTGACCCTTTTCTAAACTCGTGTACAAAAATGAAAAACAGAAACAAAACCTAACAACTTTAAAATGGAGCATAGGGCCAGGCCTGGTGGCTCACACCTGTAATCCCAACACTTTTGGAGGCCAAGGTGGGTGGGTCACCTGAGGTCAGGAGTTTGAGACCAGCTTTGCCAACATGGTGAAACCTGTATCTACTAAATATACAAAAATTAGCCTGGCGTGGTGGTAGGCACCTATAATCCCAGCTACTCAGGAGGCTGAGGCAGGAGAATTGCTTGAACCTGGGAGCAGAGGTTGCAGTGAGCTGAGATCCCGCCACTGTACTCCAGCCTGGGCGGCAGAGAAGAGTCTTCTCAAAAAAAAAATAAATAAATAAATAAATAAAGGAGCATAGACCTAAATGTATGAGCCAAAACTAGGAAGCTTCTAGAAGAAATCATAGGAGAAAATCTCAGTGACTTTGTGTTAGGCAAAGATTTCTTAATCAGTATCAATCTCTGTGGAAAAAAGATTTCTTAAGTGAGGAGGCAAATTCTACGAGATATGAAAGAAAAAAAATACACTGGACTTCATAAAAATTAAAACCTTCTGTCTATTCATTTATTGTCATATATGAGACACATGACATTTCTCCTTGCTCCAGCCTGGATATGGGAAACCCTTGTACAGTTGTCTATCCCAGCAGCTGTCATATGCCAGGCTTCTATTTGTGTACTACAGACTGTACATCCCTTCAGGGTAGAAAACCTACCTTGCAAATGTCCTCACTGCCTAACATTTTGATCATTGCAAAGCCCAGGTAAGACTCCACAGTTCCCCATCTGATTAGGATGCTTACGTCCCATGTTCCTTTCAATTAAAAAAGAATAAAAAGTTATAAACAACTAAATCATCAAAAATCAGGCAATGATGGTAAATTGTGATATACGAGATAGCATACTACAGCAATTCAAATGTTTTTAAAGAACTTTTAGTTATTGGGCATATGCTGATGATGGAAATTGAAAAATGTGAAATACAGAAGACACTGTTTAGAAACAGACCAAAATACACACAGGATTTTAGAACATGGTAAAAGTGGCAATTCAGTTTGGGGGAGAGATGGCTTATATTCATTGGAAAGAGCTTTGCCTTTCTTGTAAAGCCCAGACACAGACCACTGACTCCAAGACTGGGGGAGATGTGGAACCCTGGGAACAGAGAGCCAGCCTGCCTTCTGTCCCTCTGCCCCTCTGCCCACATGGGCACGCGGCCTTAGGCCCCCAAAGTGAAGCATGGACCTAAATGTAAGAACCGAAAGAAGAATCGCTTACCCTGATAAGTAGTAGGCTCTGTAAAATGTGTTCACAACCCTTAAAGCAGTTATTTTATTTTGGGAAGACACTGTAAGAAACCGGGCGCGGTGGCTCAAGCCTGTAATCCCAGCACTTTGGGAGGCGGAGGCGGGTGGATCACGAGGTCCAGAGATCGAGACCATCCTGGTCAACATGGTGAAACCCCGTCTCTACTAAAAATACAAAAAATTAGCTGGGCATGGTGGCACGTGCCTGTAATCTCAGCTACTCAGGAGGCTGAGGCAGGAGAATTGTCTGAACCCAGGAGGCGAAGGTTGCGGTGAGCCGAGATCGCGCCATTGCACTCCAGCCTGGGTAACAAGAGCGAAACTCCGTCTCAGAAAAAAAGAAAAGAAAAGAAAAGAAAAGAAAACAATCCTAAAGAGAAAAATATGTATCAGTTGTAGGAAGATATCTATAGGTGCTCCATATAAGCAAAATATAAAAATGAAATGGCTAGGGTCTGCAGCCGCTGCCTGGTGGGTGATAGCAGCAGCCATGGATGGCTTTGCGCAGACCAACCTACAGGTGACTTATAGGAGATCTACATATTGAAATGTAAATTCACACATGAGGTCCGTTGGAAATGCCTAAATAAAAATAATCTTTTTTTTTTGTTTCTGAGCCTGGGGGTGGGGATCGTGGAGTCGAGTGGGGGAGTTGGGTGGAGGGGGAAGGGGTCTTTCTACGTCGCTCACTGGTGCCAAACTCCGGGGCTCAAGCAATCCTCTCACCTCAGCCTGGGAAGCAGCTGGGAATACAGGCAGGTGCCATCAAGCCCGGTTAAATGTTTCCTCCCAATTAAAAAAACTTAATTTGTGTGGGCACATAGGTGTATATATTTATGGGGCATATGGGATATATTGATACAGGCATACAGTGTGTAATAATCACATCAGGGTAAATGAGGTATCCTCTTTTTTTTTTTTTTTTTTTTTTTGAGACAGTGTTTCGCTCTTGTTACCCAGGCTGGAGTGCAATGGCGCGATCTTGGCTCACCGCAACCTCTGCCTCCTGGGTTCTAGCAATTCTCCTGCCTCAGCCTCCCTAGTAGCTGGGATTACAAGCATGCGCCAACATGCCCAGCCATTTTGTATTTTTTAGTAGAGACGGGGTTTCACCATGTTGACCAGGATGGTCTCAATCTCTTGACCTCATGATCCACCCGCCTCGGCCTCCGAAAGTGCTGGGATCTTTTTTTTTTTTTTTAAGAGACGTCTGGCTCTGTAGCCCAGGCTGGAGTGCAGTGGTGCAATCTCGGCTCATTGTAACCTCCACCTCCGAATTTCAAGCGAATTCTCCTGCCTCAGCCTTCTGAGTAGCTGGGACTACAGGCGTGTGCCGCTACGCCCGGCTGGTTTTTGTATTTTTAGTAGAGACGGGGTTTCACCATGTTGGCCAGGCTGCTCTCCAACTCCTGATCTCGTGATCAGCTCGCCTCGGCCTCCCAGAGTGCGGAGATCACAGGCGTGAGCCACCGCGCCCGGCCAAGGTACTCGTAAAGGGAAAAAAAAAAAAGCAGCATAGGTAATATTGACTTCAGCTGTCAAGAGACAATGCCATAAATATTCATTTGAAAAAGAGGGGTTACATGATTGTTTACAATCATTAATGAACATGGCAACATTCTGGATACTGACAAGAAAACTGCTACAAACATGCAGGCATAATGCACAATAAGGAAGTCCAAGCTGTGGTCGGGGCTCCCTCGCCTCCCTCTAAGCTCTGAATTTAGAAGGATGTGGACCGCCTGCCGATCAAGGGTTCTAAAAGGCCGGCTGCGAATGGACCGCCAGGGGCGCTCCACTCACTTCTCCACGTCCCTGGGCGCACCTCCGAGCCGCGCCCGCTCCGGCCCAGGCCGCTCCCTCCCTTCCTCACCTGCCCCGTCTGACGCTAGGGGGCGCCGCAGGCTGCCCGGCGCGCAGCTCGCTGCCCCGGAGCGCCGGGGCGGGGAGGCGGCGGCCATGGACCGCTTCGTTTGGACCAGCGGCCTCCTGGAGATCAACGAAACCCTAGTGATCCAGCAGCGCGGGGTGCGAATATACGACGGCGAGGAGAAGGTAGGGCGTAGGCCGGCCTTCCCGAAGGGCTGGCGGAAGGTCCCCTGGTGAGCGCGCGGCCCTGCTTGGCGCGGCCCGGTTCCCGGTCTCGCTCCCCGCCCTCTGCGGCCCGGCCGGCCTCTGTGCGGTACCAGGCGCTCCTGCCCTCCCTACCGGCCGGTCGCGCGCGGCCTGGGGCGGTCGGGCGCCCTCCCAGCGCGGTTCCCGACTTTGGCATGGTTCCCAGCAGGCGCGGATCGCGGCCGCGTCCCTCGGCCCGGAATGCTTCCGGGCGCGCACCGCCGCCGTGCCCGGCAGAAGGCGCGCTGTGGGTCTGCGGGCGCCGGGCGGCGATCGGGCAGCCGACTTCCTCGGCGTGGTTCCAGACCCCCTGACGACACCCACCGCGGCGTCGGCACTGGACGGCCCGGTTCCGCCTTTCTGTGAGGAGGGCGCGGTGGCTGTGCCGTCCGTGCCCCCGCGGAAGCCTTAGCTCGGACCTCGTGCAGGCGGAGGGATTAGCACATCTGCCCTGGGCAGAGCGGCGAGGGGTGGCGCCGACAGGATTTCCTAAAGAGGTGTCGGTGTCTCACTGGAATGCCCTTGCCAGAGGCTGTTGGGTTTTTGTTTTCTAATGGCTTTAGAAAGGCGTTGTGAGCGTCTGTTTTGTAAAGTGTTGTATTAATAGTAGACGATGCCTTGTAATGCAAGCATAAATATTCGAAGGTGCGTTTGCAAATCGAGAGGAGAAATAGGAAGTGTAAGTAAATATTTTGTAGGTAGTTTTGTGAAACTACGAAATAGTTTCTGTTCTGGATTGAAATGTATAAACTGCAGTTAGAAAAAAATTTAAACTCATTTACCCACAAGCATTTTTGGTTTCCACAAGTTTTAATTTGCTGCCTCTCTTCTCTTGCCGTTTTGTTAAGGACACTGCCCGCTGTACTTGAATGTAAATTCCTCAACTTATGGCTTTTCCTGGTCAGTGCTTACAGCTATCTAGAGGCACAGATGACATGGGGCCCAGGTCCGCTGACTCCCTTAGGGCATTTTCCATGGGCTGTATTGCCTGTATTATTGAGTAAAGGTCCTTTCCTTAAATAATTTGCATGGGCCTAACTTCATTTACTGCCTTAGCACTACTTAATTAAATTAATTAATTAATTTTGAGACGGAATCTCGCCCTGTCGCCCAGGCTGGAGTGCAGTGGCATGATCTCGGCTCACTGCAACCTCGGCCTCCCGGGTTCAAGCAGTTCTCCTGCCTCAGAGCCTCCCGAGTAGCTAGGATTACAGGCGCCTGCCACCACACCAGCTAATTACTGTATTTTTAGTAGAGACGGGGTTTCACCATATTGGCCAGGCTGGTTTCAAACTCCTGACCCCAAATGATCCACCCGCCTGGGCCTCCCAAACAGCTGGGATAACAGGCGTGAACCACCGTGCCCAGCCTGCCTTGGCACTTCAGCTAGCTTGATCTCAACTTGAGTCTTCCATTCCCGGATTGGAGTGGCAAGCTACTTTTTTTCCTTTTCTTACCAGTTTACATCTTTGTCACTATTTTAAATGGGAAGGCTAATCCACCTCCCCTTCCTCCGCGTTTTGATTTTGCCCTTCCTGAGAGGAACTGAATGTTGACAGTGGCAGATCTGTCTCTAGAGACTCCTCCAGTGCCAGTCCCTGAAGGGAGCACTAGGAAGTCATGCTTTTGCAGAGCGTGGCATACTACTATTATGTGGAACTCCAATATGAAGACTAGGAACACTTTTGCTGGCAGGCAGTGTAGCTGTGATAGATTCAAAACAATGTAAAATAACAACTGTTAGTACTTTTATATGAAAAATGCGTTGTCGAACCAGCAAGTTCTAATTTTTACTTTAAAAGTTTTGCTCATTGTTTTAGCAGACAAGTATATAAATGTCAGAGGTTTAAGAAACGAATCATGGGGGAAAAAATGCTTTAGACCCTGTGATCTAGTCAGGGTCTTAACTCTTCTAGAGAATTAACTCTTCTAAAAGTTGAAACTTGAGTGTAGCTCTAAGAGGAGTCCCCTCAGCACTGTGTCCCAGGGCTGAACTGACTTAGCCACTTGCTGAATTGTCTTGAAGCTACTTGGTCCCCAGGCTGAATGAGGCACAGGCTGACTCCTGGGGGAAAGTGCATTATGAGGTTTCCTTCATCTATTGAAAGGTTTCCAGACCTCCTGTGGTGCTAAAGACTATACAAGGCTACACATCAGCCCCCAAATCTGACAAAGTTAGTCTCCCTTTTAGGATGCCTCACTAGCTCCTTTGACCTGGGGACTGCAGTCCAGATTGCTTAGCCTTCATAGCTTTGCATCCCAACCCACTCCCTGCGCAAGTGCACCCATGGCTGTTTTTTAGACTGGTTGGATGCTCCTGGAGCACAGGTGTACCTTGCTCATCCTTGTATCTCCTGGCTGGTTGTGGGTGTGAAACACATTTTTTAAAGACCTGAATAATTAAAATACCTACTATGAGCCAGGAGCTGTACATGTCATCTTACTTCATCCTCTCACCAGGAATATGATGTATTTTACTGAATAAGAAAGTAACGCTAAGACATACAGTGAGTTGCCTAAGATCCACAAAGATAAGATTTAAATCTCTGTTGATCAGACTCCCAAAGCCTGTGCTTTGTTCATGTGAGCTGCAGTGAAGCAAGATCATGCCATTGCACTCCAGCCTGGGCAACAGAGATTCTGTCTCAAAAAAAAAAAAAAGGACTTCATAATATAGCAGTCACCAGTGCCACTCTTGATGTAATGTTTAATACAGCAAATCTTCCCAAAGACGAGGAAACTGAAACCCACAGCTGATACTTGAGAAAACTGTGAGCTGTCCAAGGTCATACAACTAGTAATTGGTGGAACTAGAATTGCAAACCAGAGCCAATGGACTGCTGTTCCCACTGCCCAGGTGTCTCTTATGAATACACGCATGCTTGCTTGTTTATACAGGCATAGTTTTCATGGTCTCATTCTGACTGGATAATGTGTTACTTTCATAAGCACTGTAGACAGGTCATTTGTTTGAATTCACAGATGCTTCTGTAGCCTCAGCTAATTTAAAAGATAATGTAAGGTTAGTAATGTGTAAAGTGGCAAGTTGGCCGCATATGTCAGAAAATTTAGAAAATGTTTAATCTTTTTCAGCTAACAATTTCACGGTTAGGAATTTACCTTTGAGAAATAGAGATGTGTAAAAATATTACATATGAGAATGGTTATCCTAGCATTATTATACATTACATATAATATTATTATATGTATGGAAAAATTGGAAGCAATCTAAATGCCCACCATAGGGATTGATTAATTAAATTATGGCATGGGGCCTGGCGAGGTGGCTCACATCTGTAATTCCAGCACTTTGGGAGGCCAAGGCTGGAAGATCACCTGAGGTCAGAAGTTCAAGCCCAGCCTGGCCAATTTGGTGAAACCCTATCTCTACTAAAAATACAAAAAAATTAGCTGGCTGTGGTGCCAGGCACCTGTAATCCCATCTACTCAGGAGGCTGAGGCAGGAGAATCACTTGAACCTGGGTGGCAGAAGTTGCAGTGAGCTGAGATTGTGCCATTGCAATCCAGCTTGGGCAACAAGAGCAAAACTCCATCTCAAAAACGAAAAAAATTATGGCATGTCCTAATTAGCATGAGGAATTGCTAATGATAGGCTGCTAACTATATTTTATAACTATACTATTAATAATAGTTACAAAACTCTTTCATATTCTATTTAAAGGTTATACGTATATATACATAAATATCTGTGTATATATACATACACACTCTGGCTGGTATGATTATGAGTTATTTCATTCTTTTTCAGACTCTAAATATTTTCCAGATTTCAAAACTGAACGTGTATTATTTGTATAACAGAAAAAATGTAAATTAAAAAGAACAGTGTAAGAACTTTTCAGTGAGTGCTGAAGTTAGATCAATTTTTAAGCAGTTAAAATTATTCTAGGCTCTGAGTGGTATAAGCAAACCAGCCTAAACTTGACTATTAGGTTTAGATCTTAATCCATTGGAATCCCTACAGGGAACTATTATACAATTTCTTCACTTAGAGCAGCAACATTTTACATTTGCAAATTGTTAATTGACGTAGCAATGGAACATAGTCTGGCTCCAGCCTTAAATTAACGTGAATATGCTTGGATTTCAGTAAGATAACCTGCAAATTTCTTAATCAGAAACTAATATGTTCTATAATGCAACATTATGTACTCTTAGGATAATTAAATATATGCTTTTGGAAAAGATAAATTTATTCATTGGCAAAGAAGAGGTTTTTAAAATATTGTAAACTCAGTTACTTGGTTTTGCATAAATGATATTAACCAAAATGTTTGAAGCCAGACTGAACTAACTGCCAACAGTACATATGTTTTATTTCTGATTCTGAGAAAAACATGGACTCATAAGGTCCATTCTCTGACGTGTTGAAGTTCGTTGGTGGGACAACCTCTCATGAAGTGTATTTAGACTAGATGGTTCAGAAAGTCTGTTTTCATTAAAGTTTACTAACCATATCATTATTTACTACTTAATAACATTAAAACAATAATACAATCAGGCCAGGCGAGGTGGCTTACACCTATAATCCCAGACTTTGGGAGGCTGAGACAGGTGGATCACCTGAGGTTGGGAGTTCGAGACCAGCCTGACCAACATGGAGAAACCCTGTCTCTACTAAATATACAAAATTAGCTGAGCATGGTAGTGCATGCCTGTAATCCCAACTACTCAGAAGGCTGAGGCAGGAGAATCACTTGAACCCAGGAAGCGGAGGTTGCAGTGAGCCGAGATCGTGCCATTGCACTCTAGCCTAGAGAACAAGAGCAAAACTCCGTCTGAAATAAATAAATAAATAAATAAATAAAACCATCAGACCTTACTCTTAGAAAACAATTTTTAAAATGTATGTCAAGAAGTGTGTTACTTATTATACAGGGACTTTTTGACACATGTTCCTATGTGTGCTTGATTTAACAAAAAATGATTGTATATACAGCTATATATACAGTTCAGAGTTACATGAAGATATACATGCCTGTGATCAATCTTTTCTTTTTATTTATTAGACATGTAATAAAGCTGTTAAGTATGGATAAACCAAAAGGAGAAGCTTGAAATAATCAATAATCCTACTATGCATAAACACTTACTTTTGGCATGATCTGTGTGTGGAGTCATGCTATATGTACTATTTTGAGACCTGCTTTTTTCTATATTAGTATCATAAGTCTCTATGTTATCGATCACATATATAATTTATTATTTTTTAAATTTAAGAAGGATATGTAATAATGCTCCAATTCGTTATTTACTTTACAAATATTTTTAACATGTTATTTTAAACTCAAAACAATTCCAGTCTTATTTTAATAAACTGGACCGTCACTAAAATGCTTTCCTTAGAGTTTATGTTGTAAGGCTGCCTTATAATGGGACTAGCCTTGTAACTTTTTTTTTTTTTTTTAGTTTGGACTTAGTGAGCAACAGATGTAACTTTTAAAATAACTGAATATTCCTAGAAAGGACACAAGCAAGCCCTATCTCATGGCAAATTTTACTTTCTGGTAACTTTAGTTAATAGAAGCTTCTAGTACATATCTTGTTTTTAACAGAAACATAAGGGTTTAATTCATTAATCTCTTGGATTCCAACTCTAACGTTTGCTTATTTATATTACTTTCAGGGCATAGTAACAAGTAGTGATTGTTAAAGATTTGGTCCTAAAGACCTAGCTGGCATTTCTTGGTGATTGTATTGTAGTTTTGAAGAACATTTTAAAATTTATATTTTGACTAGGCCATATATACCCAAAGTGTATGTCCTAGTCAGCTTGGCTGCTAAAATAGAGTACCATAACCTGGTGGCTTAAACAACAGGCGTTTATTTCTCATATGTCTGGAGACTGGGAAGTCTAAGATTAAGGTGCTGGGAGATTTGGTTCTTGGTGAGGACCTTCCTGGCTTGCAGATGACCATCATTTCCCTGTGTACTTGTACGGTCTTTTCTCAGCATGCACTCATGGAGAGGAAGCCCTCCTGTCTCTTCCTCTTCTTATAGAGATACTAGTCCCATCATGAGGGCCACACTTCATGACCTTCGAAACCTAATCACCCCCAAAGGCTCCATCGCCAAATACCGTCACATCAAGGGTTAGGGCTTCCACATATGAATTTGGGAGTTTTCCTTTAATGCTAATGGGTTTAATGCCTTCTTAGAAAGGTCTTCTTCACTCAGATTACTTAAAAAATTATCTCATGATTTTTTTCTAGTGCTTTTATAATTTTTTCTTTTTTTATTCAATCATTTGATCCATCTAGAATTCATTTTGGTGCATTATATTAGGTACAAACCCAGATATAAGGGTTTTTCTTTTTCTACCTGGCAACCCAGTTGTCCCAGTGCCATTGATTGAATCTCCATCTGTATTTATTTTTGTATGTATTTGTATCTATTCCTGGATTTTGTTTTTATTAAAAATGTTATGAGTGCTATACATGAATTGAACTGCAAAAAAATTCAATCAGTAGTGAAGTGTAGAGGTAAAAAAGAGCTCTTTGCTTCCTTTCTACCCCTTTCCTCCCACTTTTTCTGAGATAGTGATTGTTAACATATTATAACTGTGTGTTTCTTTTAGACGGTTTTCACTATGTGTGTATCTGCAAACACACGCATATACAGCATATGTAATAAAATTGTATATTGCTGTAAATCACTTTCTTTCCCACCCATCCAATGTGTTAGAGTTTCATGGAAATCCATGCAGTTCTACCTCATCATTTCTATTTATCTTTGCATGGATTGCAGAGTATGAATGTGTATCATACTTGGTTGTTTGCATTTTCTTCCAATTCTGTCAAGACTATGCAGATAGCTTATGAAGTATGTAGCATTGATTCTCTTTAATTTGTGATAAGCCTATGCTAAAAGTAAAATGTTTATTTATAAGATTAACTTAGTGTTGTATAATTCATGAAGAAAATCTGAACTACCGTTATTAATATTTTGTGATGCTCTTTCTTTCTAGATAAAATTTGATGCTGGGACTCTCCTTCTTAGTACACACCGACTGATTTGGAGAGATCAGAAAAATCATGTAAGATATAGTTTTTGCATCTGTTGTAGGTTTTATTTTGTTTATCTATTTTTTTAGAGACAGGATCTCGCTGTGTTGCCCAGGGTGATCTCTAACCTCTGGGCTCAAGTGATCCTCCTGGCCTCAACCTCCTGAGTAGCTGGGACTATAGGTATGAGCCACAACGGTAGGTTTTAAATCTCTAAAGTGTTTTCTTCTTTTTTTCATTTCTGGTAAAATTTATATAATGAATGCAGTAATAAGTTTTCCTTTTCTGAATGACAAAAGAGTGTGTCCCATATAATTTCTCTGAATGGAGTGGGAAACAGGAGTTAGCGTGTTGTCATTTATTCAGTTCCAGAAAAGTCCATGTAGTTACTGGATGGAGAATCACGTTTTTTAAATACCAGTCAAATTCTACTCTATATCTGAATGTTCCATGTGTAACAGGGGAATAATTCCCCCATCAGTTGTGAGGGAGTCTTTAAAAAGAGCTCGTAGGTCCTTAAAACCACTAGTTGTCCTAGGTTGTTGTTGAGAATCAGGAGGCTAGGTCTGCCAGCAAGTGCATGCTTTTACCTAGATACTGAGAACTGTTTCTGAGTCAGCATGTATTCCCCCACGCCCATTTTATTTTATTTATTTATTTATTTTGAGACAAAGTCTCACTCTTGTCACCTAGGCTGGAGTGCAGTGGCACAGTCTTGGCTCATTGCAACCTCTGCCTCCCAGGTTCAAGCGATTCTCCTACCTCAGCCTCCTGAGTCGCTGAGATTACAGTTGCCCGCCACCATGCCCGGCTAATTTTCGTACTTTTAGTAGAGACGGGGTTTCACCATGTTGATCAGGCTGATCTCGAACCCCTGAGGTCCTGATCCATCCACCTTACCCTCCCAAAGTGCTGGGATTACAAACGTGAGCCACCGTGCCCAGCCCGTTTTTTTTTTGTTTGTTTGTTTGTTTAAGGAAGGGAGAGTTATATGTATATAGAGCTGATATCTTTATTCCCAAGAGCTTCAACCTGAAAGTATATATACATTAATTTCAGCATTGCCAGTAAAATAGCTATCTCATCTGTGCTTTTATTTTCCTGATTGTTCCCCCAAACCCCATGAAATTTTAGTACCACAAATTAACTGTATACTGTACTGTAGCCCTTGAAGAGCTGCTGCTAACCATTATAATATCTAAATTTTTTCCCCCCGGGGAACTAACTTTTGTCTCCTAGGTCTGATATTGCCCCTGTTGATAATGCATGCCTTAGCGCAGGAGTCCCCAACTCCACCAGGCCGCAGACCAGTACTGGTCTGTGGCATGTTAGGAACCAGGTCAGATAGCAGGAGGTGAGTGGTGGGTGAGTGAGCATTACCACCTGAGCTCTGCCTCCCATCCGATCAGCAGAGGCATTAGATTCTGATAGGAGCGTGAACCTTATTGTGACCTGCACATGTGAGGGATCATGCACTCCTTATGAGAATCTAACGCCTGATGATGTGATGTGGAACAGTTTCATCCTGAAACCACAACTCATGCTCCCCAGGAAATACTGTCTTCCATGAAACCAGTTCCTGGTACCAAAAAGGTTAGCGACTGCTGCCTTAGACTGTTAATATTGTCTAATTCCTTTAAAAGTAATATATATTCAGGAAATAAATCTTTTTGGGGAGGATAGCATGGATTATTTTAAACCGTATGTTTATAAGTTAATCTTAGTATAATTTTTTGATCATCATATAAAGAGGTCAATTTGAACAAATCTTTAGACTTATTACATTGTTAGTCATATATAAAAATTAAACATACTGTTTATGTATGTTAAAACTTAAACATACTGGCTAGGCACAGCGGCTCCTGCCTTAATTCTGGCACTTCGGGAGGCCAAGGCAGGGGGATCACTTGAGGTCAGGAGTTCCAGACTAACCTGGCCAACATGGTGAAACCTGGTCTCTACTAAAAATACAAAAATTAGCTGGGTGTGGTGGTGCTCACCTGTAATTTCAGCTACTAAGGAGCCTGAGGCAGAAGCATTGCTTGAACCTGGGAGGCAGAGGTTGCAGTGAGCCAAGGTCGTGCCACTGCACTCCAGCCCAGGTGACAGAGCAAGACTCTGTCTCAAAAAAAAAAAAAAAATTAAACATGCGAATAAAGGGATGCTACATCAGTGTTTTCTGTTTAAAACTATTAATAGTTGTATGTGGGCATATGAGTGAAGTGTGGAAAATTATAAAGAAGAGAAAGTCATCTACATAAATGCTCTCCTTAAAATTGTTCTTGATGTATCTTTCATTTTTTGCTTTCACCGTAAGAAAATATTACAAGTAAAAAGTTTTCATAGAAATATTACTCATAGAAAATACACCCATTGTAAAAACAAAAGCTAGTCACAGCTTCTTTTAAACTTCTTATGTTCTTCCACACAGGAAAATGCCACCACAGTATTGTTTTCATTTAATTTTTCCTTAAGTTCCTTTAAGGAATAAAATCATTATTGTTTTCCATTATTTTTATTAAGGTATATGACACTGATTAATGCTATAAAACAAGGATTTCTGACAAGTGTTATGGATGTTGGGTAGAGTCTTTGATTGAGCTACTGATTCCCTCCTAGGAGTGCTGCATGGCCATTCTTCTTTCCCAAATTGTGTTCATTGAAGAACAGGCGGCTGGAATTGGGAAGAGGTAAGGTCTATATAGTACTGTCTTTATTCACAGAAAACATTTCCTGTCATGCTATTGGTCAAGAGGTCCTATCTTAGACTCAATGATGTGTGAATTCATTCTTAAAGCATGAATAAAGTACCTAGCTTTGCTGTAATATCTTTGTTTATTATACATGGGTCATGATAAAGAAATGTGGCCCAGTTCTCATTATCTTTCCATAGACACTTTGCTTTCACATGCCTGTGTACCTTTCATTTCATACTTAAAATCAGAAGTAATCTATTGAAAAAAAATAACTGACTTTGCTCCTGTTTCTAGCTGATCATTAAGTTTGTTTCTTAAGTTTGACTTGTTCAGATAGCAAGATTAAATAGCATATAATAATGATTATTGTACAAAGCAGGACATTTATCAGAATAATAGGGGGTAAAATGAACAGTTAGGTCAGGGCAACAGGGATACAATCGGAGTGTCCCAGGCAAGCCAGGAGATGAGGCCACCCTGGCATAAAGGCCTAAGTTCAAATGCTCCTGTTTATTCAAATGTACTGAAAACTTGGCTTTATATTTTAAGTACATGTAATTGAGGAGACATGTGAACAAATGTTATCGGCATGGGAATTTTTTTTTTCCTATGGAGGCTTATCTTTAGGTTTAGCTTAACTAGACACTTCAGTAGAAGTTAAACAATGTTGAGCTTCACTGGACATGAAATGCATGCCTTGATCATAATGTTATGATTTACTGTAAAATATTTATTTGACATAAAAGAAACTAACCAACATTTTAAAAAGATTAATAAACCATAGTTTTTTTAAGCCATAGATTTTTAGGGCAGATTGTTTTTATGATTTATATTTCTCCCTTATCACTTTTCTCCATTGTATTAAGGTTGTTCCAGGTTATTTAATTTTCCTTTCCTGTGTTCCAAGGAAATCTAAACTAAAAGAAATATTTAAAATATTTACCTTCACGTTAGTGTCGTATTTTTTAAACATCTCCAGTGAGGAGGACTTCAGTAATATGCCAAGTTAACTTTTCTCAAGCATTCTCTTTAGTTCTCAGCCCCTCCCCTCAAACAGCTATATTTGGTTGGATTTCAGGATGTGTATGTTTCACCTTTTAACATCTCTGAACTAAAGATGCTTCTTTCTCATTTCATACACAAGGGAATAGGTGGCATCCTTACAAGGCTGGCCCCCACGTATTCATATTGACAAGGCCCAATGCCTGGTGTTTCAATTTTACAGTGATATTTAAGTAACCGTATGGTTCAAAAAAAGTAAAAGTAAAATTGAGTAAATAATTGTGTATCTATAGCATGATTAATAAAGAAAAAGCACTAAACTAGGTACCTGGTGTGCTTAGAGTTTTTTAGTTTCCCTAGTTTTTATGGAAGATTGCTTATTGACCAGGTTGAAGAAAAAGGAGGAAAACAGAGTTATTAAGCTGACCAAATATAGTGGTATTTTTGGAAGATAGTGGTAGTCATAAAGATAATGGTAGTTTGTGTTCTTAGAGCCAATGCATTTTGGGAATTCTTTTTGTTATTGGGTATCTTTCTAGATCATGCAGTTGATTGAGTGGCATTTTCCAGCAAATGACACTGTAGAATGTTAGCTTTGGATGGAGTTTTAATAAAGTATCAGCTGGCCATTTTTACAGATAAGTTTTCACATTTTGTTTTCAAATGAATAAGGTTGTATGCTTTGGCAGAAATTATAGGCCCCCTTGTAACCTCTGGGGATGTTTGTAGTTGGAAAACCATAATCATAAACTCAAAATTTTGCAGATTTATTTTGACCTTATTTTCTGAAGCAATGCTTTAATTTATAGAACTGGTAACTTGAAGCTTTTTTGGTTCATAGCTTGTAAGTTTTAAGTAGAGAGATTTTTGAGAGCTTCATTAATGTAGAACTAATACACACTTTAAAAGGATGCTTTTTGGGATGTTTGTTTCTACATGAATTGTAAAAGTGATTTTAAATACATTAAAAGTTATGAAGGTAGAATTTTTTTGTTTGAAAGGCAATTCAGTATATTACATTTGTTGTTTCTTTAGTGCCAAAATAGTGGTTCATCTTCACCCAGCTCCTCCTAACAAAGAACCTGGCCCATTCCAGAGTAGTAAGAACTCCTACATCAAACTGTCCTTCAAAGAACATGGCCAGATTGAGGTAAGTTTCTATATGAATAAAATCCTACTAGAAAGGTGGTGTGTGTGTGTGTGTGTGTGTGTGTGTGTGTGTGTGTGTGTGTTGTGGCTTGTTAATATGATGGAAGGTAGTATTATACAACGTGCTGGATTTCACCATATTTTTACAATAAAATTTTTATTATCTTAAGCCTTAGCAGTGAATGGTGAAGTTTAGGTTTCAGCAGGAATGGGAAGCAGAGGGTGTGGTCCCAAGGAAGGAACAGAGGCTGGAAAATACACTAAGTCATGCCATTCGCCTACTAGCACAGTTTTCAGTGACGTATTGTAGTTAAAGGAACAGAGTGTAAATGCAGTGATATGTTAAACTGTCTCAGTATCTGAAGGTTCCCCAGCTTTAAATCAGTCTGTCTGTCTTGATTAACTCCAGTTAATCTTACTCACTTAAGTACTTTTCTGCAGTACGATAGTTTATATGTTCTGAATAAGTTGCTGTACAAGAATTCTTTTTTTTTTTTTTTTTTTGAGACGGAGTTTCGCTCTTGTTACCCAGGCTGGAGTGCAATGGCGCGATCTCGGCTCACTGCAACCTCCGCCTCTTGGGTTCAGGCAATTCTCCTGTCTCAATCTCCTGAGTAGCTGGGATTACAGGCACGCACAACCATGCCCAGCTAATTTTTTGTATTTTTAGTAGAGATGGGGTTTCACCATGTTGACCAGGATGGTCTCGATCTCTTGACCTGGTGATCCACCTGCCTCGGCCTCCCAAAGTGCTGTGATTATAGGCTTGAGCCACCGCACCCGGCACAAGAATTCTTAAGACATTAGGAGTGTGTATTTATTCTCCCCATCAATATCATAAATTATTATTAATTTTTTCTGTAGCACCTCACCCAGTGTTCCTGACAAGTGATCACTAAGCAGATAATAAGTGATTGACTCAAGTTTTTGTCGTTGAAATTGAAAAATATGTTTGATTATTTGTGAGCATAGGTATGTTTTGGTCTTACTTTCTGGTTTTATATTTTAACTAGACAAATTATTCTCTGCTTCCCATGGAGAATGGTTGTATATTTTTCCTGGCACTGTGTTTGTTTCATTATAGATCAAAAACAATCCACATACACAGGATTGTTTAAAGTAAGTCTATTGATTTCATTGTCACTCATCTCTTTGTTGAGAATAGCCCACTTTATATAGAAGGTCTGTTCCTTCTCTTTTTTTTTTTTCCCCTTTGTGCTTTCTGAAGTTGATCCAAGAAAAGAACTTCCTTTGATTTTCTTTGATGTCTCTGAGAATTTTGGGCTTGCTGCAAATAACTGAACAAACTTTTATATTAAAGAAATGTTAGGCCGGGCGCGGTGGCTCAAGCCTGTAATCCCAGCACTTTGGGAGGCCGAGGCGGGTGGATCACAGGTCAAGAGATCGAGACCAGCCTGGTCAACATGGTGAAACCCCGTCTCTACTAAAAATACAAAAAATTAGCTGGGCATGGTGGCGTGTGCCTGTAATCCCAGCTACTCAGGCGGCTGAGGCAAGAGAATTGCCTGAACCCAGGAGGCGGAGGTTGTGGTGAGCCGAGATCGTGCCATTGCACTCCAGCCTGGGTTAACAAGAGCGAAACTCTGTCTCAAAAAAAAAGAAATGTTAAGTAATGATTTATACAAGGATGCCACAACCTGACTGACTCATTTAAAGCGTATTTATTTGCATAACAGTTTTACAGGCGTTTATCAGAGGAAATGACACAGAGAAGATGGGAGAATATGCCAGTTTCCCAGTCATTACAAACAAACAGAGGACCCCAGGTATTTTTTTTAACTATTTGGTAATCCAGTATTTTCAACTTTGTACTTAGATGTTCATTAAGAAAAAGATTCTGTGATTGTAGAAGTTCCCCAAAACAAAATACTGCAATGGTATTCTGATTTTAAAAATATATATTTTCAGCTGGGCATGGTGGCTCACACCTATAAATCCCAAGCACTTTGGGAGTTGAGGCAGGGTGGATCACAAGGTCAGGAGTTTGAGACCAGGCTGGCCAACATAGTAAAAGCCCATGTCTACTAAAAATACTAAAATTAGCTGGGCATGGTGGTGTGTGCCTGTAATCCCAGCTGCTTAGGAGGCTGAGGCAGGAGAATTGCTTGAACCTGGGAGGCAGAGGTTGCAGTGAGCCAAGATCGTGTCGTAGCATTCCAGCCTGGGTGACAGGGTGAGACTCTGTCTCAAAAGAAAAAAAAAAAATTTATTTCACAGCACCTAATTTAGTTCTGTGTAGACAGCAGACACTCAGTAAATATAAACGACTGCTTACCAGCATAATTCTCAGGGTGATAGAAGGAGAGTTCACTCATTGCATTCTGTTCTTCATAATCAGTGTGGCATTTGAGAGAATAAATAGTACAGCTGGGTGTTTTCCAAACCTGTCTAAGTTAATCGCCAACACTAGACAGGTACTCAAATGTATGACAATAGTTTGGATAATAACTGTTAATTAAGAACTGAAATTTAAACTGTGATTTTTTTTTTTTTGTATGTTTGAGACCCTATTAAGTATCTGGCCAGGCGCTGTGGCTCATGCCTGTAATCCCAGCTCTTAGGGAGGCAGAGGTGGGAAGGTAGCTTGAGCCCAGGAGTTTGAGACCTGCCTGGGCAATATAGCAAGACCCCATTCTCCACAAAAAGGAAAAAAACACAAAGACAAATAATAATAATAATAATAATAAGCGTAAGTATCTGATACATAATAGCTCGTCAAAGAATGAAAATGATAGGAAATTTAACATATCTAAAATGCTTAGTAAAATATGCCAGTTATTGTATATTTGGTTTTTCTTGAATGATTTGAAGATCATTATATACAGCAAGAAAGAAACAAATGTTTTGAAAGGAAGTTAAATGTGAGTGTATGCTGTTTTTCTTTGGTTCTTTGTGGGTCCTTTACCACTATTGAAAACACAATGTAGTTGGTTACAAAAAATTTTGTTTCCTTCCTATTTTGTATGTTTTATTTTCTACTTCTTTTTTTTTTTTTTTTTTTGCAGCCAGGAAGAATAAGGGCTGTAGGAATTGTAGGCATTGAAAGGAAACTGGAAGAGAAAAGAAAAGAAACTGACAAAAACATTTCTGAGGTAACTGTTAAGTTCTGGCTCTCCATCTATTCCAGCCATTTGTGTGTATTCTTTTGGATAGAGCTGTGACTAATTCTCTTATGTAATTTAGAATATATTTCATTTGCCTGAAGCTACATAGTCTCCTATTCTCTTTAACAGGTCTACCTCGGGCTGGCAAAATCTAACCAAAACCTTTTTCTAAAAGGAATAAAAAAGAAGTGCAAATTTGTTTGCTGTTAGAAAACATCATAGAACGTTGTGTGTAGATTTTAAAGTCTAGATGGAATTGATTGGAGGATACTTCTAATGAGTTCAGGGTTCTCTGTATAATTATTTTGGAAGTTGAGGTAACTTAGTTAAGAGAAAAATGCTGTTCTGTGGCCACTGTCTGTGGCCAGATACCACACCATTTTATGTTGATGACCACTCAGGGATCAGACACCAGACATCAGTAAGAATGGCTCAAACCAGCCCATGACGTCTACTAGGAGACAGCCTTGAGCATGTACCTTCCAGTGTTTCTGAGGCTTCATCCTGTCTGAGGAAATTCAAGAGAACGGGAAAGAACTCTAGTTAAAAAGACCGTTATGCATTGGATTAGTTAATACAGCTAAACGTATCATTGGTTTCTATGTTTATATAAAAAATGGTCTCTTGTTTTTTTTCACAAAATGATGCTTTAAAGTAAATCTTTGGTTTGTTGTTTTTTTTTTGAGACGGAGTTTCGCTCTTGTTATCCAGGCTGGAGTGCAATGGCACGGTCTCGGCTCACCGCAACCTCCACCTCCTGGGTTCAGGCAATTCTCCTGCCTCAGCCTCCTGAGTAGCTGGGATTACAGGCACGAGCCACCATGCCCAGCTAATTTTTTTTGTATTTTTAGTAGAGACGGGGTTTTACCATGTTGGCCAGGATGGTCTCGATCTCTTGACCTCGTGATCCACCTGCCTCGGCCTCCCAAAGTGCTGGGATTACAGGCTTGAGCCACCGTGCCCGGCGCAAATCTTTGGTTTTTATAGTAATTCATAAGTAAAATTCTGCTGATGGTTACTGTTCAGAGAATTTCAAAGATTTATGTCAATCAAGTAAAGTCTAAAACTACAAATAGTTATTTGAATACTTATTTTGGGCTCACTAATTGAAAATATAGATTACTGTTGGAGAACCTAGGGCATTTGACCTATTAAGTGCCCATAGTAGGTTTGTCTGGTTGTGTATCTATGGCAAGGCTGTGTTTTCCTTCTCCAAATTGGCAGCTGGATCCAGAATCTCTATCACATTCATGTTCTGTCCCTTTGGCAACACTAGAGGTGATGCTGTGTTCTTTTGTCGGAGGCACATCTTATCTCAATTACAGTTATCCTATTAGAAGCTCAAATTGTCCCCTCTTTGGCTAGTGGGAGCTGCTTCAAGTTGACCCTGTGAGTGCTTTTGTTGTGACTTTGTGAGCTTTGCTAGCTTCTTCATTATCTGATGTAACAAAAGTTCCAGGACCAGCTTGTACATTTCCTGCTCCAGATCTGGAATCCACCATTTATCTGAGAAGCTCTGGTTTCTTTTAGTGTGAAATGGTATTTTAGGACCACAATCTGCTTGCTAGTCATATCCATCACTATTGAGTTGATCTTTGTTTCTAGGCTTTTTCAATGGACAGAGCTAGAATTTTGTTGTTGTCAATATAAAGTGCCTAATGAGAACATATTTATCTTTTCTATTCAAATTTAGGATGACGCTACTAAATAATTACTAGAACAGTTTAAAAAAATTGTATATGTGTTTTCCCCATTCTTCATACATTTGAAAAATAAGTGTACTGTATTTACATAATCTGAGCATGCAGCTGCTACATATACCTCCCCCCCAGCTCTAGCTCTCATTGAGTCTTAGTTTTACGTACCTCTATGTTTAGTACCAACAGTCCTTATGCTGAGCTCTCTAGTCACTTTGGTTGTCTGAAGCTCATTCGGTAGTAGATTTTTTAGGAAATGATCATAGTAACAACCCTATATCTGTCATGTTTGTCTTCCTTATACATGAAGGTTAGTTTTGTTGGATTTTAAATCCTTGGCTCCCATTTTCCTTCTCTGAGTGCCTTCATTATATTACTTTCTTTCTTTCTTTTTTTTTTTTTTTTTTTTTGATCTGGCATGAAGTGTTGCTGTCAAAGAGTGATGATAACCTATTTTTTTCCCCTTAAAAGCCACTTGCTGTTTTTCCTAGATGGGCAAAGGATTTTTAAATTTTACTTTAAAGCCCGGTAATTTTACTAGAATGTGTCTGTGTATTAGTCATTCTGAGTTGTTATTCTTAGGTATATGCTGTGCTTTTTCAGTATATAGTTTCATTTCAGTAACGTTTTAACTTCAGGGAAATTTTTCTGTATTGTAATCTTCTCTTTTTTGTTTTTGGGACAGTGTCTCATTCTGTTTCCTAAGCTGGAGTGGAGTGGTGCAATCTCAGCTCACTGCAACCTTTGCCGCCCAGGTTCAAGCAATTCTCCTGCCTCAGCCTCCCAAGTAGCTGGGATTACAGGGACGTGCCACCACATCCGGCTAATTTTTTATAATTTTAGTAGAAACGGAGTTTCATCATATTGGCCGGGCTGGTCTCAAACTCTTGACCTCATGATCCACTCGCCTCGGCCTCCCAAAGTACTGGGATGCCCAGCCTATAATTTTCAGTAATTGCTTTGATTCTTTTCTTCTGAGACTCCTATTAGCTGTATGTTGCAGTTTCACTGCCTGTCTTCTATTCTAGAGTCACTATTTGTGACTCTAATGCTTTTCCTTTCTTTTTTATTTAGAAAGTTTTCCTCTTTTTTACCTTTCTTTGAAGGTTTTATCTGTTGTGTTTATTCACTCATGTCTGTCTAGTGTAGCCTTCATTTCTGAAATGATTTTTTCCTTTTAATTCTTTTCTGAATCCTGTCATCTGTTTCTGATTTGTATTGATCCTTCATAGCTTGTATCATCTTCTTAACATCTTTTAGCTTATTTTGAAATAAAAGGTTGATAGCAGACCCCCCTATTATTGAAGTAGGCACAACCCTCCCCATTTTAGACACTGTCCTCAAATTGGCCTGCCTTGCTTTCTGGTGAATCCCTATTGGCTCTCTTGGGGCTCTCTCATTCTCAGGTGTGTGGTTACATTGTTGCTTTTCTTTTCTCTCCTGCAGGTCTTGTGGCTCTTAGCGGTTTGCCCCACCTGCTTGTATCTTGGGGGTGTTTTGCTAGTATTCTAACACTTAGTATTATAGTATATGTTACCTATGGGGTTTTTGCTTTTGAGATCTAGTTGCCCTATCTGTTTTCATGTTGTGATCTGGAGAGATTGAAAAACGGTGCTGCCATAGCCACCATCTTTTCAGAATCATCTATTCTGAGAAGACTGATAAAATTTCAACATTTTAGCATTAGAAGGCTCCTTATTATTCAGAGAAGAAATGGTCTCAGAGTGAGTGACTAGATTTGGAAGGAAGCAGATGAGAGCCCACGTCTCCTGGTTTGCAGACAGTTGCTGGTGATGACAGTGCACCACATCATCACTGTCTGTCACCGTCCACTTTATGTCAACACTTTTGGAGATGCCATGGAGCAGTGGGCTAATTTTCCATTATTTGTATTTTTCTTTCTGAATAGTGCCATACTAACTCAATGCTTTGTTGAAAATAATGTTTTTCTTAATTTATAAAGTAGGTTATTTTGCTTCGGTCTAATTTTCTTGGAGTCGCATAGCTCAAAGATTTCTACATAAGCATTGTGTTCCACCATATAGGTCATTAATTTATTCAGCAGATCATTAACCATGCAGATCATTAATTTATTCAGCAGATATTCCTCCCTACTTTGTGCCAGGCCTTGTATCAGAGGCTGTGGATACTGTGGTGACGCACAGACACAGACAGGCAAAGAGGCGTTATTCAGTGGGAGAAACACCTTTCGAGGAGAACATACAGGCTGCAGCAGGGACATATAACATGATCCCTAAGTTCTTTTGAGGTCACCAAGGGCATGTTAGCAGCAGGAATATGGAAGTCAAAGGTTGAAAGGTGAATAGGCTCTAGCAGAGGACTAGCATGGATAAGAACCCAGGAAAAGGGAATGGAATATGCAAGGCACATTCGAGAGTACTGAAATGGCAAATCAAGAATATATTGTTACTGATGCTAATAGCCAAAGTGATAACTAAAAATAAGTAAGAAATCATGCCATAAGTTAGCTTAGGAGGGTACTCCTGGTTTTAAAACAGGTGCTGTTTTTCTCAGAATTGAAGTGGAAATTTGACCACAGGTATGGTAGAGGGATACAAGGTTCCGCAAACTGGCAGATACAATTACAGAATAGCTATGTGCATCTCTTTTGCTTTAATTTTTATTGTAGGTAGTTTCTTTACCCATTTTTTGATAGTTGACTAATTCCAAATTTTGCAATAATTATAGAAATAGAAGTGAGGAAGCTTTTTGCTGTTTAATAATCACTTAAAATATTTATAGACTTTTGTTTAAGACACTAAAATATTTACTGTGTTTTTATTGCCTATGTGTAAGTTTAAAGGGCTTATATATGTATTCTTTGTGCACCCACTATTAACGTAGTGTATTTTTTCTACAACATAATATAATAAATACAGTGATTTACCATATAAAATTTAAAAGTGTTGTCTTACCAGTTTTCTTAACAGATAAAAGAAATCTATTCATATCTTTTATATTAAAAGTAAAAATCTAAGTGTGCAAAATATGTGTTTTTTTTTTGAAAACTAGGTTGGTGTGTGATTTGCCCTCTGTTTAAATGTTAGAATTGACTTAGTTTCAGAGCTGGTGCCCAGAGTTTCTCATAAAGGGTTTCCTGCATCTGCCTGCTCTAGCTGATAAGAATCCAGTGTTTAAGCCTTTTGTATATCTAAGGAAATTCCTGTTAGGTGTGTGCACATTCCCCTTTGTTTTCAGTTTTAACCTTCGTGAGTTGGCCATAAGAATACACAGCACACTATTCTTTTAGCAAAATCCTTTTGCAGATGGGGGATGCTTTCCTGCAGATGGGCATAAGCTGATCAGAGCCACTATTATATGTTTCAGACCACCATGTGGACTGGTATTTCAGTTAATGGCATGCTGCTTAATTGGTTTTAAAAAGTAACATCTGTATACATCAATTAGATAAGATGTTCTGCACTGGCAGTATATTTTCAGTAAATTGAAATAATTTATTATAAATATAATTAAATTTGAAAAGGCCTTTGAAGTAGTTATTTGCTGTAGCAAATTAAACAGTTGATTCTATGTAGATACCTTTAGATGGTATTTAAATGTTTTTCTTTTGTGATATCCACCATATCTACAAGTATAATGGGTTTGATAGTCAGCGGCCGGACTTACTGTTTCAGTTAAATCACACCTGTGTTAAAGCCAAAATTATTGTGCCCAAAGAACTATTCCTGCAGCTGTGTAAGGCAATATTCAACCAGGAAAGACAAAATTATTGTGCCCAAAAGACTATTCCTACAGCTGTGTATTGCAGTTTTCAACCAGGAAAGCTTTATAGTGCTTTTGATTCTTGACTTCCTTTTAGGAAATGATTTTAGGAAAAACCAGTGACAGAATTTCTTACTTTTGTTTCAAATAACAGTAAATAATATTTTCTGAACTACAGTTTATGTCACCTTTTGTTTATTTAATCAATAATAATTATTTTCTCTTTGAAAATATGAAGTTTTTTTACCATTTGTTTGGAAAATTAATGGGTTTTTATTGTTGTTGTTGTTTTTGAGGCGGAGTTTTGCTCTTGTTACCCAGGCTGGAGTGCAATGATCTCGGCTCACTGCAACCTCCACCTCCCAGGTTCAAGCAATTCTTCTGCCTCAGCCTCCCGAGTAACTGAGATTACAGGCATGTGCTGACATGCCCAGCTAAGTTTTTTTTGTTTTTTTGTTTTTTGTTTTTTTTAGCAGAGACGGGGTTTTTCCTTGTTGGTCAGGCTGGTCTCAAACTCCTAACCTCAGGTGATCTGCCTGCCTTGGCCTCCCACAGTGCTGAGATTACATGCGTGAGCTGCTGCTCTTGGTCCTGAATTTATGGTTTTTAGCTAAAAGGAAATTTTAGAATAAGGTAGATGCATTACTTTATAAATATTTATTAACAAATTGGTATCTGTAAGAAAATTTCAAATTTTTATCATAGGGAAAAAATAGAGGGTACTTCATTGCTTTAAGTCATTTTAATTCTTAAGATGGATTTCAACAAAAATTAATTTCTCATTTCAGGCCTTTGAAGACCTAAGCAAACTAATGATCAAGGTATATGTCATTTATGCCCATTAAATTCATACCAATTATAATACAATTTTTGAAGCATATTTTATTAGCAGACAGTTTGGGGACAATATTGCTTTTCAGTCTTTTTATTTGACAGGCTAAGGAAATGGTGGAATTGTCAAAATCAATTGCTAATAAAATTAAAGACAAACAAGGTGACATCACAGAAGATGAGGTAAATAAGTTGCTTTTTTTAAAGGCATTTGAAACAATATGACACAAATAATGCAGTGAGGTTTCTGTGGTTTACGTTGGCTTTCTGAATGTACTGTTTTATTTCTTTTGGGACTTGGGGATATGTGAAACTACTAAAGAAAAAGTCAGTCATAAAAATTCTCTTAGTTCTATTAGGATTAAAGGCTATTTCAATGCCTTTTTTTAGAGTGTAGAAAACAGAGATACTGAAATGTATAAGTAGTGGCTGTTTTATACATATTCCTAAGTTTGATGTTTGTTTCACTCAGTTTGTCTACAGCCTAATCACTGCCATTTTTCTAAGTTTTCCATTGTACTGTTTGGTTGGCATTAAATATAGCACAGTCGTTATCAGAATCTCCTCTCACATCAAATTTATTAAATAAATAGAGTATGAGAGACCAGGAGAGAAGTAGGATGGAGAATAATTAGATGTATGTAGGGAACTCCTGGAAATCTGTTCCCTTACAGTTCACAGCATGGAAGCATAGTAGAAGGAATGGGTATATATAGAAATAGTTGAATGGAATTGAGTGTATGATGGAAGAATTTCAGATCTTGGGGTAGAGAGACTAATTCTGCATTTTCTCCTCTTATTATAGACCATAAGGTTTAAATCCTACTTACTGAGCATGGGAATAGCTAACCCAGTTACCAGAGAAACGTACGGCTCAGGCACACAATACCACATGCAGCTGGCCAAACAGCTGGCTGGAATATTGCAGGCGCCTTTAGAGGTAAAAACTAAACCTACGTGTCTTTTTAAACTGTGTTAAATTAGCCCTGTGTCATCAGAAATGTTAACAAGAGCATAACTCCTTTCTTAATATGGTTATTGTCAACTGACATGTTTTTTTCCTTTCAGGTATATTAAATTAGTTCACTGTGCTTATTATTCTTTGTCTGTAATTTTCTAAATTATTTTTAATTTTCATTTTTGACATCTATAACTTTCCAAATCTATTTGATATGAAGTTTTCCTTATTTTTCAAAGGAAATATATGATCTTCCTCTGTATAGATAAATTTCACCTATCTAGTCTTTACTATATAGTAATCATTCCGTAACACAGATTCATCTTCTTTTTTTTTTTTTTCAATTCAAATATACAGGGAACATTTGTTCTGCTGAGCCATAAAGCATGCATAAAGTTTCCAAAGGCTTAAAATCATACAGATTGTATTCTCTGAAACAGTAAAATTCAGCTAAATATCAATGACAGTTAATTGGAAAACCCTGAACTGATACTAAATTAAGCAATATAATTCTAAATACATCAGAGCTTAAATAAGAACTTGTAATGGAACCTAGAAAGTATTTTGAACTGAATAATAATGAAAATACAATATTAAAACCCATAGCTTCTACTAAAGCTGTGCTTATAGAGAATTTTACAGCTTTAAAATGCACACTATTAGAAAACAAGGAAGGTTGAAATGAAGCCTCTAAATATTTACCTAAAAAACTAGAAAAAAACCAGCAAAATAAATCTACAAAAGTAGAAGAAAGTAAATAATAAATGTAAGAAACACTAATTAAATAGAAAATGAATGCACAATAGAGAGAAACAACAGAACCAAAAGTGGAATCTTGGAAAACAATAATAAATTTGACAGGTCTCTAGCAAATAAATCAAAGGGGAAGCAAGAAAGAGGGAGATAACATGAGCAAATGAGAGCAAGCAAGCACACAATTCCAACATCAGAAACGAAAAAGGAACATTTCCACAGATTTTGCAGGCATGAAAAATATAAGAAGATGATATTAAACACAACCTGCCAATGTTGTATAGACTCAAGGCTACTAAATAAGTTCCTTCTGTAATTTAAAATCTTCCCGTAAAGAAGTATTTAGGCCCAGATAACCTTGTGGGTGAATTCTTTCAAATTTTTAAGGAAGCGGTAATACTAATCTTACATAACTTCTTCAGAGAGTAGAAAAAGGTAGAATACTTCTAACTAATTTTAAGAGGCTAGCATTACCTTAGGACCAAAGTTTGAAAATGACATATAAGAAATGCAAATTATAGGCCAATCTCTTTCAAAACCAGAAATGTAAGAATTCTAAACAAAATATTAGCAAATTGAATTTATCAATATATAAAAGACCAAATGCCCATCAATGGTAGACTGGACAAAGAAAATGTGGCAGATCTACACTATGCAGCCACAAAAAATGATGAGTTCATGTCCTTTGTAGATACATGGATGAATCTAGAAACCATCCCTCTCAGCAAACCGACACAAGAACAGAAAGCCAAACACCATATGTTCTCACTCATAGGCGGGTGATGAACAATGAGAACACTTGGGCACGGGGAAGGGAACTTACACTCACAGGGATAGGTTGGGGGGGGAGGGGAGGGGAGGGAATGGACAGTGGGAGGGCAGGGAGGGACAACACCGGGAGAAATGCCTGATGTAGGCAATGGGTGGAGACAGCAAACCACCACGGCATGTATGTACCTATGCAACAGTCCTGCAGGATGCAGTAAGTACACATGTACACCAGAGCCCAAAGTACAACAACAAAAAAGACCCCAATAATCATGACCAAATTGGATTTTGTTGAGGTTGGTTTGACATTTGAAAGTTAAGCAGTGTAACTCATCACATTAACAGAAAAAAATGGGAAATCATATGACCTACTTATTGGATACAGAAAAAGTATTTGATAGTGCAAAGACCAGTTGCAGTGAAAACTCTTGGCAAACTAAGAATGGAAATAATTTCTTTTAACAGATTCATCTTCTAGTCTGATAGTATTTAGGCAATCAAAAGTTTATTAAAGCACTGTATTAAAAAAGATTTCAAACCTGTGACAAATAGAATAGTATAATGAATCCTCTGTGCCCATCAACCAGCTTCTTCTGTAAACCAACCTTCACTCGAAATTATTTTAAAGCAAATCCCAGACATCACATCACTTTATCTGTAAACATTTCAGTATGTAACTCCAATGATAAAGACTCCTTTAAATACAACTATAATCCCATTTCATAATTGAAAAAATTAAAATAATTTCTAAATATTATCTAATATGTAGTGTTCACATTTTCTTTCTTTCTTTCTTTCTTTCTTTTTTTTTTTTGAGATGGAGCCTCACTCTTGTTGCCCAGGCTGTAGTGCAATGGTGTGATCTCGGCTCACAGCAACCTCTGCCTCCCAGGTTCAAGTGATTCTCCTGGCTCAGCCTCCTAAGTAGCTGGGATTACAGGTGCCTGGCACCATGCCCAGCTAACTTTTTTGTATTTTTAGTAAAGACAGGATTTTACCATGTTGGCCGGGCTGGTCTCAACTCCTGACCTCAGGTGATCTGCTGGCTTCGGCCTCCCAAATTGCTGGGATTGTAAGTGTGAGCCATCGTGCCCAGCCTAGTGTTCACATTTTTTCTTACAGTTGGTCTGTTTCAATCAGGATTCATTGTAGTTTGTTGATTTGTTTCTCAAGTTTGTTTGCTCGTTTTTAATTTCATGGGTTCTTTCTTTTCCTGCCTCTCTTATCTTCCAACCCACTGTGTTTCTTGAAGAAACTAGTTTATCCTATAGAGTGTGCTTTTCCTGTTCTGTGTATTTCCTATAAACCGGTATTTATAAAAAAGGTTTGTTAGGGTTTTAAGCAATTATTATTGTAAGACTGTTTCATAGAAGCTGTTGGGTACTTCCATCAAGAGATACATAATGTCTGATTGTCTTTTTAATTTTTTAAAAATTTTTTTGTGATGTTAACAACCATTGACAATCATTACCTAGATCTGTTATTTCATTGGGGGTTGCAGAATGGTGATGGTCTTATTAATTCTATGCTTTCTTCATTTATTAGCTGAAATAAGTTAAAACATTTAAATGTATTTTTTTGACACACGGTGTAGAGACCCTTTTTTCATTTAAGTAAATGTTAAAATGGTAATGAGGCCAGGCACAATTGCTCACGCATGTAATCCCAGCACGTTGGGAGGCTGAGGCAGGTAGATCATTTGAGGTCAGGAGTTCAAGACCAGCCTGACCGACATGGTGAAACCCTGTCTCTACTAAAAATACAAAAAAAAAAAATTGTCGGGCGTGGTGGTATATGCCTGTAGTCTCAACTACTTGGGGGGCTGAGGCAGGAGAATTGCTTGAACCTGAGAGGTGGAGGTTGCAGTGAGCTGAGATCCCGCCATTGCACTCCAGCCTGGGAGACAAAACAAGACTGTCTCAAAAAATAAAAATAAAAATAAAATGGTAATGACATTGAAGTGCAAGTAGTGAATCTGAACTGCCTTGTGGCATCTGAATAGGTTCTCCTTTGTATAAATACAGTTTTTATAAGCTTCTTAAAGAAATTTCAGATTTCTGATTTCCCTGTGATTATGATTCCTGTTAAGAAATGCTAACTGGTGTAATTGTAACATAATACTTTTTTAAAATTTTCGTATTTTAACAGGAACGAGGGGGAATAATGTCACTCACAGAGGTGTACTGCTTAGTAAACCGAGCTCGAGGAATGGAAGTAAGAATAGAAAATTTAAATATTCTTTTAACTAAATATAGACTTTCTTAATACAAATTCTGAAGACAATTTGAGGAAGGGTTGTGAATATCAAAGCTATTTTGAGAAGCACTGTGGTACAGTGAAAAGAATGCTGCCTTGGGATCCAGGAGGCAGATTCTTTTCCTGGTTATGATAGTGATTTGCTTAGTGACCTTCAGTAGCTTACTTAACATCTCTGAGACTGTTTTTTTTTTTTTTTTTTTTTTTGGCTATTCAAAACTTTTTGTATTTTTCTTTATAATTGTCAAAATAATTGTACATATTCATGCCATGTGGTGTTTCAGTGCATGTATACATTTTATAATGATCAAATCAGGGTGTATTAGTCTATTTTTATGCTGTTGATAAAGACATACCCAAGACTGGGCAATTTTCAAAAGAAAGAGGTTTAATTGGACTCACAGTTCCACATAGCTAGGGAGGCCTCACAATCAAGGAGGAGCAAGTCGCAGCTTATGTGGATGGCAGCAGGCAAAGAGAACTTGTGCAGGACAACTGTTTTTAAAATGGTCAGATCTCATGAGACCTATTCGCTATCACCAGAACAGCACAGGAAAGACCAGCTCCCATAATTCAGTCATCTCGCCCCAGGTCCCTCCCACAATACGTGGGAATTATGGCAGCTACAAGATGAGATTTGGGTGGGGACATAGATTCAAACCGTATCACAGGACAATTAACATATTCATCAGTTTAAACATTTATCATTTATTTGTGGTAATAACATTCAAAATAAATCCTCTCCTTTCTGTCATACGCAGTCACAGAAAAGAACAAAATAATTTTTTTTTTTTTTTTTTTTTTTTTTGAGATGGAGTTTTGCTCTGTTGCAAGGCTGGAGCATAGTGGTGCCATCTTGGCTCACTGCAACCTCCACTTCCTGAATTCAAGCAATTCTCCTGTCTCAGCTCCCCGAGTACCTGGGATTATAGGCTTGCACCACCATGCCCAGCCAATTTTTGTATTTTTAGTAGAGACGGGGTTTCACCATATTGGCCAGGATGCTCTTGATCCCTTGACATCATGATCTGCCCACCTTGGCCTCCCAAAGTGCTGGGAACGTGAGCCATCATGCCCGGCCAAAATAATTCTTTTGTGGGAACATGGGTGGAGCTGGAGGCCATTATCCTTAGCAAACTAGTGCAGGAACAGAAGTAGTACTACTTATAAGTAGTAGCTAAATGATGAGAACTTATGAACACAAAGAAACAGCAGACATTGGAGTATACTTGAGGATGGAGACTTAGGGGAGGGAGAGGAGCAAAACAGATAACTATTGGGTATTGGGCTTAATATTAATACCTAGGTGATGAAATAATCTGTACTTCAAACCCCAGTGACACGACTTTATCTGTGTAAAACTCTCACATGTACCCCCAATCTAAAATAAACATTTTTTAAAAAACAAAGAATCAACCTAAGTGTCCATCAATGGATGAATGGATAAAGAAAATGTCAGATATATACAAATGGAATACAATTCAGTAATGAAAAAAATAATGAAATCACATGATTTTCAGCAACATGGAGAAACTGGAAGTCATTATGTTAAATGAAGTAAGCCAGACACAGAAAGACAAGTAGTGCATGTTCTCACTCATTCTTATGGCGGTAGAGAATAGATGATAGATATCAGAGACTGGGAAAGGTATATAAGTGGGAGCAGGGAAGAAAGAAGAAAGGTTGGTTAATGGGTACAAACATACTGTTAGATAAGTTCTAATATTCAGTAGCAGAGGAGGGAAGCAGCAATGTATTATATATTTCAAAGTAGCTAGAAGGGAGGACCCGAAATGTTCCTAACACATAGACATGATAAAAACTTGAGGTAACAGGTACCCCAAATACCCTGACTTGATCATTACACATTTTATGCATGTGTATTAATAAAAATAGCCCCTATACCCCATAAATATGTAAAATATTATATATCAATAAAAAGTACTCAGGACTGGGCTTGGTGGCTCATGCCTGTAATCCCAGCACTCTGGGAGGCCGTTGCCTGAGGTCAAGAGTTCAAGACCAGTCTGGCCAACATGGTGAAACCCGGTCTCTACTTAAAATACAAAAAAAATTTAGCTGGGAATGGTGGTGTGTTCCTGTAATACCAGCTACTCAGGAGACTGAGGCAGGGGAATTGCTTGAACCAGGGAGGTGGAGGTTGCAGTGAGCTGAGATTGCACCAGTGCTCTCCAGCCTGGGAGACAGAGCAAGAGTCCATCTCAAAAAAAACAAAAACAAAAAAACATGGTACTCAGAAACAGAAAAAAAGAAATAATACACCTCGTTGTCATTATCTAGTCACCCTGTGTAATATAGCAGCAGAACACATGCTTTCTGTCTAACTGTAACTTTGTATCTGTTGACCAACCTCTCTGGATCCCCTTCTCCTGCCTACCCTCCCCAGCCTCTGGTAGCCACTCTTCTACTCGCTTCTTTTATGAGATCACTTCTTTTAGAGTCTACATAAAAGTGAGATCAAGTGGTGTTTGTCTTGCTATGTCTGGCTTATTTCACTTAATGTAATGTCCTCCAGGTTCATCCATGTTGCTGCACATGACAGGATTTTATTATGTTTTGTGCTGAATAGTATTTCATTGTCTATATATATCACATTTTTTTAATCTTAAATTTTTTTATTTTGTATTTTTCAGACAGAGTATCACTCTGTAGAGTGTAGTGGCACAATCTTGGCTCACTGAAACCTCTGCCTCCTGGGTTCAAGCAATTCTTGTGCTTCAGCCTCTCAAGTAGCTGGGATTACAGGCGTGCGCCACCACACCAGAAGAATTTTCATACTTTAAGTAGAGACAGGGTTCTGACCATGTTGGCTAAGCTGCTCTTGAACTCCTGACTTCAGGTGATCTCCCCACCCCAGCCTCCCAAACAAAGTGCTGGGATTACAGGCATGAGCCACCAGGCCTGGCCCCCCAAATTTTTATGTTTTCTTTTTTATGGATACATAATAGTTGTACATATTTATGGGGTACATGTGAAATTTTGATACAAGCATATAATGTGTAATGACCAAATCAGGGAAATTGAGGGTCTGTCACCTCCAGTATTTATCAATTCTTTGTGTTAGGAACATTCCAATTCCACTTTTCTAGTTACTTTGAAATATACAATAGGGCCAGAGGTGGTGGTTCACGCCTGTAGTCCCATCACTTTGGGAGGCCAAAGTGGGCAGATCACCTGAGGTCAGGAGTTCAAGACCACCCTAGCCAACATGGCAAAACCCTGTCTTTACTAAAAATACAAAAATTGCCGGGCGCGGTGGCTCAAGCCTGTAATCCCAGCACTTTGGGAGGCCGAGGCGGGTGGATCACGAGGTCGAGAGATCGAGACCATCCTGGTCAACATGGTGAAACCCCGTCTCTACTAAAAGTGCAAAAAATTAGCTGGGCATGGTGGCACGTGCCTGTAATCCCAGCTACTCAGGAGGCTGAGGCAGGAGAATTGCCTGAGCCCAGGAGGCGGAGGTTGCGGTGAGCCGAGATCGCGCCATTGCACTCCAGCCTGGGTAACAAGGGCGAAACTCCGTCTCACAAAAAAAAAAAAAAAATACAAAAATTAGCTGGGAATGGTTGGGGGGCACCTGTAATCCCAACTACTTGGGAGTCTGAGGCAGTAGAATCGCTTGAACCTGTGGGATGGAGGTTGCAGTGAGCTGAGATTGTGCCACTGTACTCCAGCCTGGGCAACAGAGCTAGACTGCATCTCAACAAATAAATTTTTTTAAAAAATGAAATATACAGGTCGGGCACGGTGGCTCACGCCTGTAATCCCAGTATTTTGGGAGGCCAAAGCAGGCAGATCATGAGGTCAGGAGATCAAGACCATCCTGGCTAACATGGTGAAACCCCATCTCTACGAAAAATACAAAATATTAGTCAGGCATGGTGGCATGCACCTGTAGTCCCAGCTGTTTGGGAGGTTGAGGCAGGAGAATTGCTTCAACCCAGGAGGCGGAGGTTGCAGTGAGCTGAGATTGCACCACTGTACTCCAGCCTGGGTGAAAGAAGCAAGACTTTGTCTCAAAAAAAAGAAAAAGGTACAATACATTATTGTTAACTATAGTACTATAGTTACCCTACTATACTATTGAATGCTAAATCTTATTCCTCTGCCACCTGTTTTGTTTTGTTTTTTTTTTTTTGAGATGGAGTCTCGCTCTTGTTGCCCAGGCTGGAGTGCAGTGGTGCAATCTCGGCTCACTGCAACCTCCCCTTCCCTGATTCAAGCGATTCTCCCACCTTAGCCTCCCGAGTAGCTGGGATTATAGGCACCCACTACCAAGCCTGGGTAATTTTTGTATTTTTAGTAGAGATGAGGTTTCACCATGTTGTATATCATACAAGCATATAATGTGATCCATCCACCTCGGCCTCCCAAAGTGCTGGGATTACAGGCTTGAGCCACTGCGTCTGGCCTCTTATTCCTTCTATGTAATTGTATTTTTGTACCCATTAAGCCAACCTCTCTGTATCCCTCCTTCCCCACTACTCTTCCTACCCTCTAGTAACCATTTCTCTACTCTCTATCTGCATGAGATCCATTCTTTAACACCCACATATGAGTGAGAACATGGGGTATTTGTCTTTTTGTGCTAGCTTACTCCATTTAACAGTGTCTTCCAGTTCCATCCCTGTTGTTGCAAATGATGTTGGCTATTGTGAGCAGTGCTGCAGTAAACATGGGAGTGCAGATTTCTCTTCGATATACTCCTTTCCTTTCTTTTGGATGTATACCTAGCAGTAGGATTGCTGGATCACGTGATAGTTGTTTTCAGTTTTTTGAGAAATCGCCGTACTGTTTTCCATAGTGGCCGCACTGATTTACCTTCCCACCAACAGTGTGTAAGAGTTCCTTTCTCCACGTCCTTTCCAGCATTTAGGGACCCAGTTTTCTTACTTTTAATATCAGGATTTTGACTGAGTGAAACTGTTCAGCTCTAATATTTTCTGTTTTTATTGTGATAAATAAGGTTGTTCAGGAAGCCCTTCCTCTGCAATAGTTAACTCTTCTGAATCAACTTGGTTGAAACAAGTTGCCTTGTAGATAATGCAGAGGGAAAGCTGCCCCACCCCGTTGGCTGTGTATCAGCAGTGGCTATTCTTCAGCTGCCCTTGCTCCTTTACATCCAGATATCCTTGGCCTCCAAGACTGTCCAGGTACTCTTTGTGCTCAGACAGTTACCTCCATGGAAATGGCTCACCCAGTCCCATGAGTTAAGCCCTGCTCTGTGTGTTTATCTGAATATTGATTATAGCTGCCATCAGTGAGTACTTACCATCCACTGGACACTCTGCACATACACATTTATCCTCCCAATAACTCAGTGGCATGGCTGCTTTTACTGTCCCATGTAGAAGATAATTTGGAGATTAGGAAATAGAGGCTTAGAAAGATGAAATAACTTGGCCAGGCGCAGTGCCTTACGCATGTAATCCCAACACTTTGAAAGCCAAGGCGGGTGGATTACCTGAAGTCAGGAGTCTGAAACCAGCCTGGCCAACATGGTGAAACCCTGTCTCTACTAAAAATACAAAAAAAAAAAATCTGGGTATGGTGGCACATGCCTGTCATCCCAGCTACTTGGGAGGCTGAGGTAGGAGAATTGCTTGACCCTGGGACTTAGAGGTTGCAGTGAGCTGAGATCGTGCCATTGTACTCCAGCCTGGGCAACAAGAGTGAAACTCTGTCTCAAAAAAAAAAAAAAAAAAATAGAAAGATGAAATAACTTGAGCAAGGCCACAGCCAGAGACAGTAGTTTGACAGGTATTTGGATCTAGGCTGGACTGGCTCTGGAGCCATCCTGTGGGACTGAAAGCCGTTCTTGTTATCACCACACTATGCTGATTTGTTAAGGCTGCACTGTCCAAAAGGATAGCCACATCACATGGTGACTGGGGACTTGAAATGTAGTTAATCCAAATCAAGATATGCTGCAAGCGTAAAATGCACCAGATTGATAAGACTTCGTACAAAATAAGGAAATGTTAAACATCTCATTAATAATTTTTGTATTGTTTATATGTTGCATTGGTTCTATATTCAATCTATTCGACTAAATAAAATAAATGCATTAAAATTAATTTCACGTGTTTCTTTTTACTTTTTAATGTGGTTACTATAAAATTTACAATAACATGTGGCATGCATATTTTATTGGGTAGTACTACTTTATGAATAGAAGTCTTTGGCTCCTTTGTTTATCTTTTTTACTTTGTAGTGATTAAATCACATAAAATTATTGATAAATAATAATTTTAAAATTTACTCTTCTGTTTTAGTGATCATTACAATTGTATAGCATTGCTGGAATTTTTTTTCCCTCTTAGTTGCTCTCACCAGAAGATTTAGTGAATGCATGCAAAATGCTGGAAGCACTGAAATTACCTCTCAGGTAAAGGAACCTCTGCAGGAAGTTCGCCACCTGCAACCATGATTCTGCATGGGGTAGATGGGAAAGGCCAGCCAAGTTTGCCATCCCTAGCATCAAGCCAGAATATTGCCTTCTTGCAATCATATTATTTCATCTTTATCAGGGCTGGGCATGTTCTTACAGGGCCGGTAGTCAGACTCTTGTAGATTTGGGGGAATGAGATAAGGGTTCTTCCCATGAGGTTAGAATAACTAGCCCCTCTTCCCTTAGACATTTTGTGTTAGCTGGAGATGTTCAGCTGTGAATTTTCTTTTCCTTATTCTTTGGTTTAAAAAAGTAGCCTGGGGGCCAGGTACAGTGGCTCACATCTGTAATCCTAGCTCTTTGGGAGGCCAAGGCGGGTGGATCACCTAAGGTCAGGTGTTTGAGACCAGCCTGACCAGCATGGAGAAAACCTATCTCACTAAAAATACAAAATTAGCTGGGCATGGTGGTGCATGCCTCTAATCCCAGCAACTCAGGAGGCTGAAGCAGGAGAATCGCTTGAACCTGGGATGTAGGGGTTACAGTGAGCCAAGATCATGCCATTGCACTCTAGCCTGGGCAACAAGAGCGAAACTCAGTCTCAAAAAAAAAAAAAAAAAAAAAGTAGCCAGGCATTTTATTTAGCATGTAGATTCTAGTTCATAATTTTCTGTGTATTCATGAGCTGTTTAGCTATGCCATCATTGCTTGTGCTCGATAGGTTTTCAATGTTGTTTTGTTTAATATTAGCCTCATGCCTGGGCATAAAAGAAGATATAAAAGATGTGCTCCTGGCCAGGCACGGTAGCTCCCACCTGTAATCCCAGCACTTCGGGAGGCCAAGGCGGGCAGATCACCTGAGGTCAGGAGTTTGAGACCAGCCTGACCAACATGGAGAAACCTGTCTCTACTAAAAATACAAAATTAGCCAGGCATGGTGGTGTATGTCTTGAATCCCAGCTACTCGGGAGGTTGAGGCAAGAGAATCACTTGAACTCAGGAGGCGGAGGTTGTGGTGAGCTGAGATCACACCATTTTACTCCAGCCTGGGCAACAAGAGTGAAACACCATCTTAATAAAGAAAAAAAAAAGATGGGCTTCTTCTCAACAGTTGAATATCCTAGATAATTCCTGGCTTTGTTCTCACACCTGTGGTTTTCAGGCTCCGTGTGTTTGACAGTGGCGTCATGGTAATTGAGCTTCAGTCTCACAAGGAAGAGGAAATGGTGGCCTCAGCCCTGGAGACAGTACGTGAAGCCAATTTTCTCCAGTCTTTAAAGCTATGAAGACCCAATGTCTTGCAACTCAAAAAACAGGATTTCCTTTTGAATTTAACTTTACTGAAAAGTAGCATTCACACACCCAAATAAAAACAGTTTATGAATCAATATTAACCAGTCATACATTAAGAGCTTTGAAATTTCTTGACACTCTTAACATGTTACATGTGAGGATAATTAAAATTAGGTGCTTTCTTTTCTATTAAAGCTTAGTGTTGTGAACAGATTTTTAACTTTATCAGATGTTCCACACAATTAAACTTTTTCTTCCATTAACACCTAGATAAGTAGCTTTGTAAAACACAAGTTGTTTTATGAAAATAATTGCTTCAAAAAATATAAAAAGCAACTGTAGTTTAGATGGATTTTACTGGCCAAACTACCAGTGATACTCATTAGGATTCTTGAAATAGAAATGTCTGTATAGCTTCTACGGTGAGCCTGTATAATTTGAATAACTCCCATTTATTATCCTTCTCATTTTCAACTAGATGAAAACCCCAAGACTACAGCTATTTCTACCACGTTTTAAACTAAACCTACGTATAAAGTTCCTTCACTGGAGCATGTAATATGTACTCCGAATTTGTTATATATTCTTTTTCAGAATATCGAATAGCTCTTTTTAGGCTTTAGTACAGTGACTTTGTTACATTATAGAGAGTTCGATCTTGATATTTTAGTCTCTTCTATGTCTCTTCTGGGTCCTTCAACTTTTGTAGGATTAAGCATTAGTTAAGATTTTGTTCTAAAGTGCATGTTCTTTGGAATTTAGTAGGACATTAAGTAAATTATTTCTTGCATATACTGGTATACATTCTGCCTGCTATTAGTACCCAGAGTGTGTTTAAATTAGTGTCCTACATGAATTACATTTTTTTCTGCTGTGTGTTTCTGTTAGGTTTCGGAAAAGGGATCCCTAACGTCAGAAGAGTTTGCTAAGCTCGTGGGAATGTCTGTCCTCCTGGCCAAAGAAAGGTAAGTAAGGTTCTTACCTTTCACTACAATGTAATGTGTATTTGTGTTTCTGCATGGACAGATAATTGTGTGGGGCTTTTTGTTTTTTGTTTTAGGTTGCTGCTTGCGGAGAAGATGGGCCATCTTTGCCGTGATGACTCAGTGGAAGGCCTGCGTTTTTACCCAAATTTATTTATGACACAGAGCTAAGGGTTTTGTATTTAAAATCATTTTTGTCCATATGCTTGCATCATATAGAGGTTGTATGACATTGAGCTAAGAGATAAACCCTGATCAACTGCTTGCATCATATAGAGGTTGTATGACATTGAGCTAAGAGATAAACCCTGATCAACTGAGAATTTATTCGAACTTTACGGTATAATGTAAAACTCTTTTAATTTTTCACTAAATATGGTCCAGGAAATTTATTTAGGATACACATAGGAAAATACAGAAAAGTGAATGCCAACATGACTTTAAAAGCATACTATACTTGTGCAGAAGCCTGAGTTTAACTTGAAATATAGTGCATTTTTAACTTGATCCTCAAATCTAATTATTTTGTAAAGAAGGGAATTTAGTTTTGCAGAGAATAAAAAGAGAAGTTGCATGTTCGGACAGGTTAGATGATTATTTGGGTGTGACTGAAATTCACCAAATTATACATGACAACTTGGGACAAAATATCATACTGCAGCATTGCTATATGAGGCTCCTGCCAAGGGCTTTTGGAAGCAGTCGTAGGCATGTCTTCAACATACCAAATAAAACAGCTTTAAAAATGAAAGGATTTTATTTGATATATATATATATATATTCCGTCGTGTGTGTGTATATATATATGTGTATATATACATATATATATTATAGCTAGTGTGTGTATATATATATATATATTCCAACCAGGGTGTGTGTAAACATACACACACATATATTCCACCTAGAGTATGTCTATCTCTCTCTCTGTAGACACACACACACACACACACACACACACACACACATTCCATCTAGTCTCTTTTTGTTTTTTTAAGTGATGATTTCATGACTGGCATTTAAAGAATGCAACTGTGTCATTTTGTATCCAAATGCTATGGATTTTGAAACTGCACTAGAGAGCTGTATAGACATGCCCAGAGTTATGATTACAAATTTAGGAGGTAGACAGCTCTAGAATTCCCTGGGATTGTTGTGCCGGTGGAATGGCAGAGGGAACCTTTAAATAGCTTCCCAGGAACCTTAGTGCTCTTTTACCTCAAAGCCACAGACAGGAAATAGAAAGTGGAAAAGTAATGTCTCCTTTTCTTTTCCATAAAGAGTTTCTTTTTTTTTTTTTTTTTTTGAGACGGAGTTTCGCTCTTGTTACCCAGGCTGGAGTGCAATGGTGCGATCTCGGCTCACCGCAACCTCTGCCTCCTGGGTTCAGGCAATTCTCCTGCTTCAGCCTCCTGAGGAGCTGGGATTACAGGCACGTGCCACCATGCCCAGCTAAGTTTTTTTGTATTTTTAGTAGAGACGGGGTTTCACCATGTTGACCAGGGTGGTCTCGATCTCTTGACCTCGTGATCCACCCGCCTCGGCCTCCCAAAGTGCTGGGATTACAGGCTTGAGCCACTGTGTCCGGCCCATAAGGAGTTTCAACACTGAACTTTAAAAAGTCTCTCTATCATATTCCAGCAATTTTTTTTTCTTTGTCGTTTTTAATTTGTATGGAAAAACTACTTTGGTACGAAGTGTTACTGAGATAACAACAACTGGCTAATACTGCATGCAGATTGCTTAAATTTTAAAGTGACTGCCTGACTTCACATGTTACTGCTCTGCAGCCTCCAGTATGTTGGCATTATCTCAAACTCAGGGACCCCACAGGACAGAAGAATCCCTTTCTGAAGCTGAGTTGGAAGTGAAAGGGTAGTGATGGTTTTGGCCAAGCCTGCAGGAGGGAAAATATTGTATCGGGAGCACCCTTGGGACCAGGAGGAGGGATGCCCAGGTTCACACTCTGGGCCCCCTAAGACATTGTCAGTGGGTAATGTGGAGGGCCACCTCCAGAGACTGCTGAAGTACCCTCTGGGAAGTGCCAGGGACCTTCAGCTGTAGACCCAGGGGATCCCAGTCCCTTATCCCTGTCTGAAAAGTGGCTATTGCTCCTTGGTGTCCTCCAGTGTCACAGGAATGCTGTGCCTGAGACATCCTACTTTAGTTTTTGTTTTCCAAACCTGTCACTGACTCTTCAATTGTGTGACAGATCCTCTGGTTCCCCCCATTGGTCAGCCTCAGGTTTATTTTTAGGGTAACTCAGTGTCTGACTGCCCAAGTCTTTTAGGGGTTAGTTGGACCATCGTGTAAACTTGTTTGTATGTCTCACCTCTTTCTGGGTGGTACTCACTGTCTCACAGTGCTCTGGCAAACTTGTACACACATTCTGTCTCTGTCTCTGTCTCTGTCTCTGTCTGTCTCTCTCTCTCTCTCTCTCTCTCTCTCTCTCTCTCTCTCTCTCTCTTTCTCTCTCTCTCTCTCACCTGGCTAAGGCTTTTAGAATTATAAAGATGAATAATCTGTTTCACCAGTTGGAATGAGTTGCAAGGAAGATTGCTGGAGCTATTAGATCTATCTAGCTCTCATGGTTTGGATTCATTAAAGCAAACCTACATAATTTAACATATTTGTTTAATTTAGTTTGACAACTGATGAACAAAAATGGAGCAATCTGAATTGTATAAAGTGACCTAAGAAGGAAGACAAGTGACATATAAATATATTTTACAAATGTCACATTAATTTAAAAATGAGTATGATTGGTTTTATTATTTTTAAAGTGGGCATTCTTCATTGTTTCCAGACCTTTGTATGTGTTTGTGTATTTTTATCTTTTTTTTTTTTTTTGGCCATTATTATAAGGTGTTATTTTGGCCATCTAATGTAGAAGTTATGTTTAAATATAACCAATCAGGCCCTAAGTGCAAAAAAGTTCTGTCTTGGTGCTTATCATCACTGGCATAATTATTATTATTTTTCCTAACTTTGCTCTTAGGAGTATGAACCTCTTTGTAGCTTTATGGTAATGCAATATTTCTAGTCGTTTACTGTCAAAAAAATTTTTTACATTGTGTTGGTGAAGATTATTTTTAGGGTTAAATGATTGGTATTAATGTATATAGAATACAATTATTACAAAATTTAAAAATGGTTTCTCTTGGCATTCTTTTTTAATACTCTGAAAAATATATGAAAATGATAAACTTTTAGTCATACTAAAGCCAGTTATGTTAAGAATTTTTCCTTTGGATTTTATACTCAAGAGTTGCTTATAAATATTTATGACATTGAGCTCTTACTGTTTTAGTTGTCTTAAAAGAATGGGACATGTCTTGAACTGGTTTGGTTTTTTAAAAATTCTTGATGTGAATTCCACTGTTGCCTGACCATGTATATTCATATGAATGTACTCTTTCTTGTTCCTTGTTATCAGATTAATCTGAAAGAACGTGGATCATCCTGTCATCATTCTCATGCTCAAATACTTAAAATGGTTCTTTTGCCCAAAAGTCTCAGAGTCTTCATTTTGGTACAGTGGAGTCAAAACTTGTAAGGTGGTTAGGTTTTAAAGACCTAAAGACTAAATCGAGCATGCTCAAAATGGTCGTTGAAAATCTCCTAAGTTACCAGTAAGGTTCTCTTTGTAGTCTTAAAGTTTAAATCCCAGCAGCGTTATACGTAGGTATGAACATATTATGCTTATATTAAATACAAAAATACAAACTGCATATCAAGAGTAGATTCTTATAGCATTAATAATTTACATGCATGTGTCTTTTTCTAGGAGGCATGGTTGAATTTACGTAAATTTATTGCTAATCCCATCCCTTACAGTCTAGAGTTTCAGCTGCACAAGGGCAGAGGTTTTTAGCTGGTTCGTTCATAGATGTATCCTCAGAGCCTAGAACAGGGCCTGGCACACAGTAAGCATTCAATAAATATTTACTGAACAAATGAACTCTGACCTATATTCCTATTTATAATCTGGTTCCACTTTATCCTACTTTAGCTGCCATTCAATTCAATGAAAAAAACATTTTTTTGAACACATAGCAACTTTGCGTCAGCAATTTTATTGGGCACTGGTAGTGGGAGGGGATACAAAGATGAATAAGATCAGCCCTGTGTTAAGAAAAGGGAGACCTAGTTGGGGAAACTGACATGTAAGCAACTTTCACTGAAGATGGAATGAAGTAAGTGCCATGGAAGGGGCATACGTACCATGCTGGGGAGGACAGAGGTAGGAGACCTTAGTCCTGATGCAGGGCTTTGGAAGGCTTCAGGGGAGAGGAAGAATCTGGTAAACTAGGCTTACAAAGACCAAGAGATTGTCAGTAAGTGGCAGGTGTTGGGAAAAAGGAACAGCAGAGGTGTGCCCCTTGGTGTTCCTGGACACATTCCCCTTGTCTATCCAAAGCTTCCTTCATTACCACTTTTTTCTTTTTTTTTTTTTTTTTTTTTTTGAGATGGAGTCTCGCTCTTTCACCAGGCTGGAATGCAGTGGCGAAATCTCAGCACACTGCAACCTCCGCCTCCCAGGTTCAAGCGATTCTCCTGCCTCAGCCTCCAGAGTAGCTGGGTCTACAGGCGCCCGCCACCATGCCCGGCTAATTTTTTGTATTTTAGTAGAGACAGGGTTTTACTGTGTTGACCGGGATGTTCTCGATCTCCTGACCTTGTGATCTGCCTGCCTCGGCCTCCCAAAGTACTGGGATTACAGGCTTGAGCCCTTCGTTACTTTTTTCCACTCACCTGCCCTCTCCCACACCCACCTCACCAATCTAAATTATACTTTGCTCAATCCTGCCTGCTCCAGAAATGTTTCCAATACACAGCTCTATTATTTCTAAACTCTACAAGTCATGTTTTCACTTAATCAGTATAAAATTTTGCAACTATTGTATGCCTTCTACAGTGGTGGGAAGGAGGCCTTAAGAAAAAACCCAGATGCTTGTCTTTTCCATACGCTTAACTATATTTTGTCTTGATACCATAAGGAAATAGAGAAACTGGGTTTAAGTTCAAAGACTGTCGTGTAATATTTCTTTTGAATTCTCACTGACCTAGGTCAGTGACTGTACATGGTAGATTCCTAGTAAAGTATTAACTGAATTGAGTGATTTTTGAATTAATAATACTGAGTCTTGCATGAGTTGAGTAGCAAGCCAACTGTGTTGTGTGTCTTTTATCCTCTGTCCAAAAGGTTTCTCAACCAGACTTGTCAAGGCTTAGCCTGTCTGAGTGAGATTTGCTCTATCTTATTCAATTATCATGGCATGGGCCACATCCATGATGTGGAAAGCACTCCAGAATAGTTGTTATACACATCTAAGATCTTGTTATTACAGTGTGAAAATTGGGCCATTCATGTTCTTCCTTGTGTCCTGATAATGAAATCATGAGTCAGTTATAGCTTTCATCTCAGAGTATTACCCCAGAGAAATAAAAAGTCTCTCCATTTGTATAAAGGGAGTTATTGTGATCGTATATAAATTTTATACAACTTGTACGAGATCGCTAGATCAGTCGCTACCCAGAAAGAGAACTGAAGGTATTTTTGAGAGCCAGATCAGTTATAGTTCAATACTGCCCATATCACTGTTTGTTTGAAAGCTTTTTTTTCTTTCACTTTTACATTGCCTTGTATTAGAAAATGTTAAATTACATCTTAATTGTCTAATAAAGACAGCAGTACAGTTTGGCAAGAATTCTAATGGAGACAAAATTGACCAAGCATTTCAATAAAGC